CAGTGTTATTTACATCGGCCAGGCAAATTTCAGAAGGCCTGGTGAAACTCCAGATAGGCCAACTGAAAGCAAGCTCACAACTCTATCCCAACAGCTCACACACGTTGTCTGTCTTAGTCAGCTCAGACTGCCATAAAAACATACCACAGACTATGGGGCTTAAACAAGAGAAATTCATTTTCCCACAGTTCCGGAGGCTAGAAATTCCAAGATCAAGGTTCTGGCAGGGTTTGTTTTCTGGTGAGAGCCCTCTTCCTGGCTTGCAGATGGTAACTTTGCCCCGACATGGCCTTTCCTCTGAGTGTGCGTGGGGAGAGAAAATCAGAGGCAGAAACAGAGAGAGATCTGACATCTCTCCTCTTCTTATAAGGACACTAATCCTATCGGATCAGGGCCCCACCCATAAGACCTCATGCAACCTTAATTACCTCCTAAGGGTCCTATCTCCAAATACTGTCCCACTGGGGGTCAGGTTTCAACATATGAATTTGCGGGGAGACACAAACATTCAATCCATAACAAGGGGTGCTTTTCTCTTCAGCAGCTCTAACCTCATCACCAGCCACTGACTGAGTCAGGAACCTCAGCCCCCAAATGTCAAAATTGGAGGAATTGCACTGGAAGATCCTATAGTTATTGTACAAATGCCCCTGCCCAGGAGCCCTTGGAAGGTGACCATTTAACAAGCATGCCTTGAGTCAGACGTATTTTCCTAGAAAGGGACGTGAGGAAAGAGGGTCAAGAGTTTATTCCTCTATCTCACAGACAAAAGACAATCGAAGGGTCACAATGCTGGACAGTGTACAGTAAGAAATGAGGCAGAGATCGCTTTTCCAGAGCTGGACTCTCCTCATCTCTTTTTTCTTAAAATTACATTTATTTCTTAAATAGTTAACTTTCACGTGGTACTAAATTCAAAAAGTATACAATGCAATAAAGCGAAAAATCTCCCAGAAGCCCAGTTGCCCTCCTTAGAAGCAGGCAACATTTCCAGTTTCCTACGCAGTCTTCAGATTTTCTATACATCTACCAGCAAATACATGTGTATTCTTTTTTCTCCTTCCCCATAAATGTTAGCATGCTTTGATGCCCTCTTCTGCACCTTACTTTTTGTCCTCCTTAGTGATACGTCTTGGAGATTGCTCCATGTCAGCATGTAGTTTCCTTGTTTCTTAAGGCTTCATGGCTTGCCGTTATGAATATGCTGTGATTGATTTCACCAGTCCTCTGTTAGTGGACTCATAGGCTGTGTCCAATAGTTTCCTCTTGTAAATGTTGCAATGGATTACTCTATCCATTCATCATTTTGCATGTGCATGAGTATATCTGTAAGATAAATCCCTAAGAAGTAAAATATTTGAATATTTGAATCAAAGAAGTAAAATATTTGAATATTTGAATCAAAGAAAATTTTAAATTTTGCCAGAAATTGTCAAACTTTCCATCATTATGGTTAGACTGAATCACACTCCCAGAAACCCTGGATGAGAGTCATTGCAGGATTCTAATTCAACCTGAAAAGTGGTGTCACGTGGAAGGAGGGACCATGATGTGGTTGGTGGGAAGTCACCAGACCATGAGCCAGGCGATCCAGTGTCCAGTCGCAGTACAATCTGTGATCATCTGAGTGGCCTCTGCAAATGGTTTGACCTCTGAGCTTCAGACTCCCCCTTACGTAAAACCAACATGTTGGTGGGTCCATAAGTGTCATGCTGATTCCAAACTGTCCTCAGGAGGAAGCCCCAAAACATTATCCTTAGTCCTTTTAGTCACAGGTAAAGGATAAATCAGATTTTATCTGACTCTAGATAGGACTTTTAAGGACTTGAAAATCTGTTTCTCTCTGGGCTTAGGGTTTTGAAGGCAGGATTAGGATGGGCTCCTGGCAATTGTCCTGGTTTGTTTGGGGAGAATTTATGATAGCTTATAATCTGTCTTTGCCTTGACTCCAGACTGAGCCCAGCGAGTAGATGAAGCCTCTGACACAGCAATGCCCTAAAATTTATACTTCCTGGAACATCCCTTCCTTCCCTCCTACCCCTCCTCCTGGCCCCTGGAACATAGTGGTCTGAGACCTGCACCAGCAGAGAATCAGGGAAAGAAGGGGCATTTCTGATGTTTGGGAAAATCATTAAATGTTGTTAAATAGACATAAGTAACCAAGTGACCCGTGAGGGACACAGCTGGGGTCCAAGTAGACACGTGTAATTGAAGAGTCTATCCCACCTGTGATTTTCAATATGGGGCCAATAGCTGATACTAATGTTAGTTTCCCTGTCCATCAATTCTTAATACAACACGGCAAGATTCCCCCATCAGCAGTTACCCAGTCTCTTTGAGATCTCCCTGAATACACCCCAAAGTCAATTTTGAGAACACAATGTCACGTTATAAGCCAGACTGTCCCAAACATATCCTCCAAATTTGCTGTAAATCCATCTGCTTTCACATGATGCAATAACAAATAGACACAAACTTAAAAAAAAAAGAGCGAGCTCAACGAAGGCTAAAATGATCCTTTCTGAAATTTCAGTGTGGTTTCCCAGAATACAATTGTTTGTCCCTATTGTGTTGTGTGGCACACACCCTACATAAGAAAAGATCTTACACAGCCAACTCTGGTTCTCATCCTAAGATGTTTCTGTTGGAGAGAGGCCAGGGTCACTGCTAGTTCATATGGCGTATTTGTACAAATTAGAAAAAGGCACCTGTTCCTCCAGGTAGGTGGAATCTCAGGACCTACTTGCCTCCTCTTGTAGGCACCCCTGTGCAGGGCACATCTGTGCAACTCCAGCTACTGGGTTGTCTCATTGGCTGAAAACCATTGAAACCATCCTCAGGATATCACTTATCTTGTCCTAACCAGAGCAGAAGTCTTAAAACTTTCTTCATGCCCAAAAGCATCTGCACGCCTCAGATTAGGGGTCCACAGCTCATGTGGTCTTCCTTATCTCTCAAGTTGTCTGGGAGAGAACCCAAAACTCAACATCTTCATGTCCATGGCTTCCTCACCGCCTATTGTGAGCAAGAAAAACAGCTCAAAGAATGCATTCTGGGTTAGCCACTGGCCTGGCTTAAGTCCCTTCTGGTCTTCCATAGAACCCCTTGCCTGCATGTATTGTTGTCTTTTCACGAATCTGTTCCCACCTCTACTCTATAAATTCCTCTGGGGCTGGAACCGTATTTTATTTGTTTTTGTCTTTTAAAAATTGTTTTCAAATTACAAAATAGTACATCCTTGCAGCAGAAAAATTTTCAAACAATAAACTAAAAAGCGAAAGTCCCCTTTCTGTCTACTCTTGTTTGCAATCCCATTTCTCTCCCCAGAGGGGACCACTATTAACAGTGTGTTGTATATCTTTCCAGAACTTTCCATTTGCAAGCCTAATGATGCCAATAAAAGAGCTAACATTTATTGAATGCTTACCGAGAGTCAGGTGCTATGCTAGGCACTTTTCCTGCATGTTCTCAATTAATTCACAAAAAGAGCCTAGAAAGTAGGTGTTATTTTTATTCCTCATTTCACAAAAGAGGAAACCAAGGTGACAGTTACTAAATGGTAACACCAGAATTTGAACCCAGGCAGGCCAGCTTCAGAGCTCATGCACTTAATCTCTATCATTCTGCCACTTGCTTTGGGGATTTGGTATGTAATAGATGCTTCTCCATAGTTACCCACATAATTCCATGTCCTCCTTTTTAAAAGTTGCTCCCTGTTCTATAAAATGAATGTATTTAATTCATTTAGCCATTCTCCTACTGACAAACTTTTTAAGATTTTGCAGTTTTTTGTTTCCTTATTTTATCAAATCTAAGATTCTATGGACTGTAAGAAGCACCCAGTTTCAGAGAGATTAAAATGTGAAATAAAACATGCATCTTAGAATTAACATTTTATGGCATTAGAGACAATGCTGCAAATGAGCACGCCTGCATACAATTTTCATGTGTGTATTTTTGTAGAAGTTTCCTAGAAGTAAAATTGTGAGCCAAAATGTGGATGCATTTTTTATTTTGATATAACTGCCGAATTCCCTCCAGGAGATCATATCTTAGTCATCTGTGTCTCCCATTTACTTGCTTAGCACAATGTCTGCCACTTTGTAGGTACTAAATAAATGTTTGTTCAGTGGACAAAACACACGACCAGACCCAGTAAATGCAAAGCATTTTGAGATATTCACATGAAAAAAAAGAAAACACACACACAACAACAACAACAAAACCCTAACAGCGACTGACATTGAGATTAGACTATTTTAGCACCATAGGTGTACATAGACCTTGCTGAAGCACTGGCCACAGTAAATGACGCGTGCTAATAAATAAATGCATTTTATGCAGAATGATGTATCAAAAGTGTTTACAAAATATCTCGCAAAATTACCTATCAAAAGGCTGTGCATTCAATTTTTTAAAAATAACACGGCCGACTCCAGGGTTTTACAACCCCCAAGCTACTAGGCATGAGAAATTTCCAGAGATCTTATGGTCTGTCATTTTCTCAGACACCTGCAAGACTACCTGCATCAGAATCACCTGGAGTGCTTATTAAAAAGCAAACCCTACTCCAGAGCTTCGGAATCATAATTTCCGGGGATTAGGGCAGGGGGAATCTAAATTTTAAACAGGCACTCCAGGTAATTCTAAGGCATTCAAAGGCGTGCGAGCTAGCGCATTAAAAGTCTTTAGGAAGAGAAGTCTCCCAATTAGAGTTGCCCTTTAGAACGACCTCTTTGGCTGTAGAGTGTAGAATCAACTGAAGCAGGCAAAGATTACTAAATTATCTAATAGCATCACTCAATTTTGCACGGGGCCTGCGGCCCGGAGCGCCGGCGCGCTGGTGCGCCCCCTGCCGGCCTTCAGCGGCCTCGTCCAAGGCCAGTCGGAGACGCCGACTGCGACTGCGCACTCCGCGGCCCACGGAGGCCGCCTCGGGACGCTTACGACTGCGCCGACCCGGCCCGGAAGCGGAAGTGAGCTCGAGTTAGCCTCGCGCGCTTCGCGGGCCGCAGCCACCCCCACCGTGTGGGCCCCGCCGGCTTGCGGAAGTACCGGAAGCGGAAGTTGCTAGGACGTCGGGGTGTTGTTGGGAAAGGGTCGGGGTATCTTCGCGCTCCCCAATTTGGCGCCGTGGCTGCCGGAGCAGGTAAAGCGGGACTGTGATACTTCACCAGCCTGCTGACCTGGCGCCAGCCCGGCCCCGAACACTAGCCCGAGGGGTGTGCTACCCGGTTCTCCGACTCTTTCCCTAGGGTCCTGGTGACCCCCTGACTCCAGGAGTCCCCTGTCCTTTCCCGGAGTCCCCGCAGACCCCCGCCATGGGCAACACGAGCAGCGAGCGCGCCGCGCTGGAGCGGCACGGCCATAAGACGCCCCGAAGGGACAGCTCGGGGGGCGCCAAGGACGGGGACAGGCCCAAGATCCTCATGGACAGCCCCGAGGACGCCGACCTCTTCCACTCCGAGGAAATGAAGGTGAGAGGGGGCGGGGGAATCGAGTCCCCTTGACTTCTGTTGAGGGGAGGACCCCTCTACTAGATTCCCCGCCAAGTCCCCTCTAAAATTCATCATCGCGAGCGGGAGGGAGGCGATGCTTGACCCCGGGCACTTAAAAACCCTGTAAGACCCCGCTTGGCAGTCCGAGAACCTGTATCTAATTACCGATCTGAGAAAGGCGCCCCGAGGGAGGAGGAGGAACTCACTTCTTTGAACATCATTAAGGAGAAAACAGCTCTGGGACAGCGTTTCGAATTCTTAATTAATTAAGATGGTCGAGTTAGCAGTAATTGAGCCCCAGCCTCTGCCATTCTCTTCGGTGTAATTAATTGCACGGCTCTGAGGAGTCGTCCCTCACCTTTACGCAGACTGGCGCTTTTTGTAGTAGTTGGTTTTGCAGTTTATGGTCAATTTTGGAGATAAAGCAGCGCGCACACTACGCTGAAAGAGTGGAACAGCTGACTGCAGTTGCCAGAGCTGCTTAGTTCCCCCTAAAACTTTTGGCTCGCCCTGCTCCTTGAGAGCGGGCGTAGAAAAGTGATCGACTTCTGGAGCTCAGTGTATGAGTGAAGTGTCACTCTGAAGGAGGCAGCCAGCTGCCATTCAGCTCGCCTGCCCCCCGGTTGTTTAAATATGACTTAATATTTTAAACAAGCCAAAGCAAACATTTTGCAGGCCAAATTTGGACTTCCTGCCGCGGTCTGCTTTGTTCCTCAGAAACTCCGAGGATGGTTATTGACTCCTGTTTCAGCCACATTCCTGCTACCCACCTGATGGGGTCTGTTTCCAGCTGCAGGGCCTGGTCCAAGGACACGTAGTGATTCTGGCAACTGATAGGTGTGTGATAGCTCCTAAAAAATGAAGAACTAATTCCTTAAAGGACAGTGAACAAAGTAGGTTTTGGAAAAATGAAGGTGCTCCCCCACCCACCCAACTTTGGCCTCAAAAATGTTTGCTTTGGTCTATTTAAAATATTAAGTCATACTCTGTGTTAGTATCCAGTTGCATATTAATCATCATTATCCATTAGGCTAATTGCCTGGCAACTCATTCCAGCTTCACTCTCGTTTTTTCTCATGTTGGACTGGGCAATCACGTTGTTAGTACATCCGCACTTGGATCCTGGCTTTGAATCTATAAAGAACCTGCTTTTCCTGGGCCCTGCCTGCTGTGACTGGAACTGGCTTTCTGAATTTGTTGTATTTCTGAAAAAGGGTGTGCAAAGCGAACTTTGGAATCCTGTTTCTCCTATGATTTGGCATCCCTTCCCCCGGAAATAATTTTGGCCAAGGACGGCTGTTTAAGACACCATAAGAATGAAACTATTTTCTTCAAGAAGTGTTTGTTCTGTTGCTGTTCCATAACTCTTAGACGAAACGTTTAGCGTACAGATGATCCGTGGAGAATGATTTTAAACAGCGTCCATTGTCAGTTCCTCAGAAGTTACTGAAATGATGCCGCAGACACACTGGCTTGAATGCCCCAGATACAAAAACGAAAAAAAGGCCACAGATCTGTGGTTAGTTGTCATGTCCTCAGTGGAAAGTGGTTCGGGAAAATCTGCCATTCTTTAATCTGTAGATCTTGTTAAAGCTTAGAGTGAAGGCACCTTTTAAGAAAAGCTCAGGTTGGTATTTGAAATGAAGGTGCTAGAAGCTCGCTCGACACCTTTAATGGTCTCTCTCAGCCTCCAACTCCTGCTCTTCTCAAGTCTTTGGCTTCTGACTAGGAAAAATGTAAAAGATCTAGAACCACATGGGTTTCACCCAGAGTCAGACGTGTTTATTTCCCTCTTACTCTGGACTGCCTCAGTTTTACAGCACTTCCCGCACTAAAAGTTACTGTTTACCACGACAAGAGTCAGTCTTTGTCTTGTCTGTCTTTTTCTCCCCAGTGCCTGGATGGCGCTCGGTGAATAGTTTTTCCCTTCCTCAGAGTCTGGATTTGCCGGTTTTCAAGTTGACAACTCTGGTATTGTCCCTAATAAGTTTCCATTACTTCAAATCTTGCTTAATTATGGGAGAAAAATGATGCTGATTAAGCTAGTCTTGGATTCATCGCAGCCTTCGTCCCAATGAGTTTTATAGTTTCTCCCAGAATTGTGATGTAGACTTCTTTACTAACAATAATAAGGGCTAATAATTACTAAGCACTTAGCACGTGTCACACTATGCAGAGCTGTCTGCTTCACAAAAAGCTTAAGAAGTGGTTATTTTTATCTCCATTTTGCAAGTGGGGAAACTGAGGCACAGCTAGTAAGTTAATGAGCCCAAATATGAACCGAGGTCATAACAGCTGCCTCTTTAAAATGAATTGTCCCTATTAGGGTAACTGTCTGTGGTAGGGAACTCACTCACGGCTTCCTGCCCCTGAGTAAACCGCTCTGTTTCTAGGCTCCAGAGAAGGAGGAATTCCTGGCCTGGCAGCATGACCTGGAAGTGAATGATAAAGCTCCTGCCCAGGCTCGGCCAACCGTATTTCGATGGACCGGGGGCGGAAAGGAAGTTTACTTATCTGGGTCCTTCAACAACTGGAGTAAACTTCCCCTCACAAGGAGGTAATTGCTTGGCGAGCATGTACATGTTTGTCTTAACCCAGCGATACTCTTGTTTCTACATAGTCTCTGGGGGGGAATAGAAGAGAATGTTTTTATTCAGTGGATGCTGAATGGAAAAATTACCTTGCTTAATAATTTGTAGGGTTCAGATCCCACACCCAATAGTCTCTAGGTTTAGAGGACGCTTTTCTTAGATGAAAATGTCTCATGGTTGCAAGTATTTCTGTTTCATAGACATCTTTCACTTCGGATATTCAGCTGAGTTTGTCCAGGCAGAACTTCTCCTTCAGAAAGAGAGAAATTGATTCCTAGAGCAGTGGAAGGAGGTGTGGCCTGGGAGTCTTCGAGACTGGGATTTGAGGCCACCTTGGCCCAGCTAACCTGTCATTAACACCTGAGCCTCAGGATCCCGATCTTCAGAAAGGAATATCGGACCAGGTGGTCTCTGAGGCTCCTTCTGACTTTGACTCTGTGTGACTTTTGTTTGAAAGGTGCATGCTATGTAGGCATCATTAGCAAGACGATTGTAAAACACTTTGTCACGAAGCCTAGCAGGGACTCCTTCTCAAAGTGTCAGTGAAAAAGCCTCTTCACTAGTGAGTACTCTTGATGAACGGAAGGGAGAAACGGCGCCCTGCTGGGCCCAGCCTCATTACTGTCGGGACTGCCCGCTTTTCCAGCGGTAACAGCGGAGGAGGAGGAAGCCACTCGGCACAGTTACAAGTCAGGTCAAGTCAGAGGAACCAAACAATCAAATGAAAGAGGTTTCCTGGAACCTTGCTTAAGTGGTTCTGCGAGTTTCTTTAGGGAACTGTTTGTGCATCTTATTAAATTGATCCCCTCTCCTGCCCAAGGCAAACTGACGGAGGGTAGAACCCGGGAGCAGAGAGCTGTTTGTATCTGGTGTTGCTGTCTCCTTGGCATCCAGGCTGCCAGGTGGTATTTTGCATGCAGGTTGGGAAGACAAATGCCTATTTGTTGACGTTTTCATGGTAGGAATGTGGCTTCCGTGGATTTGAGCAGAGTGAGTTTTCAGGAAGACCTCTTGCCTCGCTGCTTCCTCATAGCTTGTCTAGATTGAGATCATTATACTGAATTGTCTAAATTGGTTAGAAATGTTGATTCTGCAGCAGAACTCTTGGTTTTACATGGAAATGTTTTCTTCCGTGGCTGGTTTGCAGGTAAGCTCAGAGAGCCGCCCACTCAGCTGAAATCCTCTGCTTCCTTTTTCCTTGCAGCCACAATAACTTTGTCGCCATCCTGGATCTGCCCGAAGGGGAGCATCAGTACAAGTTCCTCGTGGATGGGCAGTGGACACACGACCCTTCTGAGGTACTCTTCTCCTGCCCTTGCTCCTCTGACTGCAACAGTCCCAACAAATCACCTTCCCTTCTGGATTGTTGCCACGTCCCTTTGTCCTGCTGTTCAAAGTCCCTGTGTGTGGCTGAGCTAGATGCAGTGCTAATTGTCAGGCTGTTGGCACCCTTGACCAAGAAGAGCAGGGTGGCTAGCCAGGAGATGAGACCTTCCAGCCAGGAATGCCAAATCCTCTAGAAGAACTCCGGAGACCTTCCACGTTGTGATTTCTGCCTGTCTGTCTCTTCCCAGCCAATAGTAACCAGCCAGCTTGGCACAGTTAACAACATCATTCAAGTGAAGAAAACTGACTTTGAAGTGTTTGATGCTTTAATGGTGGATTCCCAAAAGTGCTCCGATGTGTCTGGTATGAACACAGTTATTTTATACCACGTGTGTAGAGGTGGGGGCTGTGCAGTCTAGAAATACTCTTGTTTCTCTTGCCTCTCACTCTTGAGCTCAAGCTGCCCAATCAGGTGGACGTTTGTAGCTCTGTAAAGGGCCTAATTCCTAACTCTGTCAGGTCAGGCTGTTGAAATTTATCTCCAAGGGAGCTGTCAGTCGTGTTCCTGGTCTTCAGTGGGTCTGCCTCCACAGAGAGTAGACAGTGGACACAGAGCCAGAGCTTGAGTTCGTACCAGGGCCAGGGCCCAAGAGGCTCCGAGAGTTGCACTGGGTCAGGGATGAGCCAGCACTGGGGAAGCCTGCCAGCTCTCTGCCCACTCACTGTCCCCTCGAGGTGCCTGGAGAATTTCAGCCTGACGGGTGATAAATGGACACTCGGTGACCTTGGCCGTGACTTTTGTGGTCCATTAGCACCTTGTCAGAATCCCTTCAGGGGAGAAAGAGGCTCACCACGGGAAACAGGCCATCCAGCACAGTCTGCTCAGTACCATCCTAGTAAAAAACTGTGTCGTCTTCCAAGAATTGTCTAGTCATCGACCTTTCGATAAGTTGCTTCCATCCACACCCCACAGGAAGAAACTCCCTGGAAACATAATTGTTACAATTCAGGGGGAAGAATGTGTTACGATCTGAAGTGTCAACACCAGCTGCCCCTCCTTGCGGGGGTTTGAACACTTCCTAGACCCCCGAGGGAGGCAGTGACAAGGTGTCCCAGGACTGTGTCTGGCAGTCTAAGAAAATGGATTCAGTTCTGTTTACAGGACGAGTCTTCATTGTCACCTGGCTGGGCCTGGAGGTTCTGCCACCAGGGTCTCTCATTCTTATTGGCTCACAAATTAAAGTGGTAAATCGACCGTGGTGGGCTTGCTGTGGCTGACAGGTCAGGTTGTTGAGCAGGAATTGGAAATCCAAAGATAGCATTCTTCCATCTGGAAAGCTAACTGATCTTTTAGAGAAATTCTTTCTTTTCACATAGGTGAGAATTGGAGGCTGGAGGAGATGTCCAGATAGCCCCTACTCGCCGATACATGGAATTTTAGGCCTCACACCAAAGCTTTTAGTTGAGCTGCAGCAGCACAGATCACCTGGGGAAGGAAAACTGACCCCTCACTGCCGCTAAAGCAACTTCCCGCTTGCTGTAGACTTGTCCGATGTAGATACTCGCTTTCCCCAAATATGGATTGACTCCTAATGGCTCCGTCTTGTGCACTTAATGCTTTTCTCAGTTTCCTGCTCTGATGTGGTTGGGTCATGTGAAGGGAGCCTGTCCCCTAGAAATGGACGTGGAGGGAATTGGCAGAGCTAGGGCCTATCAGGTTTATTCTGGACAGCCCGAGGATTAGCGACCAGGCTCATCCCAGGTGCCCTTGGTTAACAGCTCAGTCCCTTTCAGCTAGCCAAACATCACTAAGTGAGCTGCTTTTGGAAGCTTCTTAATGTATCTGTATGATCGAGATACTCAAGAATTTGAAAGGAACCTGAGAGTGATGAAGTTAAAGAACCTTTAGAGATCAGCTTTTCAATTTTTTTTTTTTTTTAGTTTTGAAACGTGCCGGTGCCTTGTATAACCTGTTTTCACCACTGCCTCTGTATAAACAGGCTGCTTTATCTTCTGTTTTATTCTGGTGGTAGTGCTCGTAACTTGAGCTTAGCCACTTAAGCCTCACTTGAAGCCTTGAGCTTCTTTGCGGTATTTGCCAGCCTGGCCTGAAGCGAGAAGGAAGCATTATTCTGCGGTGGCATGTGAGGTTAGGTTATTGTGAGCAGCTTCCTTGTTAGTCTGACCCAGACACACTTTGCCACAACTTCTGTCTTCCGCCAGGGCGTCTTGAGTTTGCTGCTGAATTTTATGCCAGTCAGCCACATTCCAGAAGGGATTTCTCATTGCCTCTGCTCTTCACCCTTGGAGCCTGTATATTCTCCAAGAGAATATAAATCTGTGTTGAGGGAACAAGAGACAAGGAGAACGAGGCAATACCATAAGTTAAATGAGATTGCCCCAGACCTGCTAACTTTCAAAGTAAATGTCCTCTCACCATCTCCCAACAGAGCTGTCCAGTTCCCCACCAGGACCCTACCATCAGGAGCCCTACGTCTCAAAACCAGAAGAACGGTTTAAAGCCCCACCCATCCTCCCCCCACATCTGCTCCAGGTCATCCTGAACAAGGACACGGGGATTTCGGTGAGTGCACAGGCGTCTGCGGGACCGCCCTCCATGCTCCTCCTTCAGTCCACCTCTTGCGAAACAGCTCGTGAAAAAGCTCCATGTTGCCCACCAGTGTTAACTGCCAGGGTCCACATAGCAGGATGTTCCCGAGTGTGGGTGTGGCCTCCCCGTCCCACAAGCCTTTCTGAATTTATCTTCCTTGTATTTCACTCTGCCTCAGCCCAAGCCCCATTCCTTTTAAGTTTCGTGACAAAATAACGTAACCAACCTTCCAGTAAGCTGTGTAATGAGATTTCTCCTCTGGTGCCCAGATTTTGGAATCTAGTTTGAATCACCAAATTGCTTTCAGAAACATCACTGCTCCTGAATCAAAATTTAGGGTATCTGGGTAACACACATTTCCTCTGAGAAATTGATATCACTCTCGAAAAGAATGTGTACCCTCCTGGATCCTGAAGAGCATCCCGTTATCCCCTTGTGGTTAATTTTCCATTCCGTTTAACCTGGATTGCCTGGTTCTCCCAGCTCCAGAATGCACGGCATAATTCTTAGACGTTCTTGCACTTTGTCCAAGCCACCACCTCAAAGGCACAGGTGGTGAAGTCATCGTGCTGCTGCTCCGGACTCCACAGAGAAGTGGTGCCTGTGTGCTGAGATGTGGAGCTGAATGCACTCGTGTGCAGGCGTCCCCTACAGCGGTCATGGTGTGTTACCCGGGGACTCGCCATTCTCAGGGCACTAGGTCCTCCCGCTCCATCGAGAGTCCCCCCCATGCACACGCCTGACAGCTTTTGCCCTACGCCTTTTTTGAATTAGCATTTATAAAATTGGGGAGTGTACATTGGAAAAAAATCCAGATATCTGGCCTTTCTTAAAAAATAGGAAGATAAGTGCCAGTCCTGTGTGAGCTTTTACAGAGTGATTGCGCCTCTCCCCCTCCCCCAATTATCCATTTCCTTCTTCAGGCTCCCTGGCTGCATCTTACAGACAGGAGTTTTGCAATCCACTACTCAGGAGCGTTTAGTATAAATTGTATCTTCCTGCTTTCTCTGAAAGTGCATTCATTGGACAGCTCTTTCTTCCTGCCCCTCCTTCAGTAAGAGGACAGGGCCATGGCCCCCACTTTAGACGCAAAGGGAAAGCCTGACCAGAGACACACACCATTGTGCCCAGCAGGCACACAGGAAGCTCCTGTTAGTTGGATAATGAGGCACGATCCCCTCACCTCACCTGTCTTCTTGGACAAGCCCTTTCGCTGCCTGGTTTAGGAAGAAGGGGTGAGAGCCTGCTTCCTTTCCTCTGATACCTGGTGCTGTGAAATAAAGGGGAGAATCTTCTTGACTTCCCAATCCTCAATGCTCACGTGTGCTTTTGTTCCCCTACAGTGTGATCCAGCTTTGCTCCCTGAGCCCAACCACGTCATGCTGAACCACCTTTATGCGCTTTCTATCAAGGTAATGACAGGTTTGTCGATGTTAGAGCTGTTTCTTGAAGTGTGCCCTGACGCCCCCTAGCAACAGAATTATCTGGAATACTTTTCTAAAGGGCAGCGTCCAGGACCTGATGCACACTCACAGGCTCCTGTTCTGAAGGCGGGCCCAGCACTCTGTGTTTGTATTAAGCACCCTTGATGATTCTCATGCATTCAGGTTTGAGCCCCCATCTTAGTCCTGCCTTTGATCATTTCCACCCTCTTCCTCAGGATGGAGTGATGGTGCTCAGCGCAACTCACCGGTACAAGAAAAAGTACGTCACCACCTTGTTATACAAACCCATATGAAGAGCTGGGAGGCGACGGTGGGCCCCAGGGAACAGTTTGTACCACCAGGCTCCACGTGTGCATGTTTTCCACTAGAGAGAATGGACTGTAAATTTCTCATTTCACACTCTTTATAAGACATTTCATACCTGCCCAGTCCTGCTGGAAGGTTTGTTCCGGGTACAGCAGCTCCTGAAGCACCTCGGTCTGGAACGGTTCTCTTAGCACCCAGTGAGTGTGAGCTCGGGGCTCATCGAGGCCGAGAACGGAGTCGGGGAAGGCGGAAGGCCTGCAGCCCCACACCGCAGTGCGTGAGGGCAGCTGTGGTTCTAAAAGGACAGCCTCTCAACTGGTCACAGAGATTTTTCCTAAGCCAAAAATAAACACTGACTACTTTGCTAGTAAAAAATCTGGGAAGCAGTGACCGAGGTCACACGAAATTTCTAATCATATGTGCATTTTTAAGGCCATGCATTGACCCTGTTGAGGCCTGACTGGAGCTAACAGCAAGTACAGTGTTGGTCTTGCCGGTCCTTTGAAATCAAAGCAATAGATTGTCTCCCCTTCTCTGCTCCAGGGAGGTATAATTTCTATAGAAATTAGAACCCATCTGATTTTCAGATGAAGTTTTACAATTGTTTCTTACATTAAATGTGCACTAAGTACTTTTTTTTTTAACCAGAGGTGGCTGACTATACAGCCTTAAGGCAATTTTTACATCACCCCGACTAGACTGTAGATCATGTGCCCTGTGCTCAGCGATAATCTGTTCTCGAAGCAGACGGAAAACTGCTGCCGGACTTCTCCATCGAGCTGGGTGATCCTGAGGACTGACCACCGTTCGCTGGAAGGTTGTGCAGCTTTTTATTCTGAGCATACTGAGGTGATGGTGTTACCCTGACAACTTGGCAGAAGCACCCCACCCTAGCCCATGCCACCTTGCTCAGGACCTCTGTTCCTAGCAGGCTGCAGCAGTTGCTGTTGCTTGTTCTGGAAGGAACTTAGAACTTGACAGCAGCCTTCTAAATTTGTGTCAGGAAAACATCCTTTGGACCAAAGCGAACCTCTTTACACTCGGCCTAGTTTCCAGGGAGATGCTGCAGACATGCCCGTTAGCGTAGGTGCCTGTCCCCGAGTCAGCAGAAGCTGTCGGCATGCTCTGTGTTCCTGCTGGGAGATGGGGGACTAAGCTCCCTGCTTTCCGGTATTTATTTGGTAAACCTGAGTCCGGAGTACCCTCTTTTGTTATTTTCAAAACACTGAATTACTGTCACCTTGACATACAGGTTTCAATAAAGCTTTGTAAAAATAACAGGACATGCCCTTGGAGGAAGCTTTGATTTTATTCACTCATTTGGAGGAGACGCTGGAACTCTTGCAGAGGTTTATTCAGGGCTGTGTTCTTCGGTCTTTCTCACGTCTCAGCACACACTGAAAATGGGACCATGCTGTGGTACTGTGGGGCAAGGGAACAGGGCCGCTCCAGCTGCCCCCAGAGCTGAGGACCATTCCCCTGACCCACCCATTCTGCATGCAGAGTTTGGAAGGTGTTAAGGAGCCTGTAAAACTGAGCCCTTCTGAACCACTCGGTCCTGAAGGGAGGCTGAGGAGAGGCAGCGGTGACGGCTCCTGGTTTAGGCAGGTTGGTGGCGTCCCCAGGTCAGAGCTTTTGCTTCCTCTTGCTCATCAACAAGCACTCCAGGAGAGCCTGGGATCATGACGCCCGCTTGGAAGACACCAGGATGTTCTGGAGTCAAAGCTGTTCTCATCAGCTGAATGGGGCTCTGTCTTTTCTACCAAAGAGATGGAAGATGACAGGTGTCCCTTTCATAGGCCTTTTCTTCCCAGGCATCAGGAAACATTTAAACATATTTAGGAGAAAACTGGGTCATTTGGTCCACTTGAGGTGGAGAATATCCTAGAAAGCATTTTTAGCTGAGAAATTAGCCGTCTCACCCTGAAAAGCCCAGGTCATGTAGGAACCCTAGATTAGGGACTGTAGGGATTATTCAAGGAGACTAAGGAAAAAGAAAAATCCTTTTTCCAAAACTAGGTAAAATATTTTAAAATACAACTGAAGATACATAGCTGAGTTCAGAAGTATAAAAGGGATATATTCAAGCACCAGGAATGAAGAAACCATTGCCGTGTTGGTGAGCTGTGAGCACAGCCCGTAGGCCCATGATGGGGACTTGGGGAGGGTGGTGGTGGGGCCAAGACCCAGGGAGGGGCCTCCAGGGCCGGGAATTGATACCCACGCCTGGGCAAGAGGCTCCTTGCATGAGTTAGCCCTTTCCATAAGAGGAATTAGATAATCTGGCTGCTGGCCTGAGTCAGGGCTCAGAGGGAGCCATCAGCCCCCAGCTGCAGGGGGAAACAGCCAGCAGTCAGAAAATCCAGCACGCAAATTAGCTCTACCCATGAAGTACAGAAAAGGCCAAGCTGAAAGTCCACTGTAAAAACTAATGTGGAGGGGCTGGCCCCATAGCCAAGTGGTTAAGTTCGTGCACTCTGCTGCGGCAACCCAGGGTTTCGCTGGTTCAAATCCTGGGCGTGGATGTGGCACCACTCATCAAGCCATGCTGAGGTGGTGTCCCACATGCCACAACTCGAAGGACCCACAACTAAGAATATACAACTATGTACCGGGGGGCTTTGGGAAGAAAAAGGAAAAAAAATCTTAAAAAAAACCTACTAACCTGGAGCCAGTAAACCCCCTAAGAGTCGTCCGCAGCCCAGGGGCCACAGGGCGCTTGTAGGAGAGATGACTGCTGTGGTGGAGGAGTGGAGGCACAAGCTCAGGACACGGGGACATGGGTGTCAGCCTTCTCCACAGCTGTTTGTGTGTCTAAAAGACTTCATTCTTTAAAAAGCAACGCAAAAGGAAGTCCTTCTGGTCCAGCAGACTGCACACAGACCCAAGTGAAAGACATTTTATACCTACGAAGCTAAAGGCAATGGAGATTATTTCATGGATGTGGAAAAGGAGACCCTGCTTTGCCCAATCCCAGTGCAAAGCCACATGCAGAATTGATGTTTCCTATGACCCAGGTAATGTTTCCTCTGTTAGCATTCCCATTATGGGTGAGGAGTGGTTACATAGTTAGTTAAAGCTTAACCAAATTGCTTTTAAATGAAGACAGATTTTTTTCCCCTCCGGAAAATTATATACAAATGAATCTACAGAGCCAAAGGTAAGGCCTTTAAATTATTAAGATGTAAAATGGTACTGCAGGGTAAGCAGAACCACACATCATAGTATTGAAACCAAAGATCAAAGGACCAGGCAAGGCTGTTGCCTCCCCTCTGGCCCTGCTTCCTATGGGTGTCAGTGTGAGGGAAGTCAGTCACAGTCTGAGACCTGATCAGAGCCTCCTGTCACGTTGGAGCTGGCCGGTCCCCACCACCTCCTCTCCCATAATGTGGACGTTGGACTGAGATTAGGGATGTCGATCCACTTCCGTTGCAGGCTAGCTGTGTGACCTTGGGCAAATCACATGGCCTCTCTTAGCCTGATTTCCTTCCCTGAAAAAGGGAAGGTGTTGGACTAGCACTAGGTGATCCCTAGGGTACTTTTCACTTCGTGTTGGGGGCCAAGCCTTTACAGCATGAATGGGTATGGCCACAAACAGGAAGTCCAGGGGCCAGAAAAGAAAAAAGTGCCAGCACCTCAGCTCACTCTATTAGGAAACCTCCGATTCCAAAGGCCAAGATTGAAAACTCAGCACATCAGTGATACCATCCATGGCCGACGTCAGAGACTAAACCACTTTAGGGGAAAACTTCTAGATGAGCACGATTTCATTTCTGAACATGTACTCAGTTCTCCCAGTACCTGACTCTCCTCCAGTGTTTACAAACGGTTTGAATGCAGTGATGAAGATCCAAGACTATGGCCCACTCAGATTGCCGTCCAGCTTCTGAGGAATCCCTCGTTAGCACCTGTCTTGATCAGCACTTTGTGGGAAAACAGAAACTAGAACCTTCTGCCCTGAAACACTAACTATAATTGTCTTCAGGAGAAAACAAGGAGGTTACTAACATCCATGGATTTCTCCTAAAACCCAAGTCATCCCAGCTACTTGTAAAAACACCCACAGGGCCTTCCTAAGTCGTCCCTGCTTGGAGTCAGCCCCTTGGAGAGGATCCTGAAAGCTGGAGCAGCGGGGCCCACTCTCTGAGAGGAACCACAGCTCCGCCTGCAGAGTCGGCTCCCACGACCACCTCTCCAAGGCCCTTTGCCTCAAGGGGGTGCAGCCCTTATGCTGCCCTTTCTACCCTCTGGAGTGAATTCTCCCATCTCATCTGGAAAACTCAAAAGCAAATGAAGAACACAGGAGACAGCTCCAGTTGTGTGTACCCTGGGTCAACTTTTCCCGTTTTTGTGGTTCTCTGAAAGACAGCCTGAGTTGTGTATAGTAGTAAAGTCACTTTCAAAGTTCTTTCCTCTACCTCTGACAACCTCCTCAGGGCAAAGAGAGTTCCATTAATCATTGACAGACTCAAGGGAAAGCAAAGTGATCAAGGCTGTACTATATTTCCACTAACCCCACCCTTTCCAGCACCCAGAAAATAAAGTTTCAACATTTGATTAGGCAAGTGATAAAACATTTTTCTCATATAAACACCATGTGCCTGGAGCCACAGTCTCCGTGCTTTAGACATCATAAACAACATTGAAACTGCCAAAAAAAAATCCGACCAGAACAGGCCAAAGTTTCTCAACCTCAGCACTACTGACACTGTGGGCCAGAGAGTTCTTTCTGGTGGGTGGGGGTGAGGGGGCGGGCCGTCCTGTGCATTGTAGGATATTTAGCAGTATCCCTGGCCTCCACCCACTAGGTGCCAGAAGTACCCCCCAATTGTGACAACCAAAAACATCTCCGGACGTTGTCAGATGTCCTCAGGGGAGGGGAGCAAAGTCACCCCTGGGTTAGAACCACTGGAACAGGCCTATCTAACTGTTGTCTTATAACTGAAAGCTTAGCCGGTGCCACCCCAGTGGGCCTAGCCTTAATGCTTTGGATTTAAATCTGCATGAATGTTTTCTAAAGCAAATCACATTCAAGAACCCCAGTACTGAAGACAGGCTAGATATTAAGTCCTGTTAAGCAAATCATCTCTTTGCGGCCTAAGTCTCCAGATCCTAAAGTTTCATGGTTATGAAATTGGGTGTGCAATCAATGTCTCTAAGTCTGGTGAAAATTAAGTTGTAAGCACAGAAAACGTGACATTTAGTTTTACGCTTAAGAAACAGGAGTGGCACCACAGAAGGTTGGGCCCTATTTTATGGTGTGGCTGAGTAATTTGTTGGTTGTTTCTTTGAGGTCATTCCTTAGGGTCCAAAGAACCTTTCTGGTGCATTCCTTTTGGAACCAAAGCATGTTTACTTAGGCTTTTGCAGTATTCTGTGGCTGCAAAGAATCCTCAGGACAATAACTGAAATCGTTGGTTAATATTTAATGGACTTTTTCTATTAAAAGGAAAGAAAGGTTCCAACATTTTACCTGTCCATCTTCTGAATTATTTTCATTCTTACATTTGTGACCTTTGGCAGATTTATATCGACAACAGTAAAACAGAAAAAAACAATGGCAACTACAGTTCCTGTCACAAGCCATGTCAGATACAACCCTGCAAGTCAAATTTTGACTGTGGTCAGATTACTTCATTGGAAAATAAAAATCAAAGACTAAAAGCAACGGGACCTATGAGAAAATCACCATTTGCCAAAACCAACGTTTGTCTGGATCAAGCAAAGTTTATACTAACAAACTAAGAAATTGTAGAAAAGATTTACCTCGCAGACTATATAAAATTTATTAGTTAAAGATAGAAGTATTTACATTTTAAATTACCTTGATCTGAACTCCTCCAAGGAAATCTACATCATTAAATTCCCCATGCCCTTATAATAGATGAGAGAAATTTTAAGGTGACCTGTTTTCCTGGTTAGCTGCATTATAGGACAACTGGGTAATCCATTCTCAAGTAATCCTTTCAAAATGGCCTATTTGACTGCATAAGGAGCTTTCCAGTTTTGCAATCCTATATAGTGACCTTAATAGACAGTTCATGGTTCACTGGAAGTAATGACCAAACTTCGACAATGTCACACTTTTGGAAGAGAACATCACCAATCTGCTGATTCCGGGAGAGGAGCATGCTGTAAGCACTGTGGCTCTCCCATCCCACCCCAGAGAAAAAGCCACCCTGCAAAGAAAGGAAGGTCCCCTGCCATGACATCAAGCCTATGCTGACACTGGCCACACTTAGGATTTTTGTGGTCTCTCTCAAGAAAAGAAGAGGTCATTGCACTAAGGCAAACATTTTAGATCACTGCTTTATTTCACTATTGTTCGACAACAGAGTTCATTCCTCTCAAGGTGGATCTTGAATTGTTCTTTGTGTTCTTTTCCTCGTTCTGATTAAAAAAGGTAATGAAGAAAAAGCCTGTACTTTTGGAGACCTAGAATCTTATTTATGCTAATAAGCTTTTGACTGCAATTTCGTGTTACGATATTTCCTGCTGGCATCTTGGTGGTCACACGGAGCTCCCCCACCCTCCAGTGAAGATAGCTGTCCACAGCTACCACCGTTGAAACCAAAAGTAAGTGTTGAAAAATGCACCTTGTACAATAAAAAAGTAGAAACCAATTCAGTTTCCTTTTCTTTTTTTTTACGAATATAAAGTTTCTTGTAAATATGTACAGTCTTTTGAGCTAGTTCTATAGCAGGAAGCATTTCACAAATGAGACACACGATATACATTTTAAGGGCTCAAGAAGCCCATTTCTCATGGAGATCCTAAATGAAATGCCAAGACTGAAAAACCAATTTTCAGTGACCTTTCCAAATACTGTGGACCAAGAGACAAAAACTTCAGCAAACATTCAGTCAGATCTGCCCCGGGGGGAGGGTGGGGATGCACGATGATCCCAAAGACTCCAAGCAACACGTAAAACACGACAGCGTGACATTTGTCAAGGATGCGACAACATGGAGGGAGGGTCGTGGGCGTTTCAAAGGAGAAAGCACTTAGGTTAAGAGACGAGCAGGAAGGAGCCAGGATTTGGGCCAGGTTGCAATCTGGAAAGTGAACTGAACTGTGGACATGTGGGCTGAAACACGGTCACGTTCACCTGCTGTGGTGAACACAGCCTACCTAGGATGTGCGTTGGTTGCTGGAGGCGCGCCTAAAAGTCATGGAGAATCCAAAGCAGGAGATGCCTTGTGGGAGATTAAAGGCAGAAGTAAGGCCGCTAGTTAGCTTGCCAACTGCAAAGCCTCTAGGTTGGTTCTTTACTGTTTGCCAGGAATTCCGCACTCCAACAGAGGGTAAAAACAGTGTGAGCCGCTCTGCACCTAAGGAGGACTTCCCGACCCCAGCAGAGGTGGAAGAGTTGAGCTGCGGCTGCCTTCTCAAACTTCCTGGTCTTAGTCTAGCCCTAGGGAAAGGCTCATTTGGGAAGTCACAGTTTCATGGGGTAGAACCATGCTGGGTTTCATGTGAACACACAGTCAGTCATCCGCGAGGGAGTCGGCAGGGAAGCATGGAAGTGTGAGGTGGTGGTTTGCTGAAATCCTTCTCTGGTCGTAAGGCTTGAGCGTTTGGTTTTTTGTTTGTTCAGTGCTACAGACTGCAGCTTGTTGTGGCCAGTGAGTTGGCAAGTCGTCAGAGGGTCTCAATTCGGTGGGAGCTATGGTATGGGACTAGTACATTGGCAGAGCAACCCAAGGGGGGCAGCCAGTTGGGGGGCAGCACATGCAGTGAACCGCCATGCAGAACTCCCGGACGGGTCTCTTCCCATCCCAGGGTGGGGATCAGTGTGCCGTCAAGGGCAGGAGGTGGGTGTCCCCGGTCCCCCCTGGACCCAGAGACCCATTAATGCTGGGCTCAGAGCGAGTGTATTGCATGCTTTCCTGGCCAAAGCTACATGGAAAGCGGGGACAGCAGGCTGGGGAGATGATGCTGAGGGGCGGGGAGGGTAAGCTCCTCGAGGTCCCTTGGCCCCAAGTCACTGCCTCCGAGCTGAGGCCCGATGACCTCCGTACATTCTCAGCTGGTGGGAGGGGAAGTCGTCAAGGCCATAAAAGGCAATGAGAACAGTAAACATTTGGCTAAGATGTCACCCTGCTAAAACAGGGCCATCTATGTGGATGGACAGGAACGAGAATGAACCTACGTGAGCGCAGGAGGTTGGCCAACTGGCGGGGACTCTTCTATAATACGTCTCAGTAGCAAAGACCTGATGGTGTGATCTAGCTAAAAATGACTACAACAGGAAATACATTGCTATTCAAATCTATTAAGAATTCTGTCATCTTTAAAAAAAAGAAACGCAAGAAAAAAAACAAAACCAAAAGAAAACCAACCAACCCTATGATCTTAGAGTAGCTATTAATTAGGATGCTAACCACGTGGTAGTTAGCGCCTGGTTGGTTCCCTTGGATGAACTGGTACAGGCTAGAGCTAGGTACAAAAGTTTATGAATGCTTTGAAAGAGTAACAAAGTGCGCAGAGGGTGACTGCAGGAAGCTGCCGACAGCTCCTCAGGCCTCAGCCCCCTGCTCCTCCTGGATGCAGGGTGTCCGTGCTGAGGGGGTCTGGGTCCAGCTATGCCATGGGGTGGCTGAGCAGATGGGCGCTGGGGTCCCCTTCAGCAGAGTTCCGTAGTGGGTGGTGTTTTCCTGCAGATTAAGATGAGGAGTTGGTTTTCCGGCTGAGAATTATACTGAAGACTGGTCCCACACCTAGGGGCAAAACAAGGACGAGGGTTTTTAGCCGTCAGAGGCCAGAAACTGCCCTGGCTCACTTTGCATAACCCAAACAGGAAGCTCGCAGCCCCTGGTCTCTCAGCACAGTGCTCTGTGCTCTGTAGGGCAGCACTGGCAAGCAGAGGCAATTCCCTCAAAGCTTGGGGTCCGTCAGGGGAAAAAATTCACTGGGAAGTCTATGTATGTATTTCTCCTGTTACACATACACGTACACACACCGTTTTATCGGTAAATCCTAAGGGATAAGAAAAAACATTTAGATGGCTTTTCCTCATCTCTAATGGCAAGGGTGCCGACAGTGAACTGCAGATGGCGTTAGGAGAATGCCATCCAGAAAACTGGCTCCCAGTGACACAAAGGTGGCTCTGCTATCCAGAGAGGGCCCTGGAGCCGGCTAGCCTACTAAGGAGGCACCAAACACTCGGGCCTCCCCCTGCTTGTGGGCCCCCTTGTCTTCAATACATCCCTCCATCTCCTCGATTGCTAAGCTAAAAACTGCACAGATAATACAGGCACGCGATTTTAAAATTTCAAAAGGTTCAAAGTTCTAGAAGGCAACCACTGTTACCAGTTTCCGTGTAGGAAAATTCTTGATGTACGTGTGTGTGTACTTGTATGTGTGTTTGAAGAAAGAAAGACACTTGGTATAGTATGTTACGGTTTGTGTTTAAGAAGGGAGAATACACATACGTCTCTGCTTGCAGGATGCACAGATCTCTAGAAACTGTGAACGCTGGTTGCCTCTGGGGAAGGAATACACCCTTCGGTAGCTATTACCTTTTGAGATGCACACACACATTTTCCATTTGCTTAGGAAGCCTCTTCTTAAGCACCTTTTCTTCCTATACTTGTTCTATGTCCCACAAAGTCTGAATGACAGTGATGGAGTGCCTTTTTCACAACAGGGGCCTCAGCTCCCCAGGTCACTCCTCTGGCCTCAGATGGTGCCTCACCTTGTTGACCTGGGACAGTGGGGTTCGCACGGCTCCCACAGGCAGCCGGCCCCTGCTGCTGTCTTCAAAGAGCCTCCCGGGGGACCGTTCCCTCCGCGTGCTGAGCATCCGGCCCGGGGACTTCTCGCGCTCCAGAGGGCGGCCAGGAGACTTGTCTCTGCGCAGCTCCGTCCGCCCCTCTCGGTAGCGGTGGGGTGTGCTTGGCTCTCGCGGGTGGCTGGGGCCTTCGGGTGGTGCTGGGCTGGAGGCCACGCGCTTGGTGATGTGCTCGTTGTATGTTGGCGGGCCTCGCTTGTTGGGGCTGCTGGCAACAGGAGAGGGAGGTGGGGGAGCTGAGAAGTCACAACCCCAGGGGGGCATTCTCCTTCTCTGAGCATCCCCCATGCCCCACCACCAATTATTAGAAAAAGATCACACCTGGAGTTCTTCATGCTTTTTGTTTGATTTTGGTAGCGAGGACAGGGAAAGAAAGAAAAAATGACAACAAAGGAAAATCAAACTTCCTGGTCTCTGTGCAGGCTTTTTACTGAGCACCTACTGTGTGCAAGGCCCTGTGCCAAGCTCTTTAGGTGCTTTAACTCGTTAAGTCATCCTAACAGCTCTACAAGCTAGAAACAAGCTTGACCCTCACTGTACAGACAAGAGAATGGAGACACAGAGGCTGGGCGACTGGCCTGAGCCACCGAGCAGCAGGGCTGGGATTCCAATACAGGTCAGTCTGACGTCATAATCCCCTTACTATATCCTCCTGACCTAGTATTTCCCAGGGACTAGGAGGCACAAAAGGAAGTCTTCATTTAGGGGTGAAGCCTGCTAAAAGCCCCTCAACGCAAGGGAGCAGCTTTGAAAAAGCCTGTACTCAGCAACGGTCAGCTGCCATATCTGTCCCACTCCTGTGCCTGGTGTTTGGTCATCTCTCCTTCCAGGTGGCTTTCCAAGAGTCGCGGTGGCACCTGATGCTGATGCGAGAGAGGTAGGGATCAGGCCTGATGGAATTAAGAAACTGAGCAGGGCAGACAAAAACAGTACAGCTGGCTCAAAAAGTGTCTCTGCCTCCAAAGGTTGATGGTTAATAACCAAACAATTGAAAACACTGGGTCCTTTTTGTATGACCAATCCAACCCACCATCCAGCCCCGGCCTGGATATTTCAATGAAGATTTCAGCAGACATGGCCCTAACCACCTCTCTGAAGAAGCAAGATGCAGAATTACAGAGAGAACTGAAACACAGCCTTCCAAGTCAATTCTTTCCCACCCACGAGGAGCAGAAAAAGGACTCGGGTCCTCATTAGCTGAGCATAATTAGTGCCGGGAAGAGGCAACCTACTTAAAATGGGAACAACATTTTATAGAGACTATTACTTGAAGACATATTTTGATTGATTGGGGCTTTATCTTGGAAAATAAAAGAAGAAATCAGGAAAAGAAATTTATTTTATCCTAGATATTTTTAAAATCTAAATTACAATTGCAATTACATGCTGATTCTAAGAATGAACCAAGTATGACTCACATACTGACTTATTTTGCTCTAATTTTCTCAACAAAATTGTAGGCTAACATGCTAGATGACATCCTTTCCATCAATGCCAGACTTCTGCAGTAAAATCATAAAGTCATTTCTTCAAAAATATTGGAGAATGTCATTGGTTTTCCCAAAGGCCTATTAATCCTTGATATTTAAATCTTTCTCTTTGGAAGGGACCAAACTTGTTTATTTTTTTCCTTCAATTATTGGTCTAACTGCCAGAATCTCTTGCCAATCCCCATAAGTGAAAGCAACTGAGCAGCAAAGACACTGACCCATTGAGGAAAGAGAGACTCCAGGGCAAGCTTGAGGGCCAAATCCAGACAGACGCCTGTTTTTATAAATAAAGTTTTATTGGAACACAACCTTTCCCATCTGGTTATGCACTTTCTGTGGCTGGTTTCACACTATGACAACAGAGTTGAGTAGTTGAGACAGACCATACGGCCTGCAAAGCCAAAAATATTTACTAACTGGACCTTTACAGACAAAGTTTGCCACCTCCTGCTCTAAAACAGGAGAGAGCAGTGAGCAGAGATAATTTTATAAGTGGTCGGTTCATTGTGAATAGTTTCATGTCTTCCTCTTGCTTCCCCATGCAGCTCTAACTGTGAAGATTCCAGGTGACATGCTCAAAAAGTCAGAACCCCTATGTTATGTAAAATTTGAGATATCTCCGATTTCAACATCTTGAAATCAAGGTTTATATTCATCTCTAGTCATGTGGCTTTAAGATGGAAGACAAAAAAAATAAATCCCAAGTAGGAGAATTACATTAAGCCTACTTGTAATGGAAGAGAAATTATAAAACGTATTCACAGAGGCCCATCATAAAGCAAGTGAGAAGGTGCTCACTGCCCAGAGGAAGAAAGATGGCTCAAGGAAGGCCATTTGGGATGTCGGCTTAGATTAATGGGACAAAAGAAAACACCCATCATTCTAGGCCGAGTGGGCAGTCTTCCTTCTCCATACCCATTAATGACCAATGATCTACGACAATGATCTACGTCAACTTTATGTTTTCTGCAAAGAGTTACATTTCCTGCTCTACTAAACAGACCACGGCAACGAGGCCTGCAGTGAATCGCACTGAGCCGAGCTGGCCCTTTACATTCTGACCTGCCCAAAGCAGTCAGCATAAAAAGACCATTTTATAAGCAAAGAGACAACTAAAGACTAATGCTGATTTTCCAGACGTGTCCAGCAACAGCAGGAAAGCAACAGCATTATTTCTGCCCCGAGTCCACAGGAACAGGAACCATTTTAGACCAGAGAATAAGCAACTCTGTATAGAGACACCCTATAGTCTCAAAAGGAAGGTGCCTGGCCAGCTAACTAGTGAGGCAATGGAGAAAAAAATATCTAATTACAGTACTTTGATTTGTTCTTGGCATGACTTGGAAACTACTTAAAGAAACTCTAGAAATTTTCAGAGGAGGACTATAGCCCTTTGAGAAGTCACTCTTGAGGCAGGGTTAAGCCAAAACAGGAACAGCTGGTTATTTGGCACTTCTGGTTTTCCAGCAAGTTCCTGGGATTAAAATCACACTGACCAAACATTTCAGACTAACTCTTATATTTCAACAAAAGAAAGAGGGACTATTCATTAGGACATAGTCCCAGAATATTAAATTGATGATGTTCTTTTCCAAGATCTAAGTATTTTCTATTTATTTAATTTTTTCTTTTTGCTAAGGAAGATTCACCCTGAGCTAACATCTGGTGCCAATCTTCCTCTTTTTGTATGGTGAGCCACTGCCACAGCATGACCACGGACAGACGAGTGGTGTAGGTCCGTGCCTGGGAACTGCATCCAGACCGCTGAAGTGGAGTGCACTGAACTTAATCACTAGGCCACCAAGGCTGGCCCGAAGCATTTTTTAATATTAGAGGTGGTTCCTCCACCAAATTGTGAGTGCCTTGAGAATAAAAGCAGTGTCTTCTTCATCAGTGTATCCCCAGCCCCAGATATTGTAAGTCTGGCACATGGTAGGCGGTCCACATAACTCTTCATAGGATAGACATGTGAGGTTTGTAAACCTGTCCAGAAAATTAAAATCCTAGGTCAATTAAATACTCCCCTGGGTTAAATAATCTCAGACCTTCTTTGCAGACCAAAATCTTAAACTTAACACATCTCAAACCTACACCTCAGCCTGGATCTGGCTCCTAGCCCTCTGCCTTAAGACAAGGCTGGTCCCACTTCCACACACTGCTGGTGGGATTATAAAAGGGTACAGTCTCTGGGGAGGAAAACTCAACGTCTGTCAAAACTACAAACACACATCCAGTGGTGTCCATCAATATACTGACATGGAGCAATCTCTGAGATACATCAAGTTACGGAAGTGTATGCATAGTGTGCTATCACCTGTATTAAGAGAAAAAGGGAAGAACAATTCCAGAATGGTAAAGACCTCCAGAAACCTGTTCCTCCATAAAAGCAACGAGAACACTGGCAAAAATGATCAAAATCAACTTTTCAGAACTCTGGAAACTAACCAAAGACTTGCAACAATTTGAAGAGACTTTGTACAAGAAAAATAGCTGAATCTCAGTAAGAACAACAAGCTTTGTGAGACTTTTAACTTGACCTATCCCCACCCCCCTCTCCCCAGATCTGCAGTAGTTTTGAAACCAACAGTTTTAGAACCACAGGAGCTGTGAAAACCAGCAACCTAGCAGCCACTGGAGGAAGCAGATCAGGATTGAAACTCCCCAAAAAGCCCTATCTCCAGAAAGTTGTTACTATCTGTCTTGTCTGGCTACTCCCTGGAAAAGACCATTATCAGGGCTGGTTTTTATTTGACCTGACTCAGAGCTTGCTCATGAGAAAAGCCCTATCTCTAGACGTTCATTGAAAACAATCAGCGGCAACCGTTTAACATGGCAAATGCCTGAGACAGTAATACCAGTTGGGGAAAACAAGAGGCTGGTCAAAACACTCAAAAGGAAAATCTGAGAATAAGATGTCTATGTGGGGGTTTGAAATGATCCTGCTTATTCCTAGGGATCTAGGCTGTGCACAAGCCCAGGAAAAACCTGAGAAGGCCTCAGTGTGTCAGCTCTGGCTGACTTTGAGTGTGGAAGGTATGCCCCCAACACACACACACAGAGCTCCTCAGCAAAGGATGGGAAATTTACTGGTTCAATGCATTTAAGGAAATCTCTGTCCAATCGAGCTGACCACTAACCTAACCAAGCAGAAACTTCAATGGCCCCACATAACAAAGAATACAAACTTTACAGAATTAGTCCAGGAGAGTCAGGAAATAAACAGTAACAACAAGAACAAACCTGAGGGCAGGGAGGGCAGATTTCCAGAGTTGCCACATTATATTATTTGAAATGTTCAGTTTTCAACAAAAAATTATAAGACATTCAAAGAAAAAAGAAAGTACAGCCAATACCTACGGCCTCATTTCTTCTGGGAAATCCTCCCTGGCCCCCCAAGTCCAGGCCAGGGACCCTCCTCTGAGCTCCCACAGTGCCTTAAATTACCCCAACCCAAGCTTCATCCTTCTAGGCTGCGTTGTAATCTGATTTTGTGTCTCTCTCCCAGTGGGCTTCATCAGGAAGAGGATGCATCTGGCTTATTCACCACTATATCTCCCTTAGCAGGCCCAACTAACAGGGAAGAATATCTGCTAAGCGATGAATGCATAATTCAAGCTCCATTCCAAACAGCCACAGAAAATACCCCCCAGAGAAAGGCTAGACATTCCCTTCTGCCTTTTGCAAAGGGGTAATTTAAAATTCTCCTGACACTTATAAAGGACTGTGTCATTGCAGTGCTGTAGATTTCAAAGAAATGAGTGGCTTGAGCTTGAATACTGAAAAACCTCCAGTCAGTTTAGCAAGATTTCCTTCTGCTTTGCAGAAAAGAACTTTGCCCCCTGTAATGAGGAAGAGGAGAAGTGCAGTACCTGCGGGAGGTGGAGGGGCCCCGGTGGTGGTCAGTGCCAGTCTCCTTCACAAGGTTTCCTTTGCAGCAAATGACCCTTAATTTATCCTGGTATGAGGACGCCAGGTAAATCGCTCCTGAGGAAATTGCAGGGCCCAGGTAGCGTGGGTTCGGGATTTCCAAATATGCTCGGGCGGGGGTCCTGCGGAGTTACAGATGAGAGTTTGCATGCAGGTGACCTCCATTGCTAGGTGGGATAGGAAGAAACAGGTGCCCAGCCCTCACACCCAACCCCAGCACCTGAGTTTTTCAAAGTCTAGAGGGCAATGCTTACCCCAGAGAGGAGCGTGCCTGGATCTCGATTACTTCAAGTGAGTTGAAGTGGGTCACAAACAGATAGGGTTCTCTGTAGGCTGCGTCGCCACCATGGAAGAACAGTGTGGGGCAAAGAAGGATTAAAAGAGAGAAAATCAAAACCTGGCTGCAATGCATCCTTGGACCCAGCAATCCCTCCTAAAGGAATTGACCCTACACCTACATCCACATGCCAACATAATGGGGCATGTTCAATTTTATTCACAACCATGTTGTTAGAACAGAGGATGAGAACCAACTCCAGTGCACATTCTAGGGGATCAGTTAAGCAAATTATGGTACATCTATGGAATTCTACACAGCTGTAAAAATACATGAAGAAGCTCCGTATGTTCTGATATGGGGAAAAAACTGAGGTGTATCTGGTGCATAAAACAAAGGTTCAGAATAATGTGTAAAGTATGCTGCCAAACAGATAAAAAAAGAAGGGGGAGGTGGAGGATAAGAATATATCTGTTTTTTGTGTCTGTATTTGCATACAGGATTGGAAGGATAAGAAACTCCTAAAAGTTCTTTTTTCCCTTGGGGACGTGGGGACAGAGAATCTGGGAGTCAGGTAGCATGGATGAGACTTTTCATTGTATACCTTTTTAAACTGTTTGATGTATACATTTTCAAACAACTTAAATATAAAAAGACTAAGTTCACAGATAATTCGATATCTCTGGTCTTAATATTATATATCTCTATCACAGTGTCATTGAAACTCTAGGATATGATGGGAGCTGTTTTGTCTTAAAGGGAAAAGGGGATTATCACTGTTGATCCTTGTGGTAAACTACTTAGAGTATTAGTCATGCTTCCCAGTACCCAGGCCCCCGTGGAGTCTCCTTGCCTTGAATCTGGGCTGACCCTGTGGCCTGCTTTAATCAGTAGAATGTGGTGGAAGCGAGAAGGCCTGCGAGCTTCTCTTTTGCGCTCTTGGAAGAAGCCCAGGTGGAGAGGAACTGAGGCCACCAGCCCAAGCGGAGCTCTCACCAACTGCACCAGTTGCCTACCCTTCGGTAAGGCCGTTTTGGACTCTGTAGTTGTCCCAGTGCCCCCACTGACACCACATGAAGCAGAACTGCCCAGTCGAGCCACAGACTCTTGGGCAGTGAGAAGCTGCTGTTGTTTTAGTCACTAAGTTTCAGAACTTGGTATGCAGCAATAGATAAATGAAATAGCCTTGAAGGGTATTTTGGCCATAATGGTATTTCAGAACATTCACACAGACACGTAGGTACATATTTGTATGTATGTGTATGCTTATGTGTGTGTGTTTACACTTTGACCCAGCAGTTCCACTTTTAGGACTTATGAGCAGGGGATACTTTTTGACAAGTGTGCAAATTAGTACAAGATGTTCAGCACAGTGTTGCTTACACTTACTAAAAGAAAGGGCATGACCTAAATGCTCTGCCTACTTAGAAGTGGTTCTACTGACAGGTGTTCAGCTAGGCCATGGGACACTATGAGGCCTTTGAGATGATTTAAATACACTCACAAGGAATGGTCTCCTTTCTATCATGAGAGCCTAACAAATATTTCACAAGGCAGCTGGATTTGGTTTACGCAGTTCTTCATCAAGCCTCAGAATCTTTGCCCTGAACACTTATGCGGGTGACTACGACATATGGTGCTTGCTGTCTAATGGAATCCACAAGCAGGGGCTTAGGCCAAAAAGAATTCCACCTGTAATTCTTTCCCAGGACACGAGCTGCTGGCAGAAAAGAGCCCTCCACACCTTGTCTCACTTACCAAAGGCCAAAGGTAAGCGACTCCACTTGAGATCGTCTGTGCGGCTACGTCTTCCGTAAGAATCCACGAACACCCCGAATTCTGCAAGGAGTCAGAGCCAGGGGCATCAGCATACCCAGAGGCAGGGGGTATCACTGACACTCATTTCGATGGAAGAAAAAGGAATGGAGCCCAGGGGACCACCAGCCAGGTTTAACTGGATCGTTAAAACCTAAGGACCTCTGCCAAGCCACATCTCTGTGATTTATTAAAGGAAGAGGGTTCAAGTGAAAGCGGGGAGAGAGGAAAGGAGGGAGAGATGGAAGGAGGAAGAGACGGAGAGGGGGAGGGAGGCACGGAGGAAGGGGGAGAAACAGAGACTCGGAGATAGGAAGGAAGAGACAGAAACACCTAGAGATTTAAAAAAATGAAAGAAGAAATATCAAGGGAGGAAAAAAAAGAAACAAGGAAAGGAAGAGACAGAGAAGAAAACAGAGAGAAAGAAGCAGGGACAGAGAAGGAAAGAACTGCCTGCCCTATGCGGAGACTATGACAGATCAGGACCAGGCTAGTTCCCTGCTGGGGGACAGGGACCCTCAGGGGCCTTGGTGGTGCTGGAATGACATTCTCTGCACTCCCAGCAGGACCCGCCCTTCCCCAGAGCCCACTGACCCCCTGAGCCCCGAGTGGACCCGGTCTGGGACTCCTGGTGCCTGTGAGCACTGAGTTCCAGCCCGGACTCACCGTGGAAGCAGAGCAGGTACTCCTCCCGCTGCCCTGCGCTGTTCACCTGCACGATCGAGACAGGAAAGCTGTTGGAAGAGGAGGCAAACACAGCCGGCGCCAAGGAATGGTCGTTCTTATCCAGGAATTCTGTAAAGGCAGGCGAGAAGCGGGGCTTCAGGAGTGAGCTCGAGCTGGCAGCAGGGAGGAGGCAGAGTGTGGGCTGGGGAAGAGGACTCGGGCCCTACCCTCAAGTGTGTACTGCTTCATGTCAATTTCGTAGAATTTATTGGTTCCGATGAGGATACTGTAATTGGTGAAGTGGATGCAGCTGCAGGGCTCTGAGGTCTCTATCTCCTGAGACAGAGGGCAGAAGAGGAGAAGGTGAGCGTTGACACAGGGCGGCCACATTTCCACCACCATTCTATTTCCGCCTTATGCATCTAACCAAGCCTGGCAGGTGGTCACCACCGGACTCGTTCACGTTGTCGGTCACACAAAGTACAGTCAGTCTTTTCACGACCCTCACAGCGACCAATGATCCCTCTGCTACCTCTGAGTGCCAGGCAACTCTAGACTGATAGGGCAAACCGCAGCCAAAAATGGGTCAGAAACACCAATTCACTGAAAAGAGAGCGCTTTAAAAATACATTTTTATCAGAGGAAAAAGCCTGGAAAAATACACCAACTATTAACAGTGGTGGTTAGAGAGTGGCTTTAGTTTCCTTCTTTTTGTGGCTGCTAAGTTTCTATTTTGAAGCCCCATTACCTATATAATTATCATCATCACTGTTGGCATCTGAATTATCTGCTTCCTAATTACTTCCATTTGTTTTCAGGCCAGACCTAATGGCTTCAAACACCTCAGCATGCTTATTCAAAATGGTGGCCAGGAATTATCAAGAAGCGATGATTTCTAAGAATTTTCCTGAAGCTAAGAGTTCAAACTCTAATCAGCACTGTCATTGTCACTGACTATTTATTGATCACCTGCTAAGTGCAAGGAAACTTTCAGGCAGCATGACACAGTGAAATGAGAGGAAGGTCAAACTTCAGTTTGAGTCTCAACTTTGTAACTTAGGATCTCAGCCAGACAATCATCTTACCCGAAAATTGGGGATTACCACCCCTGCTTTTCAGAACTGTTGTGAAAGGTATTTACAAGACAGCTGGCTCAGCCTCTGGTACCAGTAGGTGCTCAATAAAAACACAAACTAAACTAGCAAGAGCCCCCACAGACTGAAACAGTTTGTCTAACAGCTAATGACCCTTATATATTCGTCCCTCATTTCACTTTGAGACTAATCATGAAAGCACCTGAAATAAGTCAGGCTTATGGTAAGTGGAACATTCTTAGTCAAGGGACAACAGACAGCTTCCTCTAGGAGTGAGGCAAATGTAATGATCTAACGTGTCCCTTGTCCGTACTGCTGTCAGTATCACAGCTCACTCTGCTCCCAAAAGGACCAGCTCCCTAATTACATATCAAAACACAGCTAGCACTGGCTTTTCCAAAGGTTATCAATAGAAATTTCTAGGATCTGAGAAAGATTCTGGTCTGTGCGACCAGGGACTGCTAGGTTCTCAGAAAGAACTCCTTCCCTTTTTCTGCTGGTTCAAAACAAGCGTCTACTCGAGCACCAAATTCCTTTCTCCCTTAACAAAAGGCTGAATTCACTGCCTCTCCAGCCAGCCCACAAACAGGAGAGGGAAAGTGCAGCTACTAGTGGCTCTGGAGCTTCCTCCAGGAAGGCAAGGTGTCTCTCTCTAAGGAGGTCACGCAGGGCTATAGGGTGAAGGGACTACACTGTTCCCTGAGACAGCATGCTTTCCACACCAGCTGGCTGGGAGAGCAGGACAGGCAAGGCCCGGGACTTACTTTCCGAATGCAGTACTTGCTGAGGTTTTCATTGTAGCGGAGAATGACAACTTTGCTGGGCATGGCTGCACAGATGCAGAGCCCGTTCTCAATCTGAAAAGCAATCAGGGAAAAAGAAAGAAAAAGAAAGAGCATCACCAGTGTGTATCCTGGCTCCATAGCAAAACTGGGAATAACACATCAATTTAGAGCAGGGTCTCTCAACCTTGGCATTATGGACACTTTGGGCCGGATAATTCCCTGTGGTGAGGGGCTGTTCTGTGCATTGTAAGATGTTTAGCAGCAACCCCGAGCTCTCCCATTAGATGCCAACAGTAAAACTGCCAGTTGTGACAGCCAAAAATGCCTCCAGACATGGCCCAATGTTTCCTGGGAGGCAGAATCACTCCTGGAAGAGAAAGACTGATTTAACAGAGATCTGGAGAAGGCCTCAGGAAGTCCACCTGACCCCACACACATTTTGTGTGTATGTGCCTTTTGCTGGAGACAGACTCTTTTGACCATCTTGCCCCCAGGGAAGGGAAAGGCAGTGGAAATTGCTATAAGAAGTTAAAGATTTTGGTCCAAAGAAAAAAGTTCTTAGTTAAGATCTGTATATGTAAAGTTCTATGTTAAAATTCTCATTTTCTAGAACAGTTGAATCCCTCACTTCACCTCCACAACTGGATCTTTGTCATTTCACTAATTGTGAAAAGCAGCTCAAATCAGTCCTGATATAAAGGTCAGCAGAGATGGGGTTGAGGGGGATAAGCTGGGATAAGATAGGAAAGAAAAACAGGAAAATGGAAATGGTTGGTAATGTTCTATTTCTTGGGTTCAGTAGTGAGTTTGTGGATGTTTACAACACTATTAGGTGTGATAATTTTATAATTTACATATATATTCTATACATTTTTTGAGTGTTTCAAACATTATAATGAAATTAATTTATAATTTTTAAAAACATTTTTGGAAATAAAATGCACATTTCTAAGTAGCTCGTCATTCACAGGAGAAATCATAAGAAATTTAGAAATATGTGGAATGATAAAAATTTACAAGGTGCAGCTAAACTTGTAGTTAGAGGAAAATGTATAGCCCTAAAATCCTTGTATTTAAAAAAAGACCTGAAAATTAATTAGCTAAACAAGAAATAAGAAAAAGAATAATAGAAGAAAGCCAGAGAAAACTGAAGTAAGGAAAAACAAAGATAAGAATGAATGAAAAAATTAATGACAAATAAAATACTATAATAGAATCAATAAAGCTCAGAGCCACTCCTTTGTAAAGATTAATGAAATGAGAATACCTCTGATGAAATTAAGACAAATAAGAGATATGGCACAGGTAATATTAGCGATAAAAAAGGTAACTACCATAAGAGAATACAATAAAGAACTAAAGGGAGAAAAAAGAAAAACAAGAAATTTTTTCTTTAAAAAGAAAAAAAGTCGTTAAAATTGACAAGGGTACAGAGTTTCATGTTACTCGGTCCCTGTCTGGAATTCCAAGTTCCCTCTGGCAAGGACCTTCTATCAGCCCCTTCAAGATTCACCTCCTCCAAGAAACCTTTTCAAATTAACACCTTTCTAGGACAGCCATTCTCTGACTTTGTATTCTTTTCCCTTCTTATCATTTGCCATAGTTAATCCCAACACTCACCTAAGTAACTAGGAAAAGAATCCCCCAAATGCAGAGGATCCTAAAACCATAAGACCTCAAAGAACGCAGGCCAAGGCCAAGTCCCCCATCCAGAGACTCCTGTGGCTGACCACACCTCTCCCCTACCAGTCCTCCATCCCTCAGAATGGTCAAGTACAAGGCTCAGGCAATTACAAGGACTGTGCTCATTGAATGTTCACTGAGTGACCAAATGAGCAAATGCCCAGTCTTCTGAGAAGGGAAAGGCAATGGCTTTCAAGAGCAGAACTCCAGCCGCCTCAGAGGTCCTACAAAGGCTTGATTCAGATTTCACTGAAGTCACATATGTATGTGTGTATACACCCGTAAGTACTCAACTTTTTTAATGAAAAAAAAAAGCTTTTTAAAGAAGCAGGCAAGCTTGAGGCCAGCCCTGTGGCCAAGTGGTTAAGTTCATGCACTCTGCTTTGGCGGCCGAGGGTTCGCCAGTTCAGATCCTGGGCACAGATCCACACACTGCTCATTAAGCCATGCTGAGGCGGCGTCCCACATGGAGGAACTAGAATGACTTGCAACAAGGACATACAACTATGTACCGGGGCTTTGGGGAGGAAAAAAAAAGAAGATTGGTAACAGATGTTAGCTCCAGGCCAATCTTCCTAAAAAAAAAAAAAAAAGAAAAAGAAAAAAAAAAGACTCTCCAGATGATTGCTTCAGGTAGCTTATATATACATTTAACAAAAAAAAAAAGCAGGGAAGCAAATATATTTATGTGCCAAATTTCAATGTGCAATTAACTACCAAAGAATTCACTTGAGTTCTCATGAACAGACTTTATGTTATATAAATGCCATAAATTAGAATTTGCAAATTTTTAGTAATATAACATCCTTTCATCCAGTTTAGACATGGGGTTCAATGTTATATTTTTTTTAAAAGGAAAAGGTTCCATCAAGAGGATGTGGAGAAAAGGGAACCCTCATATGCTGGTGAGAATGCAAACTGGGGCAGTGACTATGGAAAAAATAGGGAGATATGGCAAAAAATTCAAAATAGAAATACCATATGATCTAGCTATTCCACTTCTGGGTGTTTGTCCAAAGAACATGAAAATGCTAATTCAAAAAGATATACACTCCTATGTTCAGTGCAGCATTATTCACAACAGCCAAGACTCGGAAGCACCTACATGCCCATCAACAGATGAATAGATAAAGAAGATGTGGTATAGATACAGTGGAATACTACTCAGCCATAAAAAAAGACAAAATCATCCCATTTGCAACATCATGGATGGACCTTGAGGGTATTACTAAGTGAAATAAGTCAGATGGAGAAAGACAAATACTGTATGATTTTACTCATATGTGGAAGATAAAAAAACACACACATAGATATGGAGAACGACTGGTGATTACCAGGCAGAAGAAGTGGAGGGAAGGCAAAAGGGGGAAAGGGGCGTGTGTATGCTGATGGATGGAAACTAGACTTTTGGTGATGAACATGATGTAGTCTATACAGAAGTGGAAATATAATGATGTACACCTGAAATTTATATAATGTTATAAACCAATGTGACCTCAATAAAATAAAATTTTGTAAAAAGGCTCCATCACTCACACAAACACACACACTTTCTTTTTTTCTAACTCTGGATCATCCTTTTAGTTTTGTTAATTTTATTCTGATTTTTCTCTCTGACACTTCCTTTAGATTCACAGCCTGTGCAAGTTTCATGGCTGCACAAATTATTTCATGTGCCTAAAGGAAGCCAGAGAAATTTAACCCAGTTTGAGGTCATACAATTTCCAAGGCCAAATTAATAAGCCCTATAGAAAGAGGGGCAGTGCTGATGTCAAGAACATTCCGCCAGCTGAGCCCCGAGGAGAGCTTACCTTGCCAGCAGCGAACAAGTGGCAGCCTTTGACAGCTTCGAAGATGTTGGGCGAGATGTCGGGCTGGGCGGGAAGGTGCGACTGTGCCAGAGACTGCTTCACCTTCTTCACGTCAACAAGACACAGGGCCCGCTCTTCCCCTGAGAGGAAAAGGAACAGCTTCTCAGTCAGTGGGAGGCCGGGAAGCAAACACACGGGACGGCAGTTCTAGCTCTAGTCACAAATAAAAGCCAGCAAGGCCACGCAGATGGACTGAGTTTCCCATAGATTCCTGTAAATACAGTTTAGGTCCAACTTTTGGATCTAAAATGAAAACATTTGCCGTCTTAGTCAAGAGCATGGAAGGAAAAAAATTCTGCAGAGGTAACATCAGAGAACGTGAACTGTACTGTCAAACATGCTCCCCACCAAAGTAAAGACAGAATGTGTTAGGCAACAAGGGGCCATCTTATAAAACAAAAGCCTTGGACTATTCCAACATGTGGATGTCACGGAAGACAAAAGAAAGGCTGAAGATTCATTCCAGATGAAAGGAGACTAACAAGACATGACTAAATGCAATGCACGATCCTGGACTGGATCGTGAATCAGGAAAAAATACTCTGAAGGACATTACTGGAGCCACAGGTAAACCTGACTATGGGCAGTACATCAGAATATTGTATCACAGCAAGGGTTAAATTCTCTGAATTCAAAAACTGCACCGTGTGAAACTATTCCGTGTGATGCTATAAAGGTGGATACATGCCATTACCTATTGGTCCAAACCCACAGAACGGACAACACCAAGAGTGAACCCTCATGTTAACTGTGGACTTTGGGTGATGATGACGTGTCAATGTAGGTTCATCAATTGTAACAAATGTCCCACTTTGGTGGGGGATGGAGAGAGTGGGAAGGCTGTGCATGTGTGGGGGCAGAGGGTATATGGAAACTCTGCACTTTCTGCTTAATTTTACTGTGAACCTAAAACCGCTCTAAAGAATAAAGAAGGAAAGCAAGAAGAAAGAAAGAAACAAACCATCAAAGCAAGAAGCTGAAGAAAAGAGCTGAGAGACCATGAAAAGCCAGTTCCTGACCATACTATTTCAGCCCCTGGATGCATCCGGCTGTGTCTGAAACAAGACCTAACTGTGGAGGTTTCAAACACTGAGCCAATAAATTATTGTTTTTCCTTTAAAAAAAAAACTAGTACCACCAATAAAGAGACAAAAAAATTTTTGCCATGGTTATATGAGAGAATGTCCTGTTCTTAAGTGATATGCTTCAGAACTTGGGGTTATAGCTACAAATGACTCTCGAATAGTTCAAAAAAGTTAATGTCTGTGTGTATATAGGAAGAGAAAGAGAAAAAATGTGGCAAAATGTTAACAGTGGTGACTTTAGACGAAGAGTCTCTGAGACGTCACAGAAATAAGAGACAACACAGGAACAGAGCAGGCAAGCTCTCAGAGGTCACGGCTCACGGAGGTATCGAGGTGATGAAGACAAAGGGTCTGACGTTTATGAGTCTCTGAGGCTCACTACTCTTGACTTGGCGTGATGGTGAGATGTTCTTTGGGGTGTCAGCCTGCACTACACTGGACACCAAGGGAACTGAGTCTGAGCAGAGAGCCATCAGCTCGGGCACCAGCAGGGACACCGAGGAAAGCTTCTGCTCCAACTTGCCACCAGGAGGGCCTGCCTTTGTGTTTCACAAGCACGATATTTGGCTTTCAAATACTTTCCCTTGAAAGTGAACAGAAAGTGCTGTGTCTTTGGCCTCCCACCTGCTATCATGAGTAGCTTCTCCAGGTCCTTGATGATGTAAATTTGGAAGACCGCTCCAATTCCTGGCACATGCGTGAGGGAGTTTTTCAAGACATTCAGTGCATAGAGCCCTTCCTCGGTGCCCACCAACACCACCTGCAAGGGCAGAAGTCCCAAACGGAATGTAAGCAGAACCACATCACCATAACAACCCCCAAAAATAAGCCGCGAAGCCGACACAGCCCTTTCTTGACTGCTTGTGGCGCTAGCCAGACACCAGCCAAGTGTCCAAAAACACCCTAACCTGGTCGCTGAAGGGCAGTGTGCAGTTCATGTCCAGACGGTCATCACCTTCCAGTTTCAGCAGGGAGTTTCCAAGCAATTTCTTTGCATATGTGAAAGAAAAAAAGAGGACATGGTAAGATTGAACTGTCCATGGCAAACCCATCCAGAGAGACACAAGCAAGAACCGAGAGAAGTTTAATGCCAGGAAGAAAGACAAGTCACTCCTAAAAACACTCAGAAACACACATCTGCTCTTGGCTCGCCCCATCTTTTGATTTGAGCTCAAAAGGCAAGACGTGAATGTTATTGGTAACTCGGGGGTGGGTGTTAATTAGCATCGGAGTTATAACACGGCTTGGACTCAGGAAGAAATGAGTGTCGCAGACGTAGAGAGCCGTTCTGTGGTAGGAAATAAGCTGAAGCTAAAGAGATGTCACCTGCAAAGAGTTAATAAGCCACGTGGAAGGCTCCTGTCCCTCCAGGCTGCAGCAAAAGTGCAAAGCACGGTGTCAGCACAACCACCAGCCTGTGAATCTCTTTACCTGAACCCAAGCAGGCAGAAGCTCGGAGAAAATACAGTCGCAGCCCTATTGTACACATACAAATATGGATTTCAGTAACAGGCTCACACGGGTAACAACGAAACAGGTCATCAAAACAAGTCTACCCAGTGAGCAGAGCTCCTCTCAGGAGGGCCCCACGGTTCAGGATTTTCTGAGTGCGAACACTTAAAGTGTTGATTAGGAGCTAAGTGTCTGAAAAGAGCTGTTTCGTCTTTGGTGGAGGAAACGCCAAGGAGCGATGAGTGCTGTTTGTATCCTGGAACGTTCTAGGAGGGGTGATGCCAATCAAGGCACCCACGTTTCTAACATCTTAAGGATGAGTAGGATTTCAAACCTGCCTACGGAACAGCAAATCGTGTGGAAGCAATTGAGAAGGTTATGAAAAGCCTTTCTGAAGTAGACATGGCTGTCGGCAGCCTTTTGTGCTGCTTTGTGGCCAAAATGCTTGTAACTCAAGCCTTCAAACCAAATAAACTCAACAGAGTAAACAAGAGAGGATTTCCTTATAAGTACGTTTGCTGCTGTGTTGCCATAATCAAGATCTGTCACACCCCAAGAGTTGGCTACCGGTGCTGACTCCCCCATTCTAAAGGGCTCTGAGGGGAGGACCCGTGATGCCAGACAAGTCACCTCAGAGCCTGTATCTCTATCACCACAAAAGTCCCAATCATGACAGTCTCCAGCCATCAGCCCTCAGAGAGGGAGCCTGAGGAAAATCACGGCAGCCCATGGGAGTCCCACCAAGTCAGCCCCCTTTACAAAGATGAGCGCCTCTGCCCGTTTTCATACTCACAGCATCAGCTTCTGCTTTTTCCCTAGACACTCTCCCACCTGCGACAACTGATTCTAAGGCGGTGACCCAGCGCTGTTTGTCGGGGAAGCTGGGAGCTAGCAAGTAGAGGGTTCTCCCGGGCCAGCAGGTGGTATGAGGGTGAGATTCCATCTTCAGGATGTATGGGACATCTAGGAGATTCGACAGAGAGCACAGGGTTGGGTTTGGGTTCCCCCAGCTCCCACTGGGAGGGATGGCCCTGAGATAGCAGAGAGAGTGCCAAGCCACATGAGTCCTAGTTACCACTAAGATGGAGGAGCTGAGGAGGTTGGGCCTCCTTTGCAGGCCAGTCACCCCTGTGCCCCCTCCCGCCCTTGCTGATTTGTCAAGCCCCGCCCACCTGCAGAGTGGGGCTCTCCCGCTTCTCCTCACCTGCTTTGGCTGTATTTGCAAGTTCAGAAGCACCGACGGCGCCATGAATAGATACGTCCCCATCGGGAAGGCACAGCTCAAATTCTTCCACCGGCCTCTGTCCAGCTTGGTGCAAAGAGGAAGCGCAGAAAGAAAAACAAAAGAACAGGACCAAGAAAAGGGGAGAAGAGAGGAAGAGAGAGAGGGGGCGAGAGAGAGACAGTATGCATGGAAAGAGGCGCACGAGAACAAAGGAGGAGGAAAAAGGTGTGCAGAGAAGGCGGAGAGGGAAGATAAAAAAAATAAAGTGTGTCAGATGAGTAGCACAGTCAACTTTCTGATGACGATGCGGATTTATGGGCTAGTTGACTGAGGCAGAAGTTCTCTGAAGGTGTATTAGCAGGTAGAATCTTCAGGGCAGCACCCTGCAGGTTCTTCAGAGGGGAGACCTATAGACGTGAGTATCGTACCAATAACCTTTAGCCAAGTCATTTGGGTTTTAGTTTTCAAAAATGGAAAATCGTAGAAGGCTCGCAACGCAGTCCAAAAAACAAAGCCTTCACGCCGACACTGGGAGACCTGGGTCAACCACGTGCAATGAAATTCCCCCTGAATCATTAATTTACCTTCTCTGGCTTCGTTGTCATAAATGAGGACTTTGGATCCCTCCAGGACGATGTACTTCCTGTCCCAGCCTTGCTGTCCTCGTTTGTTATTCCTGGGAAAACAGAGATGGGAATGAAGAAATGTTTGAACTCAGAAGAATCAGGCGGGAGGAAGGGGTGGGCATGGGAGGGAATCTTCTCTAGAAAAGACACTTCCCTAGGAAACATCAGGAATGCAAGTGCCAGGGGAGGGAGGAAAAACTGCCTTCTACTCTTCTAGGTTCTGGGGCTGGCCTAGGAATTCAACTGATCTAAGGGAGATGAACAGGAGAAAAGCACACAAATTTTATTTTACATGGACATGGGAGTCTCCAAAGAAAATAAAGACCCAAGGAGCCGACAGGCTCGGGTGTTTGTGTACCACGTTGAACAAAGAGTAGCAGTTGTGAAAAAGTGACTAAAATGTCCAAGAGGGCCCAAGGAAGATAAGAGTTTCTTTAACAAGGTCTGTTGGCACAGATTTCTCTCGGCCGGTCTTGACTCCTGTCTCTGGTGATAAGAATGTTTCTTTCCTCTTGGTATAGAGAGAGCAGCTTTTAGCTGAGAGTTTTATCTCCTACTTTCAAGAAGAGAAAGGTGGAGGTCAGAGTGTCCTTCTTGCACCTGCTGTTTTTCAAGTGCCTTTAGCTCAAAATAATTTTTAACGCAAAGTGGCATATTTTGGGGTGACATTCTGCCACCATTCACCAGCACCCGCCCCAGGGCAAGCCACGCTGCAACAGTACCTGGGAACCTTCATCCACCCTTCCAGGTGCAAGCTGCTGCTGGGCTCCTTGGTCTGCAGACCCGGGGAGTTCATTTTGTCACGGCAGAAGGCCTCAGTGAAATGCGTGGCATATTCGGCTGGCAGGCCACAAGTGGCTGGCAAGCACGTGGAGCACTTGGGATGACACATCACCTGACATTCTAGGGAGAAGCAATGAACCACCTGAAAACACGCTTGGCGGATCCTGGACCATTCCCTTCCTCTGCCAGCCAACCCCCTGCCGGGCCGTCACTCTCACCCCATCATCCAGGTAATCCCTAAGCTTTCCCAGGAGCCAGGCCCCTCTAGAGAGAGGAAACAAGAGCCAAGCTCCCTGGACCCAATTTTCCTGGCTTCTCCCAGGCTGCCACAAAAAAAGGCGTAAAGGACATATTTGCACATTTCACTCGGAGCCAGCACACAGCCTAAAGGTAGGGAGAGACCAGCCTGATGAAGAGGGGCTGGAAATTAACAAAGCCGAAGGTATTTCACACAGGGGGTTGGAGACAGGAGCTGAAAACATTTATAAACTCACTCCTCTTTCAGGGGAAAAAGGGCGTCCTCCCACCGAAACTAAAAGCTTGAAAATGAATGCACTGTATGATGAGGAATCTAAAAAGAACAAAAAAAACCACCTCCACGAGATAGATTTTTTTAGGTGGAGACGCACAGGTGCTGCCGCCAAGCACAGCTGCTGCTCTTACCGAGACATTTGGATGCCTGGCGTCCAAAGTGCACAGTATCCAGACACACAGCACACTTTGTGGCTCGCATGTTCAGTCCTACATTAAATCGGTGAGGAATATTGTGGTGCATGCGCTCCTTAAGACGCCGACTGAATTCTGGAGGAAAATTTTTAAAAAAATCATTAGAGTGCTATAAACGACACCATCCAGAAGGTGAAAAGATAACCCACAGAATGAGATAAACATTTGCAAATCATCTCTCTGACAAGGAACTTACAGAATCTATAAAGAACTCTTACAATGCAATAATAAAAAGACAACTCAATTAAAAGATGGACAAAGGATTTGAATAGAAATCTCTCCAAAGAAGATAAACGGCCAACGAGTACATGAAAAGATGCTCAACATCATGAGTCATTAGGGAAATGCAAATCAAAACCACAATGAGATGCCAGTTGGTGCTCACTAGGTCATCTAGAATCAATAATGTGGACAATAAGTGTTGGTGGGGACGTGGAGAAACCGGAATTCTTATACATTGCTGGTGGGAATATAAAATGGTGCAGTCACTTTGGAAGTCCCTCATAAAGTTAAACATAGGACTACCAAATGACCCAGCAATTCTACTCCTAGGTATATACCCAATAGAATTGGAAACATATGTAACCACTAAAATTGGTACACAAATATTTTTAGCAGCATTATTTATGATAGCCAAAAGATGGAGACAACCCAAACGTCCATCAATGGATTAACAGATAAACACGATGAGCTATCCATACCATAGAATATTATTCAGCCATAAAAAAATGAAGTATTGATACATGCTGCGACAGGGATGCATATCAAAAACATGATGCTCAGTGAAAGCAGCCAGACACAAAAGGCCACATACGGTATGAGATACGAAACAACCAGAATGGCAAATCCACAGAGATAGTGAATTAGTGGTTTCCAGAGGTTGGGTGGAGGGAAAAATGGGAAGTGACTGCTAACGGATATACAGTTTTTGTTAGGGGGGGAAAAGTGGGGCCAAAGATGTTCAAAAATTAGAATGTGATGGTGGCACAACCTTGTGAACTTTCCAAATGAGTGAATTGTATGGTATGTCAATTTATCTCAATAGGCTGTTAAAAAAACCATTAGAGCAGGTTAGTTACAGATTGTGAAACTATTTTAACACTAACAGATGCATCTAGATTTACATGAATTAACTTAAAATCTCCATTATCCAGTTATTAGGAATGAGGGTTTTTTAAAGAACATATTACTGGTAGGAGATTGGCTATATGAGAGCATAGATGTTTGTGGGCATAAAGAAACATATGCTTTTAAGTCAAATGTTTGTAAATATTTTAGGCATAGAAGCTTTGTCTTCCAGATGAAATCATATATCTAGAGCTTTTCAGAGTTCAGTTTAAAAATCACTATTATGAATCAGAATTTCCAATTATTAAATATATAAACTTACTGAAGAATTTTCCCTTCATGTCCAGTTCTTTCATGAAAAACCTCCTTTTGTTAAAAACCCAACTTTTAAGCCTCAAAGAACTGATTCTTACATTTATATTCCAGGCTGTTAAAATTAACAAGATTGATTTTTTTTCTATTTAATGGGCCCCCCTCTCAACAGTGACCTGGAACTAGTTAAAGGCAGCTTCAAACAGAGAGAAAAGCTCAGGATCCCAATTTCTGAATCCAAAGTGAGTTCTCCATATAACATCGTCCCCCTTCCTTGATCAGACAGTTGCGAGGAATAAATAACACGCATGCACTTTGAAACTGTGAATATGCAACACACCCAAAGCAGGAGCTTGGAGTATTAGGAACGACTCAGGTAGCTGCTCTGTGCAGCTTTGTCGGTGGACACCAGGGCCTCCGTGTTACCATCACCACTTTGATGACTTTAAGAGTACAGCTCTTTGATTCAAAGTGTTGTGTAAACATAGGAAACAAGATGACATCCTCATTGAAGAAAAAACAACAATAAAATGCCATCAAGATTTACAACTAAAGAGGTTTGACACCATGATGCTGACCCACAGCTCTACTCCACGTTCCCTAAGACTTTCCAAACCACCTTCCCTGGCCCTTTTTTTCAGGTCCTTTCCATCTCTAGGTAGATAGAGTACTTTTGAGACCACAAAGAAAACTCACACGGTTGGTAGGAATATAAATTGTCACAAACTACCAATACTCAAAATGCATGTAATCTTTAACCCAACAATTCATTTCCCATGAACTTATCCTATAGCCATAATGCCCACAGAAGTACAGGATGTTCACTACAGGGTGTCTGTGGGAACAAGGAATTGGAAATAACCTAAATGCTCATCAACAAGGGTCTGTTTAACACATGAATCATACACCCGCACCATGGAATATTATGCAGCCCTTTAAAAGGTTGACGTTGATCCATGTGTTAATAAGAAACCCTCTAAGATAATGTTTTAACTAAAAGAAGAAAGGTGTTTTGCAGAGTATAACACAGTGTGCTATGATAATTATAAAAGAAAAAAGGGCTGAGAAAAATACGCTCATTTTCTCATACTCTTTAAATATACACACATAAGATACATGAACAATACGTGGTTACATACATGAACTAGTGCCTGAAGAACATAATGGTTGACTCTGAGTAAGGGAAGTGGGATGGGGTGGAGAGAAGACCTACTTCTTACTCACTATCGCCTAGTTTTATTACTTGTCATTTTTATCATACGTCTGCATTGTAAAAAATTTCAACAAAACTCCAGTGGCCCCTTGAGAACGTACCCTCTGGAGTTGAAGACTCCTTTCTGCGGCTGGAAGGCGGGGCGAGCAGGCTCATGGCACTGGGCTGGTGCTCGGGTGACCGCACGATGGCGGACATGGCGATCTGCTGCCTCGCAGTGGCTGGCGTAGATGGGTGCGGGTGGTCTGTGGCTTTCCGGTGGGCAGCTGGAGAGAGACCAGTCCAACGTCTTTTGGTTAGCTGGGTCACCAGGAGGACCCAACCAAGTGGACTGCCCCTGGGCTGTCTTTCATGGACCCGAGACCAAAAGGACACATTTTGTGCCATATCGGCAACACCAAGGATGCCGAGAACTTTTCGGACTTGGGCTGTCTGGACTGAAGGCGTATGGGCCATAAACACAGATGCTGAACTAGGGCCAATCTCCTTGAGATCGGTCCTCCGCCTTTCCACAGCACTTTGCGTAGTGAGCGCCCCTACCTTCCTCCCGGGCGGACCGGAGCTCAATGCGGGTCTTCTGAAGGGCTTCCTCCAGCTCTGCACAGCGAGCTTTCTCCTTCTCCAGGGCCACCTTCAGCTCATTGTACTGCAGAGGAACCTGTGTGGGCAAAGCAGGGTCCTCTTTCCGTCGACTAAATAAACCCTAGCAATGGAAACAGAGATATCTCCTAACTCCTGGAAACTGGCACTTTAAGCTAGCTAAAGGAGCTCTGACTTGGGAGGAGCAAACCACGAAAGCCGGGAGCATACTCACTGTAAGCAGATTTAGTAAAAATGGCATGCGAAGGGGGAAAAGGGGAGACTGAGCCACAGCCCATTCCAGCCGGCTGGAAAAAAGAGGGGTGCAGAGTTTTCACCAAGAGGCTTAAAGCTGCTTGAATTGCCACCACCTCTTCCTTTAGCATTTCCAAGGAGAGCCATTTCCTGAGTCTTTACCCTCAAAAAATGGAAGTGGAGGATGGAGTCAGGAGAGGTGGTTCAGAAATCACTCTTGCCTTGAATTTGTCTCATGATGCTTAGTTACAAGACACAGGGATGAGTGCTTTTAAAAAAGGAAGCAAAAAAATCGAATACTAAAAGGATGTCAAAACGAGGGGCTTACTCAAAAAAATGCAAATGGAACATGTACTGTACGTGAAGAAAAAAGAAAAACATAGAAGAATACAACTGAAAAAAAATTAACAATGAAAAAAGAAATGGCAACACCCTAACTACATCAAGTGACATAATCAGATAACAGTCCACTGCTAAAACAAAAAAGATTAAATCTCATAGGCATTGCAAGCACAGACAGGCACATGACACACAAGAAAATCCTTCCCCTGCAGCCACCCTGAGTAGCAGGCTGCTCTCATCTCCTTACAGTAGAGACAGCATCAGGATCCACTGGGACCGAGGGCCCACCTCAGTCCACTCCTCAGTATTCCTCCAAAGGCATCGCAGGCCTTTCCTGCAAAACCGCTGCCTCTGCGACTCTGGGGTACAAATGCCTTTAGAAGGAAACGCGAGCTCCTTAGAGGCCCTTTGGAATGGAGAACACTTGGCCAAACCTAGGAGGAGGGCTTCAGCGGTTTAGGGAAGCATGTTTTGGACTTACTAAAAATCTCCCCATGCACGCGGGCAGATACATATAACCCTCTCCATAGGTTTTGCGGGTTTTTTGGCCATAGTTTTTAATATGTTGTCTGTTACAATTTTAAAGGGATGGAGCAGTACTCCATGGAAGGTACAGCTATCCAATCAGGCACTTTAGACGGGCATTTCGACAATCTGGGTCCCAGTCTCTTTGTGAGCCAACCAAAAGGACTGGACCAGACAAGTTCTAACCTTTTCTAGAGTCCCACACAGATGACCTGAGAATCCTTCTCTCTCTAGAGTCCCACACATGTGACCTGCTACTCCCTCTGGAGTCCTGTGCCCCGACCTATGTACAAACCTTTCTCTCCGCATACCACCCCCGCCCCAGCTGCTTAGGGAAAAAAATCACTCCCTTAACAGAGACAGGCACCACAATTTTAAAGGCCATGGACAGAAAGTAGCTTGTTACAGACTTTATAATGATACCCTCTCTTTAACAGCTATTCTGATTATCTCAAAACCTATTTTTCAACCCAAAATAAAACATTTTGTGCATTTTGTTCTCTTCAATGTTCCTAAGATGCTCTATCAACCGTGGTGTACACTGAAACTGAGGATCAAGCCAAACTGTCAACTCGCCACTTTTCCAACACTTTGACCCACCTTTTTCTTTTTAGCAGGTTGGTCCATTTTGGCTTGCAGAAAATCAATGAGTTTGGTTTGCTGAGAAATAGTGCCTTCCATTTTCACCTTTTCATGAGAATACAGAACCTAAAATTCAGGAAAACAAGAATAACCTCAGACCCAGAAAGAAGGATACTTTTAAATTTAGTACTTTAAGAAAATAAAAAAGAAAGTCATTAGGATGCCAGCATAGGAAAATTCAATGCCAATGCACTGGGTCAATATTTGTTCACTTAGTCCTCATCTTAGTGCCAAAACACAAAGAGGGAGGATGGATGGATAGATATGTGAAAAAGTAAAACCAGCAAATGATTAATATTAGAATCTAGGGAGTGATCATTAGAGCAGTTTTCCAACTTCTCTGAATGTTTGCAAATTTTTGTAATGAAATATTGGAGAAAATACACAACAGTGCACAACACAAAGACACTGACGGTTTCCCCAGATGACTTTGAGCCATCATGCTTCGCCTCTGCAGACAATTTTTAAGGAAATTCCCTCGGCCGGTTCTCACCTGAATGTTTTCCAGCTGATATTCCAGATCACTCCTTTCTGTCTTCAGCAGATCAGCTCGATCTAGAGCTTCTTGCAGCCCTTGAGTCAGCCGGAAAATATGATTCTTCTGCAGGTCCATCTGCTGCTGTAATTTGGCTTGCTAGTGGGGAGAAAGGCCGGAGAAAGGCTCAGTACCACACACAATACATCTTGTTCCCCCACTGTTGCAATTACCAAACTAATTTCAGGCACGGCACCAAAAGTTCGGCTTTTGAAACCATCTCATTCCAGAATTGCCAATTGTCACCTTATTCCAAAACGATGCATGCATGGTTAAAAAGAATTTGCACAGAAATCTCAGATGGCCAGCAAGTCACAGGATGTCCACTGTAACAGGAAGTCCAGTCTGGTGGGTCTTCCTTCCGGTCAGAGTTGACAGTTAATTTTGGTCCTTAAGAGTCTGAGCCATCTGAGTTAACATCTAAGGCAGTGAGAGTTACTGCCATGACAACTAAGTTCCAATTTGTCCTTATTTTTTGTTTTTAAGATCTCAGCTGTTACTATGCAGAATCACTTTGCACGGACAGTATGGAATACACAAGGCGAATCACGTCATCTCTAACTGAAAGAGTTCCTCGTCAGGGTGAGGGACCCCAAAAAGCACGCAAATAGCCACAATCGTAGGACATATTTTTACAGCGTGGGGAGGAAAGAAACAGAAGATCCCAGATTCAGTATGAGTGTTGGTAAAACCCAGGAAAAAAAAATTAAATTTAGTATACTGGAAACAGTTTTGTGCTGGAAATCTTCCCCCAATTTTTATAATGGAAGTCAACCAGAAAATAGGGCAGGTTATAAAGAGACTGCTTTTATGGCTCTCTTTCCCTAAAATGCTTCTGTGTCTACAAAGCAGGAGAGAGCAGAGATCCTGACAAAACACTGCTTGATTTCACCCAACCCCTGGTTTACAGTCTTAACCACGCTAGCAGTGGCCCAAATCCTCTCTTCCCTGGTGGCCTAGATCCTCTGCAGACTTAAGGACTGAGAGCTACTGAAGAGCACTAAACATCACCACCGGAGTTTTCCGACAGGCCATGGCAAAGCTCAGTGCTCCCGGCCCCAGCAAGCTGAGAGCAACTGATGACCTCGTGTTGACCCTCTCCATCTTACTTCACTTCCCTCTGTCTATGTTTTATTTTTCTTTCCTTTTCTACTCTTCACCTGCCCTTCCTCTTCAGAGGGCGATCACTGCTTGGGGCATACTGCAGGGTAGTGGAATAAGCCTGGACTTTGAAACGTTAGAAACCCTGGTTGAAATCCTGACTTTAACACATATCAGCCACATGACCATGGGATGCTTACACTGCCTCTAGGGGCATCAGGTTCTTCCTCTGAAAAAGGATATAATACCTGCCCTCACCAGTGACATCCTACACACAGTGCCCAGCACACAGTTGGTGCTCAATGAATTTTAGTGCCATCTCCATTGTCCTTCCTTCTTCCCTCCAACCAGGTCAGCTGCTCTCCTCTCACCTTCTTATCTGCCTTTCCCATCCCAACCTACTCCACCAGCCTCTCCCCTATCAATCCTCCATAAAGCAAGAGATACTGTTACTAACCAGAGACCACCCAGCCCATATGCCAACCTGGAATTTCTGAATCAAACCACAGAACCCCCTAAAATACAGGAAAAAAAGAAAAGGAAAACAGCTAAGATAACCTTTAAAAGGAGCTATCAGTCCCCTGCAGCACAAGTGATTTCTTCCACAAATAACCCTCTTTGGTTTCTTCCCACTATTTTAGGACACATTAATTGCTAGGCAGGAGGCAGAGAAACAAGTGCTGGGCACAAGAATCTGTTTGGTGACAGCCAGGCCCAAAATATTTTTCTAGAATAAATACATCAACTGTCCATTAGCTTTCCAAGAAATAGGCTGCTTATTTACTATAATAAAAAAACAGCTAAGGGGCTGGCTCTGTGGCTGAGTGGTTAAGTTCGCGCGCTCCGCTGCAGGCGGCCCAGTGTTTCGTCAGTTCGAATCCTGGGCGCGGACATGGCACTACTCATCAAGCCACGCTGAGGCAGCGTCCCACATACCACAACTAGAAAGACCCACAACGAAGAACATACAACTATGTACCGGGGGCTTCGGGGAGAAAAAGGAAAAAATAAAATCTTTAAAAAAAAAAAACAAAAAAAAAACAGCTAAGAGTGACATTTGTGCTCAGTGAAATGTTTTTCAAAACCATTTACCTGCTTCCCAGAGAGAGGCAAAGGGAGGTGATTCATGGGTCGGTGTCAGACTGAAAGGAGGGCTTTAGCTATGTGCTTAGACCTGTCCAACAATTTTACAAGGGTGACAGGAGACTGGGAGGAAGCATGAAGGAGCTAGACGACAGAATGAGAGCATCAAACAACCCTGGTGGCTAGAAAGATGGATCAAAACCAACAAGAGAAAGTTCAGTGGGATGGTATTTTCTCCAACATCAACTGAATAAATACAGAACACAAAGATGTTAAAAAAACAAACACTTGTAGAAGGGTAGGTGGTGACTTGACAGGTCAACAGGTATCAATAGTGGGATAAAGCTACCCAAAGAGCCTGGGTCATTGGCAGAGGTTTCCAGAGCCCAGAATGGAGATGGAGATATCCCACTGTATTCCATGCTGTTCAGACCACATGGCCCTCTAGAAACTCTCTTTGCAAAGATAAATCTACCAGAAAAGAACATGCCAAACTTGGAGGAACTTGAAATATTTCATTTAGAAAAGAGAAGATGATTTGGAGTGGGAGAGTAGGTAAGATATCTAATCAACTGTCACGGAGATAATAAAAGTAGTTATTGAGGTCAGCCCCATGGCCTAGTGGTTAAGTTCACGCACTCTGCTTCAGCGGTCCAGGGTTTTACCAGTTCAAATCCTGGGCAGGGACATGGCATCGCTCATCAAGCCATGCTGAGGTGGCATCCCACATGCCACAACCAGAAGGACCCACAACTAAAAAAGTACACAACTATGTACTGGGGGGCTTGGGGAGAACAAGGAAAAATAAAATCTTAAAAATAAAATAAAATAAAATAAAAGTAGTTATGGAATCATCACAGGACTGTATGAGTTAATTCATGTAAGGTACTCAGAAAGGTACTTTGCACATATTAAGCGCTAATTAAATGTTAGTTGTTATTATTCTCAGGCTTCAGTCCAAAATAAAAAAGGACTTCCTAAGAATCAGAGTTGTTGAAAAATGGGTTGGAATGTGAGAGTCACTGTAAGTACTGAGGTGGAGGTTCAACAAGGCTCGCCTATGAGGAGTGCTGGAGAAGGGATTCTCTACCTTGGACAAAAGATTAATTTGACCAGGATCAGCAAATGGACTTTCAGCTCTGGTGTTACTTCCAGTGGACCGATAGTGGCTATAAAGTGCCATATCCAAAAGCTTCTGAGGCCATCTCGGGCTCACGAGGAAAGATTTGGGAGAAAGAGCCATTAGTAAAGTCTGTTAGGGGCAGGGATAAAGGGAACAGTGGCAAAAGTGCTGGGAATTTGGACTAGATGACATAAAAAAATTCTTTCTAACCCTGAGACTCTGATTCCGAACTCATTTTCAAGTCTCTGTCCCTAATGAAGAGGATATCTGAGTGAAGCCCTTGGTCACATGCTTATAAAGTGCACACCACAACCAAGCATCCTAGACATATTTTGGACAATAAAGATCATTCTTTGTTTCACAGTGGTTTCAACCGTCAGCAAAATCTGCCTCAAACTCAATGTCAGCCAGATGTCTGTGCTCAAAAATCTATCTGTGAGGTACAGACTGAGAAACTGGAAATGTTCTCACGTAGTGTAGAAGTGAGAACGAGGGGACTGAAGCCAGCATTCTATTCCGAGCACTGTCACTGACTCACCACGTAACCTTGGACCAAAGTATGGAGCTGTCAGGGCCAACTCTCCTTCCTCGGAAGGAAAATAGGACAGGCGAGATCATTGATTATTTCTGTTCTTTCTGTTTCCAACAAGTGCCCAAAGTGGGAACGCTGTCTATTCATTCCACATCAAAGACCATAATTCTCTCATTGACCACCAGGTAGATTTTTAAATTTGTATTACAGTGATCTTAGGGCTGCCTTTGGTGAACTTCCCATCCATGTATACCTATAATTAATTTGATTTTCAAAATTTTTTATTGTGGTAAAATATATATAACATAAAACTTACCATTTTAACCATTTTTAAGTGTACAGTTCAGGGGCACTAAGTACATTCACACTGGTGCGCAACCATCACTACCATCCATCTCCAGAACTTTCCCAAACTCCCACTCCTATTTTTTAAAGTATCATTTCATAAAACATTTCATACTCACCTGTAAAATTTTCACCAGACTTTTCAAACTTAATAACATGGCAATATTATTTCTACTAGCAGAGTTCCTCGGGAGTTATGGGTATCATACAGTAAACCCTCAGTTAACCAGAATAGGTAATCTGGTTAACTGAACTGTCAGGCTCCCTCCAAGAGAACACTCCTGGAGTCCAGCTTCTCATTAAATATCTTTATAAAGTGTGTTTGTCCTGGTTGGTCAATTCTAATGAACAAAGCAGAATCATCAGTGATTCAACAGACAGGGCTTTGGTTGGGAGCGGGAAGTAGTCATCAATTTAAATGGAGATTTTCAGAATTCTGTTAAAAGGTACAGGAAATAATATAAGGGACGGGTTTAGGAGATCCATTTGAGCTTTTCATTTTATGTCTCAAAAGCAGGGCATAATTTTTTTTTAACTGAATTAACTGAATGTTCAACGTCTTCATGAAATTTGGTAGTCAGCATAATCTGATCAAGTCTCTGCCCTGTGCACAAAGCTAATTTGCATGGATGTGCTATCAGCCTGAAACTTAATATACTTTGGATGTTAACTCTAAAGAAAAATTTAACTTAATATTCATTCACCCGTCTATTTAATAAACTTCCATTTGGCACATACTCACTATGTGCTTCTCACTCTATTAAGCACCATATGGGAGGACACAAACGACAGGGATCCTCCGGTCTTCATGACACATTCTTTAATGTGTTAAATACCTTCGAGAAAGTATCAAGTGACCACTTTACTCTTCCTCGAAAATTCTAATTTCAAAATTTGAACGTCTAATTTGGATCTGACTACCTGAACGTAAATTTTCACTTTCGAAATTCCAGCTGGCTCTATTTAGCAGGTGCGTTCACTCACCTCTTCCAGAAGCCTTTGTTTGAGCTCTCTTTCGGTCTCCAGTTTCTGTTGTAAACTTCGGGCATTCATTTCCAGCATGGCGTGTTTCTTCTCCAGGTCGTTGAGCTGGACATTTGGAAAAATTGGCCATGATACCACATTTAGGAATGTCAGATGCTAATAACTTTTGGAAATATCCACAAACCTTCACATGTGAAGAATAATCAAGTTCTAACGGTCAGAATATAAATATTGTTTTTTTAAAAATTTACCACAAAAGTCCATGTCATAGACAGTCCTTATGTAAGTTATTCTATGAGGTAGGAATTATTGCTAAGGGGTGAGTCATATAAACAGCTGTGACAAGTTTGAAGCGGATGATTGCTTTGGCTGGATTTAATTAAAGAATCATGCTGAATGCCTGCTACTTGCACAGGATTCTATCAGGGGTTTTTGGGATGAAAGGATAGATGAGCTCTCTCAAGGAACCTACATGAAGTCACAAGCAGAGGGTGGCCCATAACTAGACATACACACAAAAAATGACTGCTTTGTCACATGATAATTTAGATACGGAGAAGAAAAACTGATCTTGAATGACCAGTCATCAAGAAAAGATGGTATGAGAATGTCTAGAGTCTTAAAGGAGGGGTGGAACTTGACTAGAGAATACTTTAAGAACAGTCAAATAGAAAAAAATATTCTTCAAGTTGAACACAAAAGGGTTTATTTATCTCCAAATAATATATTTATTTTCCTCATGAAAAAAAAAAATAGCAAGCCAGTATCAAGGAAGTCAGGAACGTTCCTGAGTGGCAAGTTCTAGCCTTGAATTCAATCATTTTATTTCTATGATACTCTGGTAAGAAAATAATCAGATGTCTATAAAGACTTATGTTCATCACACTGTTATTTATAATGGCAAAAAATTGAAAGAAGCTCAAGTTTCCAACACAAGTGGAATGATTAAAATAGGTACTTCCGTGCAATTGATGTTTTTAGAACTACATCTTCAAAAAATATTCAATAACTCAGGAAAAGCCCCTAGTTATATGATGTTTTTAAAAAAAATACATAAAGCTGTTTATATAGTAAGAACCTAAATTTATACAAATATTTATGTGTGTTGTGTGTGTGTGTACACATAAACATATTATGCAAAGAAAAAACTACAAATAAATTCACCAATATAACAGTAGTGACAGATTACCAGTCACTTTTTCCTTTACTTTTCTGTGGTTTCCATAGCACCAGAATGACCCCAAATAATTACTCTTATAATCAGGAAATAACAGAGTTATACAAAACTCAGATTATTACTCTACGTGTGTGTTTGTGTGTGAAAAAGAGTATATGTGCGAGGCTACGTATATACATAAAATTTCTCTAATCTTCACTTTTGTTTTCCATAACATTGAAGCACTTATTCTAAATCTCTTTCAAGACTATTAGATTAAATCTCCAAAACAGTGGTCCATCACCTGGTAAATATAATATGGAGTGCTACATGGACAGAACACACGTATTTCCAGTGTGAAATACTGAGGACTAGCATTGTCGTCAGACCCTATCATGTCCCTGGACTTGGAACACAGGGAGGCTGAGCTGCCTATTACAGTAGCAATGGAATTAGCATTAATCCTTGCCACCAAGCACTTCCCAAGGATACTCAACATTAAATCCATAAATCCTTCTAGAAATCAAGTGCCAGAAAACGAGAGTTGTGCACGCAGATCAAAATTCGGACTTCAGGGGCCCAGAGAGGTGGATGTTAAGAAGCCATTGACCGACTGTGAGACCCCAGTACCCACCACACCAACTCACACTATTATCTACCAAGGACATCCCACAGTAAAGCATAACCATGTGACTCTACTGGACTGAGTAAACGTATGTTTATGAAATACGTTGACCATGGATTGCATTTGAATTTGTGTCAAGCATGCCTTCCAAAAGATGGAAATGAAAATGTTTTCCAGAAAGGCAGAAAGGATGGGCACTGACCTTGTCAGAGAGGCTCTCAGCTTTCAGCTTCTGTTCTTTGAGAGCCTGCTGCAGAGCGAGAATCTCGGCCTTGTGTTCCTTCACTGCCAGCTCCACCACCTGGCGCGACTCAGTGATGCGCTGATCAGCTCTTGCCCTGATGGAAAAACACAGGCCCATTTCAGAAGCCCCACCATCACTGACCCAGAGAAAGGAAGCTGGCCCATCTCTAATCCTGATAAGCAACCAAACTGGCTGCAGGCTGGATAGATGCCCAACCCTGACTCCTACTTCCAAGTTACGTCCTGCTTCCTGACCGCTTACTGAGTGATGATTTGACCCACTTTAGGCCTTGGGTAAAAATATTCTTCATAGGTAACGTTCTCGTGCGTACTCACTTGGAAAGGCTGAAGGGGAAAAGGCAATTTTCCAAATACAACCGGGCTGAAGAGGATGTGTCAAGACTGTCACAGCCTCCCTTGGGAGTGGAAAGGAAATGAGGTCCCACTGAAGGACTACAGGGTGCAGAGGACCATGGGAGATGCCATTTGAGCAAACATTTCTTCTCCTTAAAGTACATGCAGTAAGTTAAGTGTTCGGGGTGCTCATCAGGAAACTGAAAATTGAATCTGATGAATGTGTACATAAATAAGGTTAGAGACTAGAAAAATTAGAAGCAAACTAGAAAAATCACTTCCTCTCACCCATTTAGGTCTTACATTTTACTACTTCCACACCTGGGCTTGCAACACTGTCCTTCCCTACCCTACAAAGCCCGATCTGACTCAGCCTTGAAGGACAAACTCAAAGGTCATGTCCTTCATAAAACCTTTCTTAATTTCCCCTCCCAGAAGTAACCTCTCCTTGCTCTGTATCCAGAGCATAAATGTACTTCTCTCCTGGCACACCCAACTCTCTGTTTCAGACAATAAATATCTGAATACACAGTTTATCTCCACTAGACTCTTAGCCTCTTGAGGACAAGAATTAAGAATTATATTTTACTCATCTCAGTATCCCACATAACACCAAGACAGCAGGAAAAAAAGGGGGTAAAGCCAAGATCTTTCACAGTTGCCCTTGAAATTATACATGAAATGTCTTCCTAGGCACAGCCCATAATTTTACCTTCCACGTGTGGTTGTGTATCTCTTGATGCTAAAGCCAGCTTCTGATCCCTAAAATTTTCCCTGAAGGGCTCTAGAAACAGCTAGGATAGGAGCTGGACTTGAGGGCAGAAGGAGGGGGTCTGTGTGAAAGACCCAAACAAACCATGAGGACTCAGGGAGCCCAAGAGTTCAGAGGGCAGCAGGAGCAGGTCTTAAACCAGCAGCCCCTCACAGCAGCAAACACCTTGCCCAAGAGGATGCCCGAAAAGGGAACATTTCTACTAGTTTCTCTTGAAATTTAAGAGTCCTCATCTTTTGCCTCTAATCTTTTCTAGTTTAACTGACTTAGCATAGATTAAACATCCAACACATTGATGAGTCTACCATGGCCAAGGAAATGTGGGAAATGCCCAAATGAGTCTGCTGGAGTCCAACTAAATGATAGATATTTCTATGTATAGCTTATCTTGCTTAAGGAGTTTAGAATATCACAGGAAGGTGAGTTTCAGAAGAAGGTGACATTAGTGAGGTTATGAAGGATGGACATGATTCAGTTATGCAGACACGAAGTCATGGGGCTAACACTAGCCTATACGGAGCCTTTGTGCAAACTGGAAAAAGGCACCTGTTCTTCAAGACCATTTATTTCCATCTGCTGGTAAACTGTCGTAATATACCAATTTTGTTAGAACAAAACACTTTCCTGCTGCGAGCTGTAAAATTGTCATAATAAAGCTTCAAATCTATGATGTCTTCAATGTGAACGGCACCCCCTAGAGCTATGCACTACACAACCTGCACTATCGCGGCCTTGGCAAAAAGGGAACTGTGGAAACCAAAGCAGGAAAGCAGACGAAAGATACTGCCTGAACCTATTATTACTATTTCCTACCAAGAAAAAAGAAAAAAACCACTATTCTTCTAGAGCAGTTGTTCTCAAGTGGGGGCGATTTTGCCCTCCAGGGGACGTGACGCAATGTCTGGAGACATTTTTAGTGTCACAACTCGTAGAGGGAAGACTAGCATTACACACAACCAGGATTAAAATGGTGATGGTCTTGCTACACGGTCACAATGATAAGAAACCTGAAGAAAGAGTTTCTGCAAAGAAAGCACTGAGATACTTGCCCTGCTCTCCCCCCAGGCCTCTGCACAGGGGAAATGAACACCAGCTACTGCCACAGAATCCAACTGACACTGACCATATTTACAAGCAGGATGACCAACCCATCCTGGTTTGCTCAAGAGTCTCCCAGTTCCAGCACTGACAGTCTGGTGTCCCAGGAAACTGCTCAGTCCTGGGACAGTCGGTCACCCGCCTCATAACTCTCAGGTGATCCTGCTGCAGTGGCCCATCACTGGCTTTCTACAAACAGGAAGTCCCACCTGCTCTGCTTTTCAGTGTCCAGCATCCTCTGTAACTCTCGAACCCGACACTCAAACTGGGACTTCTCATCGCCAAGGACGCTCCTCCACGCCTCCCACTGCCGCTCTTTTTCCAGAAGCTCGTCGTTCAGGGCCTCCAAATCCATGACCTGTTCTTCCAGCATCGTGCAGGTGGTCTTGAGAGCCTCCATAGTCTGCAAATCAGTACCACTGAGTTGTGCCTTGTATCAAATGAGGATCTCCTGGATGTTACTTTTGTCGGATCAGTTTTAGAAAAGCGCAAGTTTCTAACTACAGTCTGAAATGCAGCTTATCTTCTTCTACAGACTGAGGGGACCAGAAGAGAATGGATGAAGGGCCATTTCTGCCACCACCTTATAGGCAGAACCCAAAGCAAGGCCAGCAGGAGGAGACCACACTTAAAAAGTCAAGGGGCTCATATTGCCTCCCAGAGCATTCTATTTCATTCGTAATTTTTCTAAATCAAAATTAAGAAGAACAACACACTTTCAAAAGCCATTTTTTAAAATGCTCAAGCCTTCAAAACACAGACATGATTATAAAAAAGAGTCCATTTAATGGACAAGGCTCAGTCTTGGAACCCTTGGGAGAGATGCCCCAGGCACTCACTCTAAAATCTAAAGGGGACCAAAGTGTTCTTCGGGATCTCTAAAGGGGATCTCTAACATGGTTTACCGTCCTTACTTGCTTCTGGCTGGTGAGCTGCATCTCTCTCTCTGTGATCTCACGGCGGAGATGGTCCACTTCACTTCGCAGCTGTACTATCTCGTCGTTGGCACCGGAAGCCTCATCGAGTTGTTTGGACAAGTAGAAATTTTGGTTGTTGAGCTCAGCATTGTCCTCGGTCAGCTGGTTCAGCTGCTCCTCCAGGTCTGTGATGACCTAAGAGAGGACAGGAATCCAGTTACACATCAAGCCAGTCAATTTTAAATGAGAAATTGCTCCAAGAGCCATTGGTTTTGAACCTACATGATACTGATAATCACTGTGCAGCTCACGTATTTGCCCATCCAGCCCCAAGAGCCAAACCCAAGCTCCCCACATCCACCCACCTATCACTAAGACACACGTGCTGTGGTAGGAAAAGAGAAGTCTCTGATTCCTTCTAACTCAGGATTCATCTGGAAAGTATGGCAAAGGCCAATCAATCAAAAGTGACTGCCATATGGAAGGGGCAACTTTAAATGAGATCAAGTTAATGGAAGATAATATAATGTGGAAAATGCAAATTGAGGAAAGAGGAATAACAAAGAGACTTGTATCACAATCAGCTAATTAAGCGAAAACACCCATGACACCATCTATAGGACATTATAATTGAAGATAGTCTTAGGAGGCAAAATAAAGTTCTTATCAAGGAAGACTGACAGCAAAGGACACCAAGAGTTACTTTAATAAAATCTCAGGCAATGAATTTAATTTCACACAACGAAGAAAAGAAAAATTTGAGGAAGCTTAGAATAATCCTGAAAATACAATATTATACTATAACATCACTTTAATGGTTTTTATTATACAGTGAGCTATCCGAAAATGGAAAGGCATGTATATGAAATTGTCATTTTATTAAGAGAGATTTAATCTGGTTTTGCTAAATTATTTCCCTGCGCAATGGCAGAATGACTCCAATTTCAGTACATTTAGCATTCTTATTCTCTTGGCTGTGGTTTAGTATCAGTGCTGCAGAGAGCTTTTATATATAATACTTCAGAAGTTTAAGGGCAATTTTCTAATAATAGTTGGAATGAGGCACACGGGCAGTAAATTAAATTTTATGTTAAAAAAAGTAAATTAAAAGGAAATGCCTTGAAGCCTACAGTTATTAATTGTTTCCAATTATCAAAACTAGAGTAGATTTAGTTTATGAAATGTTGCCACTGTTCCCACGACTAATTCCCTATTTTAACCCCCTTTGATTATCAATTAAAAAAAAAATCTTTCCAGGCTTGCAGAATTAAAGAACATCAATTAAGTACATTTGTTCAATGTGGTTCAGAAAACACAGCTTTCATTTTGTAACTGAGCTGACAAGATTTTAATGTAGTAAGTGGGCTAGCAATTTGTATTTTAATGTCAAAAGCCATGTTAATTCCTAATGCACTAGTCTGAGGTACAGTGTCAGCTACAAGAGGGAAAATAAAGGTTGTCTGGTCAGGTTCTTAGCTAGGACTCCCTCTTTATCAGGGGGGAAGAAAAGGAAAAAACTGAAAGTTTGTCATTCCTAGCAGGCAGTTATGCCTCATAGATCCCTGTATCACTCACTCTATGACATGGTCAAATCTCCTAAAACCAGAAACAATAAATGAACAATGCCAACAGTTCAACTGATCTCCTTCGAATGCAGTAAACCCGATCCTGAAGATAGTCTTCATCCTACACTGCAAATGTCTCCATTTAACTATTTTGCCTCCTTCTACTCTTTCCCAAAGAAAAACAAGACTGAGGCAAACTGGCCTGGGAGTTATGCTACAGCCTGGCTTCTGGAACTCCAAAGAGGCCACCTTGAACTTTGTTGGGTTGACTTCTCCATCTGTGACATGGAGGTATATACTAGATTTACCATCTCCTCTGTTTTTACCTTTTTAATGTTTTGAGTTTTCTAACATACTATTCTGTCTTAAAGTATCATGTAAAATACAGGGGACAAACATCAACGACCAAGATGAAGCTTCATTTGAAAGATTACAGTGGTGCCTCTTGAAGAGCAGACTACAGAAAATCAATTCACATAAGAATATATACATGGCCAAAATAATTTACTGCCATTCGAAGACATATTTAAGCCTCTGGTACCCACTTCCTTTCTTTGATTCATGAAATATTTATTTTCATAATGTGAATTATTATAAGTCCATTTCTACCACTTCATCTTCTTCTCCCAAAATTAGATTATAAAGTGCAAAAGAAGAAACATTTGAAAAAAGTCAATGAGGTGCCAAGATTATTCCTCTCACTTCAGTTGAGATGGGCCCATTGAAATAACAAGGGTCCCTCCATTTCCCTGTTGTTATCCGGCTTTCAAGTGGTCTCACATCTCTATTTACAATTTGTGACTGTTGGTTCTATATTTTGTCATCATCTCTCTTTAGCACATTTGACATGAAGAGGATTACATGTTTGTGTGAAGCACCCAAGTCTTCATTAAAAGCATTTTAACTCATTCAGACTTTTTATATATTCCTTCTGCCCCAGCCATACCATGTTTAGCTCGTGACTCTGTTTCAAGTTGCTGGAGTTGTGGTATTAAGTGTTAGACAAACCGACAAACACACACAGTATTGAGTTTGCAGACACTGAACTGACTTGAAACACAGGCAGTAAATTAATGGTCTCCATGGTTTAAAAAAAACGTATCAGAGGAAATCTGTGAATTTGACCCAGGTCATGTGCAAGGAGAATTCTTAGGTCTACTCTGTGGCCATCGGTATATTCTCTCCACACCAAGCACAAATGATCTTTTTACTATATTAGAGTCTGTTAACCTTTCAACGCCAAGGATAGAGAGCAAAAAAGATAAATTGAAAGCCTGATTCCATCTTAGCAGTAAAAAAGATGAGGGAAACAGCTTCATAATGCAGGGGCCAGCAGAGCTTTCTTATACGCTGTTTTTGCAGATAAGAGATTGTGGTACAGTTCTAAGAGAAAACAAAGGATATAAAAAAATGATCTACTCCCAGTGTCCAAAAAAAAAAAGATCTCTGGGGTTATCTGTTGCTTTCCAAGCAAACCTCATGGTTCTGAGAAATAGATGTTAACCCCTCCCACCTTACTGGAAGACCAGCAGAGGGAATGTTACCAGGTAAACGTTTGCGGCATATTGGGGAGAAGAAACCAGCCGGATGACGAGCATCAGGCTAAAAAGACACAGGACTGAAGTCCTATTTTAATGCCTAGTTCTTTCTTGAAGGCAGCTATTTGCATATTATTTATTTTTAATCTTATAGCTGACAGATTGATTCATAATTAAAACCATGTCATATGTTTGCCCACCAACTCCCCTCCAAAACAGACTTAGGTAGGGTTTTAGGTGCCAGATTGAATCAAATCCTTTTTTTAAATCTCTTCAAAATATAGAAATGGTCTGAGCTTGAAAATCTCACTGTTCATGGGCTTTACAAAAGCCGCTTGAGAGCTCCTATCAACTGAGTTATCAGAGGAGTTCCCACCAGTAACGAAGATGACATTGCTCAGTGGAGACAACCTCGGACAGCGCCAGCAAGAAAGGAACATCCATCATGCTCTTCGGAAGTATCTTTAAAGCAGCCTTTGAACTTGCAAAAGTATAACTGAGATCTACTATTGCTGCCAAATGTTGTGCCAAAGTGGTGGTTTTCAAACTTTTTTAAGGAGCAGAACCATTTTCTAAACAATAGATTAGGTCATAAATCCAACATAATAAAATAATAATAGTAACTGACATTGTTTAGCCCTTTCTATGGACCAGGCTCCGGGCAAGCACTTCGATGCATCATCTCATTTAGTTCTTGCAGGAACCCTATGAGGTAGGTATTATTACCAAGTTTCTGGTTCTATGATTCAGTGTTTCCTAAGTTTTACGGTTTCTGGAATTTCAATGTATACTGGAACTAAGCAGCTGTCTCTCTTCCCTCACCCAGCCCCCGAAGAGCAGGTATTAAATGAATTATACATCTTACAATTGATGGCATATTGGAACTAAGGATATACAATGTTATCCCTATTCTACAGGTAAAGAAATGGAGGCTTGGGAGGTTAACATCACACAGGTTCCCAAGAGGCCAGTTTGGAATCCCAACATACTCTGCCTGACTCCAGAGGGCATGGTTTGGACCACTAAGCAACCCAGCTGCTCTAGCCGAAGCGGGGATGGGGGTCACTCTCTCGGTTCCCCCTCCCACTGGGAGAGGCCCCCAGAGGCTTCTCCACAGAGTGCCAGAAGTAAGTAAAGTAAGGAGTAGGGGTCACTTTTCCAGAAAAAGCAAATGTGAGAGATAAAGAGAGTATAAAAGTTATATTCTTAACCAAATTCATTCTACATACTGGCATGTCCTATTAAAAACTAAACTTCCAATTTTAAAAATGTAGGGGAGGGTAGATTACAAAGGGGTACAAGGAAACTTTTGAGGGTGATGGATATGTTCATTATTTTGATGGTTTCACAGGTGTATACATATTTCAAAACACATCAGCTTATTGTACTCCAATTATATCTCTAAGAAGCTATAAAAAATGCTTTTAAAAAAGTTCTTATGCCAAAAGACTAAAAATGGGGAAAGATTCTCCAGATAAAGGATTACTGATGTACACATTTGAAATATATCCAAGTTTATTTTAGGAAAAAATATAATATAAAAGTCACAATCATAAAATGATCTATATTTTATTCAGTGATCATTTATGAATATGTGTATAAGCAAATAACTCTTATGTAGAATAAGAAACCAAGACGAGAAGAAACTAACAAAGTAGGCAGAAGAGTACATGAACTGAATGCACCAACTCCTCAAGGAAGGGAGGCAAGAATGGAGGAAATCAACAGGCACATCTAAAGAGGGCCCACCCTGGTCCGCCATCAGCGTCAGGAAATACAGACGAAAAATCCATCTGCCAGGTACCTACTAGAGTCAAACAGAGCCACGTCTCATGACCAAGCCATTCCACTCCTGGGTGTATGCTCATCAGAAACAAGTGCTTATAGGCACCAAAGGGCTTGTACAAGAAGGTTTGCTAATAGCTTTACTCATAATGGAAACAATCCAAGGGTCCAGCAACAGGAGAATGGATAAACAAACTTCAGTTCTATTCATACACTGGAAACACTACACTGTAGTGAAAAAGAACAAATTCTTGACAGATACAACATGGATGAACTTCAAATGATTTAAGTCAAACAAGGCTCAACCCAAAAAGAGCACATCCTCTACGATTCCATTTATACAAAGTTCAAGAACAGGCAAAACTAACGTGTGGTATCAGAGGTCAGAATAGTGGTCACCCTTTGGGTAAAGGATACTGATGAGAAGAGGACATAGGGGGCCTGCTGGGGACTGAAAATGTTCTGAATCTTGATCTATGTTGTGGTCACGCAGTTCTCTATACGTATAAAATTTCATTGGGCTGTGTACTTAAGATTAGTGCACTTTACTGCATGCATTTTATACCTAAACTAAGGGGAAAAAGCATCTACCATCAGACTTCTTGTCCCATTTATAGTAGGTAAAGAGGAAAGAGAGAGTTTCATTTCAAGAAAAGAAAACACGTATGTGGGAGGTAGGGATGTCTCTGGAAATTCACAGATGCAAATAATACAAATGGAGACAAGCTCACTGAGGACTGACTAAGGAGAGAATAAAGGGATGAAAGGACCAAATAAAGAAAGTGGAACCGTGAATAAAGATATCATCCCTAACTTCTAAAAGGGGCCTATTTCAGTCCTTTGTTCTGTTCAAAAATAGACTTCAAGTTTCTACTGACCCTACCTTATTACATAACCTATGAACAATGCTTATCTGCTTATAGTACTTACTTCTCTCAATATAAATAACATCTCCCAGAGAGTCATAGATTTTGAATTTGCATGTTAGGAACCCAGATTTTGCCTGTTAGGAAGTTAACATTTCTAGATCCTCAGGAGAACACGTCGGCCTTTCCTCTCTGCAGAGGCAGCCGGCTGGAGAGCCACACAGATATCACTGCTCTACCGTCTGGACAATCTCTGGCTTGCGTGGCCCCGGAACCTTCTACATTGGAGAAGGAGCTGCCTCGGGACTTCAGTTGTAGCTAGTGAAACCTATTAGGGCTTCTGCTGTGAGAATTACTTTGACCATTCCAACTATCCTCCCTCAAACATGAGGAATGGTTTTAAGTCTTTAAAACTGGCAGAAACCCAAGAAACTGAAGTTATCTGGGGCTCAGAAACTCCAAATCAGCTTCATTGCATTAACTGATTCAAGTTGAAAGTTCCTATCAAAAATCAGTCACTCATAAAGAGATGTCCCCTTTTCCTTCTCGGTTTCAGTTTCATGTTATTTTAATCATCTTTGGTTAATACTCACAGTACAGCTGTTACGAAGGGCATCAAATTTGCGCTGGATTTCATCTCTATGTGCCTAAAAGGTAAGAAGTTGATTATAAATTTCTCATAGGGTAGAATACAATTCTACATGCTACGGGTCAAATAAAGAGAACAGCATTTGCCTAGAAAGCCAAGAAGGCTGTTTGTTGCAGGTGTCCCAGCATCTGGTTTTCAAAGAACTAATTAATCAAGGCATCCCCAACGTGAGAAGTCAAGTCACAGGAATACACAATGCTATGTTAATTAACAATTAACTATTTAGACCGCACATGGATACCCTGTACAAATATATTTCACATTCATATTAACACCTTGGGACTAGTGGAAGAAAAAAATAAAGGATGACGTTTTTACTCTCCTTCATTTGTGTTATTTTCTATTCTTAATCTTTCCCTCTTCCCTCTAATTGACACCCGCCCCCCTGTCAGCCTGCTCCCGAGAGAGACACACACACACAGACACACATACAGGACAAAAGGCAGGACAAAGTAGGGGCTTTTTTTTTTTTTAATCAAAAGCTGCTGAGATTCAGAAACCCCACAGTGACCTTGAAGTAAATATAAAGGCTTTCTCCAAGGCTGAGTGGCTCTAAGACAGCAGCATGCATTCAGTTGACAAGGATTTTTCTGAATGCATACTATAGGCCAGACATTGCAGGAAAGAGCATATATGGCCCACGCCTTCATTCTGGTGAAAGAAGATAGAAAATAAACCCAGGCATGATTACCAATAGTGACAAATGCTACAAAGGAAACAAACGTGGCCCAGGAAAAAAGAATAATGGGGACAGAAAGGAACTTACTTAGATGGAGTGGTCAAGGTGGGCTTCTCTGAAGAGGTGACATTTAAACTGAAACCTGCAGGATGATGAGGAGACAGCCAAGCAAAGAACAAGAAAGAGCAGAGGAAACAGCGTGTGCAAAACCCCTGAGGCAAGAAAGGATTTGGTGCATTCAATGAACAAAAAAAAGCTGGAGGGGCTAGAGCAGTTTTTCAAACTTCAAGCTGTGCACCAATAGCAAGCAAGTCGAGTGGGGTTTTTTTGGTTTGTTTCATCCAGTAAAATGGAATAAACCAGGCAGAATAGAAAACATCAGAATGTACCTTGGATAGTAAGGTAAGCACTGTCGTACGAAACTTGGCCAGATACTATAATTCATCAAGTTTAAGTTGCTATCAATTGTAAGACTTATGGAAATTTCATGTAACATTAAGAAAAAAAAGTGCTTTCAATTACACTATGACATGTTCATGTCTAAATGACTATATAATCATATATAGGCTACGACTATAAGATGTATCCTGACTTTAGATACCTTGGAATCAGTGAAACATGGTATATGTGCTCCCTTGTTTTAGACTGGAAGGTAAAATATATTTTCTGTGGGTTGTGGCCAAACGATTTTTGAAAACCACTTGACCAAAGCACAGCGAGAGAAAGAAAAAGTGGCCCAAGATGATGGTAGACAGACAGGCAGGGACCAAGAATCTTGAAGGCCCAGAAAACTATTTGGATTTTGTTCAAAGTGCAATTAACTGAAAGCCAATGAAGGTTTTAAGAAGCAGAGTGACATGATCTGACTGTCATTTTGCGGATGCTGTAGGAAGAATAAATCGAAATAGGACAAAGGTGGAAGGAGCAGTGAAACCGTTGAGGTTGTTGCTGTCATTTAAAGAAGAGAGGATGGTGGGTGGGAGTAAGACAGTGGGAAAAGATGGAGAGAAATGGATGGACTTGAGATCTCTTTTGGAAGCACAGGTAGTAAGACTCGCTAATGGACGTGGGGGCCGAGGGAAAGGAGTTGTTGAGGGAGCCCGAACAGACTTTTGATTTGAGAGACAAGGTGAATTATGGCACCATTGGCTTAGCTATGAAAGCCCAAAGAAGAATCCAGTTTGGGGCAGAGGCAGAGGCAAAAGTGGTCCTTCTCTTAAAAGAAAAAGAAAAAAAATTAGTCTCCATTAGAAGGTCTAGAAGATAATCAATTCAAAAATTTTAGAGCTGTGATGTATTCTCTAATCCAGCTATTTTACCATAAATTAATATTATAAGTTTATAACAGCAGCTTAGACACTGCAGAAAAAAGATTAGTAAACTTGAAGACATAGCAATAGAAATGATCCAAAATGAAACACACAAAGAAGAAAAAGAAAGACTTTAAAAAATAAACAGAGCATCAGTGAGCTGTGAGACAACTTCAAGCAGCCTAATACACATGTAATTAGAGTCCCCAAAGGACTGAAGGGGTAAGACAGAAAAAATATTTGAAGAAATAACGGCCACAAAGTTTCAAAAGTTGATGAAAACCATAAACCCCCAGATGCCAAAAGTCCAATGAACCCCAAACACAAGAAACATGAAGAAAAGTAAGCTAAATCACACCATAATCAAACTGCTTAAAACCAGCAATAAAGAGAAAATCTTAAAACCAGTCAGAGAAAAAGACAAGTTGCATATGGAGGTATAAAGAAAAGAAAGACAGATTTCTCACCCAGTGGGGTCAGAGGAGGTGAGGGTGGGAAGCAAGCTAGAAGACAGTGGAACAACATCTTTAAAGGACTGAAGGAAAAACAAAAATCTGTCAACCCAGAATTCTATATCCAGCAAAAATCATTCAAAAATGAAAGTGAAATATAGACTTTTTCAGACATACAAAAGCTGAAGGAATTTGCCACCTGCCCATCTGTACTATAAGAAATGTTAAAGAAAGTCCTTCAGGCAGAAGGAAAATGACAACCTGAAATTTAAATCTACACAGAAGAATGAAGAGCACTGGAAAATGTAAAATAAAACAAAAATAAATAGTTGCATAGACAGACTCACAGATTCATAAATAAAAAGCTATTTAAAATTAATTTCCCAAAGAAGTAGCCCATGTTTTTATAGACTAATTTAATATATTATAATTGTTTTTCAAAAGCTCAACCTGCTTTTTGCCCAGCAACAATACAAGAGATTTATTAATTTAACTGGGCAAGAATACTACTTGTCCAAAGCAGGAACGTGGCTATCTACGCTACTGGTGAAATCTCATCTGTGAGCAAGCAGCAGCCTGGCCCCAAAGACCTCCAACCCTCTTGAGCACATTTCACAATCACCAAGGACAAAAGGCAAGGATTCCTCCTAGAGGAAGAATAAGGCCCTTAGGTTAATAAACTCGAGAGTAGGAGTGAGCACGTTTTTTTCTTTAAAAGACCAGACAGTAAATATTTTTGGCTTTGAGGGCCATTCAGTCTCTGTCACAACTATTTGACTCTGCCCTCACGGCGCAAAAACAGCCGTACACAGAATGAAAACAAATGGGCATGGCTGTGTTCCAATAAAACTTTATTTACACAAAGCAGGAAGCAGACGGAATTTGGCCCACTGGCTGTAGCTTGCCGATCTCTGCTCTAAACGACTATTTGGTGTGAAATCTCTCAAGACAGAAACAGGAAACTGAGGGTGGAGTTAACTCCTTCAAAGACTAAGCAGTGATCATAAAAATAGCTCACTGGCCAGGATGTAGGGAGAGAAGCCCTATTCCATTATCTTATTAATAGCAAAGTTTCTGAATAACCCCACACCATTAAAAACTTGTTTAACTGTCCCATTGTAGTCTGAAATTTCAGTCCCTGATACTGTTTCATTTCCATTAAAATTTACCATTACAAGGCCTTTGGATCATTTTGACACATCAAATGGCAATCCTCTCGGAGGGTATAATGTAATAAACTACCATCATTACAGCTGTTGATTTATTATTGACTGTGAAATATAAACACAAAATGTAAAACCTTTGGTCCAAAGGCTGTTGTGACTGCTAGAAATACTATAAGAATTTAACAGTTATTGAACTGAATTGAGAAAATGTCAAGAAACATATGTTTTATGTTTCTTTGAAATAAGTTGTAAAACAAATAACAAAAAAGCAAAAGGTGGAGCCAGCCCAGTGGCGTAGTGGTTAAGTTCATGTGCTCCACTTCAGCAGCCTGCGGGTTCAGCTCCCAGGCACAGACCTACACACCACTCATCAAGTCTTGCAGTGGCAGTGTCCCACATACAAAATAGAGGAGGACTGGCACAGATGTTAGCTCAGGGACAATCTTCCTCAAGCAAAAAGAGGAGGATTGGCAATAGATGTGAGCTCAGGGCCAATCTTCCTTGCCAAAAAAAACAGTGCAAAAGGTCCCACAATAGTATATATGAGGATAATAAAATACATAAAACAAGCTTTGGAGTGTCTCAATGAAATATTTGAGTGTTAATTAGGTATTAGGTGCTACAGGGAATAGATATTTACTTTTAAAAATTATCGAGGACCCCAAAGAGCTTTTGTTTATGTGGATTATATCTATCTATACAGTCGTGCGTTGCTTAATGACGGGAATATGTTCTGAGAAATGCATCATTAGGTGATTTCATCACTGTGGAAACATCACTGAGTGCACTCACACAAACCTAGACAGTATGGCCTACCACACACCTAGGCTATATGGTACTAATCTTACGGAACCATCATCACATGTGTGGTCCATCATTGACCAAAACGTCATTATTTGGTGCATGACTGTATTTACCACATTAGAACTTAAAACTGAGATATTTTTCAAATATTAAATTTCTTTTATAATAACAATAACATTGCTTTGCACCATCAGTGCAAATGTTAACACAATGAAAAATGCCAAATGGCATCTTAGTATTATTATAAAAATAATCCGACCTTGGGAACCCCCAGGGATCCACAGAGCCCACTTTGAGAACCACTGACTCAGAAGCTGGGTGGCAATAAGGTAGAATATACAGGCTGCAGCCTGAAGACCAAAGAGGCACTGTCTTTTGAAAGTACTTATATCTTCATTAATTTTAAGGAAAGCTACAAGAGGAAGAAGGGAAAGTGAATTATGATGCAGCCTTGAGGTGAGAAAACACCTGCCGAGCTGAGGAAAGGAAACCAGTGTTTAGATGTCTGACCACCTTCTGGGATCCATGGTCAGGATTCTAGAACACTCAGGCTTCCACGCATCCGTCCCTTTCCCTCTGAAGGCAGGTACCAAGCGAGACTGTCAACTTCCATGCCCCAATTTCACATCTTGGCTATCATGCCGATGGCTTACTAATTAAATACAGGGTTTGATATTTATGTAAAAAAATAAGAGTGTACACTGGCTAATGATCTTAACAAATCAAAGAGGATGACTCTGGGATCTCCTAATCATGCAAGGCTGGAAGGAGTCCTTTCATTAGTGTCTCTAGCTTTAGACTCTTAATTATTCAACATTAGTCATTTAACCAAATCAGTAAAAGAACGTGAGGGCAGGGGCGCGAAACGTGTCCGTGGGGCCTTGCTGGTATACACAGAGCCCACGCCACATCCCTACCCTGCAGCCCCGTTCAGAGCAACACTTACATCGTGTCACGCACCTTAGTGCTCTAATGTGTGCAGGCTCAAATTCTCTTCCTTAGACAGAGGGATTCCATGGAGTCTTAAATACCAAGTCCAGGCGGAAAATTCTCTCTCCCACAATAAGCATTGAAGTATCTTAAAAGCCTGGCATTTTGTTTAAATTTGACTCTCCAGTTGGTCTCTACTCTGATTCAGTCTCAGCTTTTAAGGGCCAGTGAATTCAATGCAAATGCAATTGACAGGATGGGTAAAGTGAGACTGGGAAAAAAAGAAAGCGTGAGGAAGACCAACAACGGCTTCCCAGCGGGCCCTGCCATGCTTCTTCAATGGACAGCTTCCATTTAACTGTGCCCCATCTAATTTGGCCCAGGAGCAGAGGCCAAACAGGGCAACGACTCCCTTCCCAGGCTAGGAGATGGAGCTCTCTTAGAATTAAACAGTAACAACCCACTTGCCTACTCCCTGTGATTGATAAAACAGCCTGCTGTGAAGCCCAAAGACCTCCTAGGAGATCATTTTAGATCCAGCTGACTTAATTTGATGGATGCTTACATCGGGTCTGAACTTGCGCCTGAACAATGAGAGAGTCAGGGTACTGCATTTGTGACCATTTCCTCTTTCTCTCAAGAAATACATTCTTCAGGACAAATTCAACAAACCCCCTCAGGCAACAAGCACACGCGGTCCATAAGCAGGGTTCTGGCACATAATCAAGACAAGGGGCGGGAAAAAACCCACAGCCTCAAAAGAGAACTGAAGCAAATTGATACGGGGTTTGAATTCCTACATGACGGGCTCACAAAGAGCTGTCTGACCAAAGGCACTTTCCTGCCATCATTTTGAACAAGCCCTATTTTCCAAAACATCTTCATCTGCGGAAGTGGTAGAGTCCTAGTTTCTAGACCTAGGGAGGTTTGTTTCTTTCTCTTTAAAAGAATAGATGCTCTCAGGCAGTGATCTCATCTGACTAAATTAAGTCGTGACTTGCTGCTGTGCTAGGCTCCCAGCAGCCCTTAGACACAGCACATTCCAACCAGCAGCAAGACAGGATTTAAAGACTGATTTCCCTACAGATAAACAGCAATGACACATGCTCTATTTCATACCCTCCTCCTTCCAAACGGGCAGGATAAGATGCACGGCCACCACCCTCCCTCCCAGTTCCAACAGAGCATGACGATAAATGTGTCCTTCTCCACAGCTCCAAAGTAAAAGGATTTGAGGAATTATAGGGCGATCCCCCGGGGAGAAACAGCTAAAGACACGGCGCTAGGCACACAGTGAGGGCTCATTAAATACGGATTAAATCACTGATGTCTCCTCTTTCAGAGCTTGAGAGTTCATACAGGAGGAACACATTAATATACAATGTATTAAATATAATACTGGTTGGATTTTTTGATATCTCCTTTAGCAGCTAAGAAATGCTATCTGACTATCTCCTTCCCCATCCACCCAATCCCAGAAAGCATATAAGCCTTCTTGACATGCACTCATATATTCATTTCATTCCTACCACCATTTTTTTCTCTTATAGACTTATTTTCTCTTTGCCTTTTCTTTCTTATTTTATCCTGTTATACTGTTTTGTAGCTTTCCAAACTGCTTTCAATCCATTTTGAAACAAGGCAGAGAATAAATAAAGAGATATCATGGCTATTTTTTTCCAAACCAAATATTGAGGACACATGGCATCATGTAATGAGTGTTCTCATAAAGACAATGGAAATTAAGATTGTAATCAATATCTGAACTTGGCGTAAGTCCTGGAAAACCTAGGATGCACGAGCACGTTCTATATAGGAGTTACTCTATACCCCTAGAATCCTGAAAGCCCCTTTGTCCTAGACTGGTCCTTAAGGACCCTGGCACTGTCAGATCACAGTCCCAATTTGATTCAGATAATGGGCTCCCTAAACCCAACAATGGGAGATAACTTCTAAGAATGAAATTATTTAAAAAAAAAAACAAAAACATAACATACATTACTTTTAAACAGGGTAAATCATAAGCAACAAATGCGCATAGCCATCTGTAGAAGTAACCTCACTCTAAGAGATATTTAGAGATGTTTGCTGATGGAGATGGGGACAGCATCCAAGATGAATCAGAATGAATCAGGTACCCACTTAAGTACCTTATTTAAAAAAACCCATACCACAACTAGAAGGACCTGCAACTAAGATATACAACTACGTACTGGGGGGTTTTGGGAGATAAAGCAGGAAAAAAAAAAAAACCCAGAAAGCCAATCAGCTGCATTGTGCCCTGCCCACGGGAGAGGGTACCCTGACCAGCAGGCATGAGGGTGCCCATCTGCTTGGCAGGTACAGTATGTTACTATTATAAATGTACGTGCTTGGTTGACACTAGCCATTAAACTCATTCAGCTTTCTATGCCCAGCATTGAGGTCCACCAAACAGCCTTACAAGAGTAATGAGGTTTTTCAGTAGACTTCCCTGAAGGGGAAAAAATGCGAAGATTAACCCACCCGGAGTATCCTAGTCGACTTGGCAGCTGTATTTCCCATTGTACATTGATAAGATGGCATTTTATATATAAGATTCTGGTGAGTTTTGTTAGCCTGGGTCAGTCCCCATGAAAAAGATCAACAGTGGGCAATTTGCCCCAAAAGTCACATTTTCAGACTTCCAGAAAGAACTACGGTCTAAATCCAGTGACCCCTCCTCCTACTCCAAGTTTTACCGCCTAAGAATACTCTTCAGTTAAGTAAACGAGTCTCTCAGGGAGAAAAGGGAAGCCAGGTCCCTTTTAGAGAAAGAATCTCTCATTTAGAAGAATCTTTTCCATCTAGAACATACCAGATGCATGCATAAGACTTGAAGCAGAATCAACAGCTTTAAAAAAAAAAAAGTAACACAAATGAGGTTAACCAAAACCAAAATAGAAATATGGTAGAAAGACTATTGTAAGATATAAGATTATCATCATTTTAATGATTTTTGAAAATTAAAGTAGAAGACCCAGGTAAATGGACTTTGGCCAAAACTAAAATTTAAAATATAATGATGATTATTTTAAAAAGAGGGAAAATAAATAAAGGAGGAACTTTTCAAGATACTAAGAAAAGTTCAGCTATTACCAATCAATCTAGTATATTAATTCCAATGATGGAGAAGCCTATGTAAGCCAATTTTCTGCCCATAAAACATCTCTATAAGTTGTTTTTTCTCTCTTGGAATTTCTAAGAGTGAGCCAATACTATTAGCACCACACTTATCCTAGCAGAGGCCTTCAGTGAGCTGAAGGTGCCACTCCCCAGGCCTACCGTGAGTGCCTGGATCTCTTCTTCTGCTTCTGCTGTTGTCTCTTCCAGCTCCGTCTTTGCCTGGCGAAGCTGGCTCTCCAGGGCCGCCCGCGCGGCCTGCAGGGCTGTCAGCTGGGACTCACGCTCTTGCAGGGAGAGCTGCAGCTCCGTGAGCTGACGCTTTAGCTCCAGCTTCTGCTCCTCATGCTCCAGACTGACCTGAGAGAGAGAAAGAAAGAAATGCTAGGTTGACCTTAACTAAAGAGAAAGCCAAGACCTGAACTGTTCAACCTGCATCTTAAATTTGGTCATGGAATCAAATTCTCGGCACTCAGCTGAGAGGGAAAAAAGCAATAAAACAGGTCTGACTTCTATGAGTCTCAAAAATCAACAGGAATGAGAACATGTAAGAGTATATACAACGTATATACAAACCATCCCTTACTTTTAACTACTCAAATGCTTGGGAAGGTTTCAAAAGAAAAACCACACAGCCAGAATCTCCTATGAAAATTATGACAATTACTCTTATTAGGAAAACATTTAAAATTAAATGGATATAAATAACATTGTGTCAGTAACGGGGACACCAATTTACAATTGGAATACAAATGGAAGAACAGATTGAATTCTATTTATTTTAAATATTCTCTCTCTGATTTGTTCTCATTAGGTAACCGTCATTAATGTCATATTAGGAACTAATCATTCTTCCTTCCATCTGCCCATCTATCCATCTGTCTACTCAACATTTCATTCATTCATTTAAGAAAAATTTACTCAGCAATTTCTGTGTAAAAAGGATTATGGAGATGAAAGACAGTCTTTGCCTTCACATTGAGGAGAAAAATGAAAACCAACCATTACCAAGTATTGTGGTCAAGTGCAATGGTCAGGACATGTAGGGATGTTGTAGGAACACAGCAGAGAGGTAGAGAAGGTAACTCTGGATCTGTGCACCGAAGAATACAAGAGCCAAACAAGCAGATAAGTGGGGAAAGCAAATTCCGAGCAGGGAAAGCAAGATGCCCAAAGGCATGAAGATGAGGAAGCCCATGGCACTTCTATTGACATGACAAACACTGACAAGCTTGTCCCAGGGACCAGACCCTGTGTCAGACATTGGGGATGCCAAGCAAATAAGAGCTTACTGTCTAATGAGGACTGCCAAGAGGTACACAGGGTGATGAGTTAAACATGGAAGGCCATGGGGACTCAAAGGGGACATCGCATCCAGCTCCAGAGGGTCAGAGAAGGCTCCCCAGAAAAGGTGACATCAAAGTCCCAAAGGCCATAGGAGTGACGAGAAGAAAGAAGGACAAGATCTAGCCTAGAGGACCAGCCGGATTTAGTGGTCAATTCAAGGTGCGACAGGGAACAAAGGACAGAGGGGAGTCAGAGGTGACGCCTGCATTTCTGGGCAAAGTGACTTACAAGAGAGTGAGACCATTAGCTACGACCGGGAAAACGAGAGGAAGAGCCAGTCTGAGAAGAAAGATGAAAATTTCAGTCTTGATGTGTTGAACCTGAGCCACAAGGGCGACATCCAAGTGAAGATGTCTAATGTCTATGGGGACAACGGGTCAGAAATTCAAGAGAAAGCTCTAGGTTGGTAATCCAGATCTGGGAGTCCCTAACAAGTCAGTGGCAGCTGAAGCCAAACCTGTGGTCTCTTTCTAATGAGGATGAGAAGGATGATGATGACGACTATGGAGGTGATGATGACGATGTGACAGCAGCAAATGCAGTACTCACTTATAACATGCCAGGCACTGTTTTAACTCATTTCATCTTCAAAACAACCCAGTGAGGGAGGTACTAGTATTACCTCCATTTTACAGATAAGCAAACCATGGCACTGAGATAAAGTAACAGAGCAAATGTGACATAGCCAAAAAATGGCAAGAACTGGCTTTGAAAAACCCAAGAAGTCTGGCTGAAGAGTCCACTACTTATTGTTTATCTTATTAAAATGCCAGCAGTCAGAGCAGGCTGTGACTCCACTGGCACCCCTGAAAATTCTTCTGATGCCACTTGGCAAAACCATGCGAGGCGAGTCAAGTGGAGGTTACGGAGCAGAAAGCTGTACAATGACAGGAGAACCCCGGAGCCCTGCACCTTCACGACTCCACACACTGAGCTAGAGACGAGCTAACACTGCACAAGGGCGGGGGGCGGGGGTTGGGGGTGGTTTGGAAGCCCAGGGCGCTTTAAGGTGGATCAAGCCCCCAAGGCTGAGGCCTCTGCCCTCAACCTCAGTAACACCAGGTGGCAAAGAGACGGTGGACGGCCTTGATATACTTAAAGCCAAGCTCGAGAACTCCCAGAAAGTCTCTACAGCCCTGAGCCTCTCAAGAAGCATTCTAAGTTTCTCCCACCATCCTAGAGGGGAGGACAGCTACACTGACTCAAGAACAAAGCAACATGCTTCCCCTGGGGCATTTTAATTGCCCAGGCAGCCTACAGCTGCGGGGCAGTGCTGTAAGAGAGACATCTGTGGAAAAGGAAGGCAGAAGACAGCCAGCCAATGTTCCCAGCTCAAAGAAATCTATCTGAGTTATTTACACTCACACTCTTAAGGCTGACACTATGGGGAAATGCTGTTAAACTTACTGAAGAGTAAAAATACAGCCTGGAAAATAAAAGTTAAACCACCCCCTAAGGCTTTTGGACAACTTAGAACAATGGTTCTCAACTCCGGAAGTATAAGAATCACCCCGGGGCGCTTGCTAAAAATGCAGATCCCTGCTCTTCACCTCCCTCCCCAATTCCACTCAAACAGCTGAGGGAGAAAGATGCCGGGGAATCTGCATTTCAACAGACACGCCATGTGGTCCTAATGAAGGGGTCCACACCTTGCCAACTCCTGGCCTTGGGAGAACTGGCCTCATTTTGACATTCCAGTATGAACTAAGACATGCCTCTAACTGCAAGCCCTCCAGGACCAGTTCAACTGACTCCATCTCTTAGCAACAGAAGGATTAAGAATTGCTGAATGGACAAAGAACATGTGGTATATATATACAATGGAATACTACTCAGCCATAAAAAAGACAAAATCGTCCCATTTGCAACAACATGAATAGACCATGAGGGTATGATGTTAAGCAAAGCAAGCCAGACAAAGACAAATACTGCATGATTTCACTCATATGTGGAAGATAGCAAATATATGGATAAAGAGAACAAATTAGTGGTCACCACAGGAGAAGGGGGTTGGGGGGTGGGCAAAAGGGATAAAAGGGCTCATATGTATGGTGATGGATAAAAATTAGACTACTGGGGGTGAGCACAATGAAGTGTGTTCAGAAAATGATAAACAATAATGTACACCCAAAACTGCACAATGTTATAAACCATTATAATCCCAATAAAATGACTTGGGGAAAAAAAAACATTGCCTTTCAGAAAATCTGCAAAGTCATATACCCAGGGCATGCGCAGAAGAAGAAATCTTGGCCTGAAATGACCACAGAACCAAAGATCCTCCTTTCCATGGAACCCAAGCACCAGGACACAAGTGGAACTTGAAAGTCAGACTCTTCTCAGAAGTGAGAGGTCCGTCGTTCAGGAAGATCTGATGTTAAAATTCCTTGCCCACCTCATATGAATGCTTAGAGCCCTGTCATAAATGTCTAAAACTTTACTGTAAATGCTTGAAGCCCACCAACCAAAACCCGTCCCACTAGAATTTCCACGTGCCAGCCTGTTCCTTCTAACCTCTTAAATTTCACCCCAAATCCTGAATCAGGGAGACAGATCTGAGGGCACACGCCCCCTCTACTCCCTGCAGATCGATCTCGCAGAATAAAGCTGATTTCTTTTCCCAAAGGCTGATGCCGTAATTAACTAGCTTGTTTACGTGCATCAGGCAGAGAACCCCAATTTTGTGCAGTAGCATGCCTACACATGAGTATTCCTCAAGGTTTAGTCCTCAGACCTCTGCCTGCTTCAGTCTTTTCCTTAAGGTATTATCTGTTATTTGCAGAATTGCATCACAAATATTTGAGCACCGCCCAGATGTCCTACTTCCAATGACCACTCTCCTGAACTCCAGTCCTGACTCTGCCAATACCAGCTAATCCTCCCTGCTAGGCTGACACCCTCCAGGTCAGAGACTCAGTTTGTCTTATCACCATTGTATATCCAGACTACTAACTGGCACACAGCATGCATTTAATAGATTCATAGTCAACTTCAACATGTTTATAACCAAACGTGTTGTACTTTCCTCCCAAAAGCCTGGCTGCCCTTCCCAGCTTCATTATCCCTCTGAAGAGAACCACCTTCCATCAAACAAACCTGAAGCTGAGATTTGTCTTTTAATCTTCCACTGTCATTATGAGATCTTCGCCATATCACGTACTCAACACTGTGCTAAACTCCGTGCATGGACTTGGTCACGTGACCCTCGCTAGACTGGGATAAAGGAGGAATCACTCTGCCCCCATTTGAAGATGCACCAATTTACATAATTCCCATAGGACCCTATGAAGGAGATACATTTTCATGGCCATTTGACAGATGAGGAAACTAAAGCACAGAGAGAAGGTGGCCTGCCCCAGTCACAGAAGAAGTGAAGGTGGAATTCTCACCCAGATCCCTGTGGCCCGGTCTGCACTTCTCACCACCATGCACAATGCCTCTCATGCAAGTCTTGATTTACACTTGACACCTGGCTGTTTGGGGCCCGAATCCTCCAGCAAATGCTCTCGGGCAATCACCCCTCACTCTCACCTCCCTTAACCTCGTCTCCAACTCCAGCAGACGATTCTTGTCGCTGTGGTCTTGGTGGCTGATTTTTTCCAACTGCTCCTCCAGCTTTCGGTTCTGGGCCTCCAACTTCCCAGCCTGAGTCTCCAGGTAAAATTTTTGTTGCCTGAGTTCTGAAATCATCTCTTCCTGGGCCTTCCTGGTGGGGGTGGTGGAAGGAGCCAAGCAAAATCATAGTCTCATTAGAGGTGAGCATGTCCCTCAGAAGGACAGACAGAAACAGAGCAAAAGATGTGTCTTAGTGAGTATACCACAGTCATTCCCAGGTTAGCTCTGTCTTGTCCTGGCCTCATGGTCATTTCCAAGTTAGCTCTGTCCTGACCTGGCCTCATGTGCATGATCCCAGGATGGGGACCCGGGTCCCATATAGTCCTCACTGCTCAGATTCCCTTGCCTATGGGATTAAGTATGGTCAAGGGGGATGCAAGAGACACCTACATTTCACTCCTCTGGTATACCTTGTTTTTGAGTCTATAGCAGAGCAGAAAGTAACCTCCTGAGAGTACTCCCAAAAACTCATTAAGGTGGGCCCTTGGGAAGGAAGGGCGAAGAGGAGAAAGAGTACTATTCCTTCTATTTCTTTGTAGACCTTGCTTACCTCTCCAACAGACTGCTCAGAAGTCAGAAACTGGAATGACTCAAAAACCCAAAAGCAGTCTACCAAGCTGGTTTAAACTAAGACGGGAATGTTTTAGAAGATGAAATCTAAGGGGAAAAAAATCCTGACGACTGTAATTCTTTAGGGGAAAAGATGAAGATCAAAGTGCTCCTGGAACACAGAGAATCCTTGCTGAACCCCAATCTTCATCCATCCCCCCAGGGTCTAACTTTAACAACAGCAAAATGGATGGCCCAGTTGGGGCACCCACAAGATCAACCTCTGGCTAATTACAGGGGGTAATCTGGGGAACAAGGAGGCAGCTTTCCCAAAGCAAACTATAAATAGCCTCATTAGAGAGAGCAAAACACTCTGTAATCTGATGGCAATCTGAAGCATCTAAGAAAACCCAGCTCAAAAGAGAAGGCACGGTAGAGTGAGACCACTTAAGAGAGGGCAAAATTACATAAGGATACAGGAGGCTGGGTCAAACTACAGAAGTAATTGAATCTGCTCCAGCTCCATTAGATAGAAGAATGGAGTTTATGCCCCAGGAGAGAAGACCAAAGTGTAATCATGCACGCAGTTAGAATTTGAATACTTACATGTTCCTCTGGGTAAAAAGACTGCTGTTGGCCGCAAGTTTATTGGCTTCCGACAATTCCACAATCCTCTGTTCCAGGGATCTGATCTTGGAATCCATGGCATTGATCATCTGAAACACAGGGAACCTTTGAAACCTCACACACAGACAGTTCTACCAGAAGGAGGGTAATGTAAGCCATGTGGGCCGGGGTGGAAGTGTCATCTGAAATGCAGGCAATTTGACCAGAGGTAACAAGGGACTCAGCTAGTCTGTACCCTGAGGACCACACATCTTACTGCTCAAAAGGATGGCACTTACTTGTTTTATCAGAGACACATTAAACGTCCCCACATTAGCTAAGTGGCTTGCATTAGAAACAAGCCAAAGGACTTATTGAGGAGCCTGACGTTCTGCAGGTAAGCAGGCCTCATTAAACCCCCGTGTCATCTGCATGTGACATGAGCCCACAGGAGCCTCTAACTGGAATCTGCAAGTTCATATTTCTCATCAACCATGGGGTTGTAATTTTCTGAGTGATTCTTTCTTACCCAGCCACTATTGTCCTAGATTCTCTACATCAAAGTTTCGCCAACTTAATGAATCATAAGACTCAGGGGGGTGCTGGTGAAAAATATAACTCCCTAGGACCCGCCTTGAGATTCTCTGGTGGAAAGTCTCAGCAGGGTCCGAGATAATACGTAGATTGACAAGCACCACAGGTGAACCTTATGAGCAGTAAGTTGCTGAGACATCTGCTTGCGTGGATCAGAAAGGAAAGAAGTGAGTAGCAAGAAGACACGCGAGGGAGACCTGGGGCCCCTGGGCGTTTCTTCAGGGGGCATCTTGAAGGACAACGTTCTAGCTGATGGCAGATCAGCAGTTCTAAAAGAAGAGCGTGAAATGCAAAATTGAACACCCTGAGCCACCACCTCCTCTGCTTTCAGAGAGGAAGGAGTTGCAGAGAGAGCTCTCTGTCAGCAACCAACTCCACAGGATTAAACAGAAAGAATAATTCATCGGATGAAATGGACTCTTCTCAGGTGTGTGATTCCTGGCACGTCTCACAAACCCCCTTTGAAAGCTGGCTTTGCGATTCTTTCTACCTACCGCCTTCTGCTCGCTGAGAATTTTGCCTTTCTCATGGGCCTCCTCCTCGTGTCTCTGCATCAGGTTCTCCAGAGTCTCCTTATCAGCCAGATCTTTCTTTATCTGATTGTCCAACACCTACGGGAACAGAAGAAGTTAGTGTCCTGAGGAGTAAAGTGGAGCAGGAAAGACTAACCAGAAGCACTTGAGAAAGGTGGGGAAAGGAAGAGAGGAGGGGAAGAGCAGTGGAGAAGCCAGGCCCTCCAAATCCTCGGGCAAAAAGAGGGACTGGGAGTCTCTTGATCCACCGGGATGAGGTTAAGAAGTCAAGTATTACCATCAAACGGCAAGTACCCAGTGGACTTAGAACTGAGGACTTACTTTAAAATCAGTGGCCAAAAAGACCCAAGAGGTACATCCAAAATGGAGGCAGACTCCAAAATGAGATGAAAAAAGATCTTTCTACAGATCTTAGAATTTGCAGATGTTACCTGGGGACAACTTTATCGTAGCCAATGTACCAGTAGTTTTCAGAACATTGCTGGCTCTTAATTTGTACAAAATTAATCTAGATGTCTCTGAGCTGTGGACGGAGGGACAGAAAGCTGAAGACGGAGGAACTCTGTGTAACCGAGGCTGCCGTTCAGAAACAGCCAGGGACAAGAGGATTCTGTCCACCAATGAAGCAGGTGGGGAGTCAACAGATTGAAAAGACAAAATAAAAGAATGAAAAAAGATGCCTCTGTCCTCCGCTCTTTCCTCTGATCCGGCTGGAAAATAAAGTCACTGGAAAGAGAAACCTTTCCCAGGGGAAAAGAAATCATGTGTTCTCAGTGCTGAGAACGCCACACTGTAAGCACCTACCGTTCCCAAGAGGAGGAAATAAAATAAAACAGTAATGGTGTCACCATCCACCAGCTTGATCTAATGTTCTGCGAAGCACATACAGCCCAGCCAGTTGCCAAAACAACAGGCAAAAAGGAAAGGGAAAAAGGAAGACATCATCATAACTTGTCCAAGCCTTTGACCAAAACCCTGAGTTTCTCATCACAGAGAATCCACTCTGCTTTTCTGAATGACACCAACTGCCTCTGATATTGGGAAGAAAGCTGAAAGAACTGGGGTCACAGATGGGATTGAAATCTGCCTTTCCCACAATGTCTATTGTGAAGGGACCTTCACAGCTCATGGGGACATCATCCCTAAAAAGAGCCAGTCAGCAGGGAGGGGATCCACATGATAAAGAAAGGAAAGTACAGATTTCAAAGAGGGCTTTGAACTAGAACCGACCGATGAATAAAATAGAATGACAGTTGGTGGAGAAGAACGAAAGGTGGAGGACAGGGTCATGGGAGGAGGGAAGAAGCTCAACAGGATAAGTGGCCCTTTTTCTTGGATGTCAGGGCGTGATTCTAAAATTATGAACAAGAAAGGGACAGAATCTAGGGTATGATCATCATTATTACTAAAATGGCCTTGGAGAGGCCAGAACAGGAAACACAAAGCAGAGCAGGCTAAAAAGAAATGGTTTCATAAAGATTCCAGGAGGGAAGACAGAAGAAAGCAGATCTTTCCCTAACACTCACTAGGATCTATAAAGCCAAGTTCTCTCCATCTAGAAGATGGAGAAGATAACACCTAGACCAGGCATGCTCCTTTTCTACGAGGTGCTAAATCAATGAAGCACATTTTGAGGGTGACTCTGCTCAAAATAAGTCCTCAACTTTGGTAGTGATGGATACCAATGTGAGGTAAGTGTGGCTGGAAGGAACAAGCCTCCATCAAGAAGAATGTATGCAGGGGCCAGCTGGGTGGCACAGCAGTTAAGCTGGCATGTTCCGCTTCGGTGGCCCGGGGTTCATGGTTCAGATCCCGGGTGCAGACATGGCACCGCTTGGCAAGCCATGCCATGGCAGGCGTCCCACATATAAAGTAGAGGAAGATGGGCACAGATGTTAGCACAGGGCCAGGCTTCCTCAGCAAAAAAGAGGAGGATTGGCAGCAGATGTTAGTTCAGGGCTAATCTTTCTCAAAAAAAAAAACAAAAGAAGAATGTGTGCATCTCAGCTTTGATAGGGTTAATCTGGCAGAAGAGTGAACAAGAAGATATGGGAGGGAGAAGCAATAAATGTGAAATGAGAAATTCCACTGTAGATATTTATATCAATTTAAGATAGAACATGGCTTTTTGACAGGAAAGTCAATATAATCATGCAAATCACAGAGCAAATTTTGCAAAGGCTTGTCTCCCTCATGCAAAGGTGCCAATGGACTACTGTATACATTCTCATAATTTGCTGAAAGTTAGTTTATTCCAAAGATAAAAGTCTGGAAGCCAGTAAGAATTCAAACCAAAAGGATTGGTAAATAAAATTTAAAATGCAGTAAGCAGGAGGTCATGCTAAAACACTTTGAAGTCACTTCTGGGTTATTTTCCGATAGTTCTCTTAATGAAAAATACCCAAAAGTAACACCAGGGGTAAAAGAAAGAAGGTGCCAGGGTGGTGATGGTGATGCTGTGTGTGCACGTACGTGTTCAGTTCTCAAAAAAAGGCACAGTCAACTCTCTCAGAACACCAGCCATATCAAGAACAGGATCATCACAAAAATTAAAAGCTTCCTTCAATGTCTGATTTGGAAGGAGAAGAGACAATATTTGAGATGTAATGACCAATGTCTGATTCTCAAGAACGTAAGAATTGAGTTAAAGGCTTGGTCCAAAATCATAATGAAAATGTGATGTGATTTTAAAAGGAAATAGATAGGCTGACATCCATTTCTGATCACCAAATTTATTAATAATAACTAAAATAATCATTTCAATAATTGAAATGATAATCAGATTTATTATTTTATATGGTGGGATAGATTATTTAGGCCAGCTCTCCTATGGAAAATAATTTAAAATGCTAGATAAAAATATGGAAAACTTTTTCCTAAAAGCACCTAAAAGCTGGAAAGAATGTGAGAAATTTCAGACTAAAATCTAAGCGAAAGCAGAAACCCAGAGAGGTAAGAAGGGCACAAAGCTGTCTTTAACTTGAGGCATATGCTGAACCCAATAAACTTGAGCTTCATTTTTAATAGCCTCAAAGAGTAAGAAGACAGAAAGGTCAGAGCCCGGGGCCACCCACTAAGGTGGGCACACATTTTCATTCAAGCTCTCAAAGAATTCCCATTAACAACTTTCCAAGGAAAATGAGCAGCTGACCAAGCACACAAGGAGACAGGTACCATGAAGAAGAGAACCAAGAGAAACAACAGAGCTGTAACAGACCTTCAGATAATTCAGATACTGGAATTTTCAGATATAGATCATAAAACAACTATACTAATATGTTTAAAGAAATAAAAGACAAGCTTAAAAATGAATGCAGGGGATAGAAAATCATTTTGTCTTACATGATCTAGTAAACTTGGGAAAGAACCAAATGGAATGTCTAGAAACAAAAAATACAATAACTGAAATTTAAAACTCAATGGGTGAATTTAACAGTAGATTAGACAGGTAAGAATTAGTAAATCAGTTGGAACTTACCCAGAATGTAGTACCAAGAGATAAAGAAATAGAAAATAGGAAACAGGATAGATTGAAGGTGATCTAACACATGCCTAGTCAAATTCTCAGAAGGGAAGGAAAGAGAGAAGGGGAAGAGACAATATTTGAGATATAATGACCAATAATTTTCCAGAACAGATTTAAAAAATACCAATGTATTCAAAAGTCCAGTAAATTCAAGCAGGATAAATAAAAATAAATCCACATCTAGACACATCACAGTAAAACTTCAGAAAATGAAAGACAAAGCAAATTTTAAAAGCAGCCAAAGGGAAAATAAAAGATTACTTTCAAAGAAAGCAACAGTTAGACTGACAGCTGACTTCTCAAAAGCAATAATAAAAGCCAAATGTCAATGGAATGATATCTCCAAAGAGTGTTATAAGAAATAACTGCCAACCTGGAATTCTATCCCCAGTCAAAACAACTTTCAAGATTGAGGGTGAAATAAGGACATTTTCAAACAAAACACAGAGCTTGTCACCAGCATATCTTCACTAAAGAAAGTCCTCAAGGATATATTTTAAACAAAAGGAAAAGGATTTCAGGTCTGAGATGTAGGAAGGAAATTAAAAGCAAAGAATGTGGTGAGTCTGTGGCTCATGGACTGAATGCCAGTGGGTCAAAAAATATCTTAAAGATGGGGGGCCAGCCCGGTGGCATAGTGGTTGGGTTAGTGTGCTCCACTTCGGCAGCCCAGGGTTCGCAGGTTTGGATCCCAGGCATGGACCTGCACATCACTCATCAAGCCCCGGTGTGGCGGTGTCCCACATATAAAATAGAATAAGATCAGCACAGATGATAGCTCAGCAACAATCTTCCTCAAGCAAAAAGAGGAGGATTGGCAACAGATGTTAGCTCAGGGCCAATCTTCCTCACCAAAAAAATAATAATTATTATACACATATATGTATCTTAAAGATGGAATTGAGATATGTGACAACCAAATTTTTTCTTTAAATGTTTTGTTGAACTTCTGATATCCAAACCCCTACATGGATAACACCTCAAAACCTCCCACCGTGGCCTGAGGACAGCAATTACCCCAGACAGTCCTTGGGTCTAGCAAGAAGTGGCCCAAAGTGCCCAGGAAGAGAGAGAAGCTATGTAGTGCTATAGGAAGAATGTGAGGGAAGATCAGAAAGCGTCTTTACTTTAATTTTTTCCTCGTAGTGCTGCTCTTTCTGTTTCAGGTGCACCTCTAAGTGCTGGGCTGAGACCTGGGCCTCCCGGTGCTTCTCCTCCAGCTCCTGGACACAAAAGAACAGACAGTCAGGTGTGCAAAAGGAAGGTCACAGCTGGTGTACGTTAGACATTCACAGGAAACATGACTTTGGCACAGGCACCACAGGCAACAGGCATCTGTTCCTTCATTACTAGCCCTAAGGCTCTTGGGAAGGAAACAACACCAATCCTTGGCCCTGGGTTTTCCAAGTCCAAGAATTCACGCACATACACACAGCTGGTGGGCTGGGACCAGAAATCTGGCAGTGTGACAGGTCACACAAAGGCAGCTCTTCATCTCTGCACAGAGAAATAACAGTAACAAAAGCAACATTTGAAAGTTTAGTACACCACAAAGCCCCTGACCACTAGCTTGAGCCTCAGGACATTTTCACTGCTATGAGAGCCTTAAATGAGAAAAGGAATTTTATTTTAAAGTTAATTTATGATGATGATAAAAAATATTTTGTATTTTCCTCATTAACAAAATGATTGCTCAAGAACCCTAGCTAAGAAGGAAAACTAATGTTACAATTCAAACACTTTGAGTTTTGAATGATTATTTTAACTGACTGGTATGTGGAAGATGGGAACATCTGGAGATGTGCATGATATGTTTATAGGATGCAACGTTAATGGAAACAAAGCATAACATAAAATACACTGATAATAATGATGCAAATATGCATATATATTAAAGATGGGAAGAGAATGTGGAGTAATATAAATGGCACAAATTTAACGTTCTCTTCTTTCTTGTATTAATATTTCTGCTTTTAAACAAAATTGTAATTCATTTGGAAATTATACTAATTCATTTGCCAAATGTATTATAAACTCATCTTACAAAAGGCAGCACTCAACACACTGAAACGTTCTCTAAATGCAGATTTCTGCATCTACATTAATTCTTAGGAATCTGGACGCATTTGTTAATTACTAATATCAAAAGTTATTACTCCAAGTTTTCATCTCTTCACGTTATTATGAAATTTTTCTCTGAAGTGGAAGTAATTATGAGAATTTTGAAGAATGAGGAAATTATACAGGATATGTCCACAAAATGGAAAAAAAATACTTTCAGATTCACATGCACATAAAATGTTACTGATTAAGCTTTTAAAATTCTAAAGTCTACAAGCATTGACTGTGCTTTGGGGGCCAGTAAAGCGTTCAATTTTAAGACCAGGTGCACAAGATCTATTACAGGCTAACAGATGTGATCTTGAAAAGTTGATATAAACAGGATTTTACTTAATAAAAACATACTTTCAGGGCTGTATGTGCACTAAAGGATCCCCTGCAATGACTTCCTTTATTAAAGCAAAAGACTTTGCTATAATGAGAACCCCAATTATCTGTTTTGAAAGGTCTTGTCAGAAGAGCAAATATTTTAAAGCAAATGACATTATAAGATCTGTCTCCAAGCTTCATCATTTTATAACAGTATTAAGGACCACCCTTAGCCCATGTCCTAGATACTTTGCAGCCTAAGCACAGGGTTCTTGAGCAAAAGGCACCTTCCGATAAATGAAGTCACAACCACAAAGGTACTCAGGCAGGTGGCAAGATACACTTGACAAGAAATCACTTGATAATCATCTTTTCTTAGTTTCATTCCTCATAAGACAGCACAGGAATGGAAATCAGAATCTAAAAACAGGTCGAAAACCCAGACCCTGAGACTGATGACTTCAAGACCAAATTTCTGGTCTATATATAAATGGGAGTTTACAGCATATACTCCAAGAACGGAGAACTCTGTACTCCCACATTTTAACTGCAAGTGAACCTTTGGAAAGGCAGAGACTCTAAAATCTGACTTGTTGGCCGTTTGGCATTTTTTGTTGTTGTTGTCATTTTTTTCAATGTTATCTTTTCTACATGTATTCAATCAAACTCTTCAGTCCTGGTATGCAAACACTGCTGTTTGCTGCTACGTTTCCAGCTCCTAGAACAGTGCCTGGCACATAGTAGAAGCTCATTAAATATTTGTTGAATGAATGAATGAACACATCACCATTAAACAGAGAAACACTTTGCAACCACAAAAGACTTAACCACTTTGTTCGCACCAAGCAAGGGAGAACGGTGGTGGGATCTCGGTAGGATCTAATTTTACTCACGTAAAATTCACACACTTGACAATCGCCAAGAAGAACTCTGATGACAGAACAAGAGAACAGAAAGGGTAGACTAACAGTCACATTTGCCTTTGTGTGCAGACGTAAATATGAAGACCGTGTGTCAAAGTAAAGCAATTTAACCAATTTCTCTTTCACCTATTTGCTCAAGAGCATCTACATACTCATGAAAATATATATATACACAAACATAGAAATGTAAAGTTTTCAAGGGTTTGTTGTTGCTATTAAGTATAGGCCTACAAGTTGGCCATTCTTGAGTTCCTACAGTTGCTGGTGACTCATTTCCCAGAAGTGATGCAGAGAGAGCGAAAGAGATGAAGCGACCTGCTCACCACCTCGCCTCCTTATGGTGGAGAGGAGCAGCTGACTACTCCAGAGTCTCTCCTGGGGGCGGGGGAAGAGGAGGCTATGAACAGACTCCAAGTTATCACTAAGTCTCCCAAACGTTGCGTCAAATTCCTGGCTTTGGGACTGAGATGCGAGGAGAGTCCTTCAAAGCTTCACCTGCCTTCCCCTTTGGCAGGGGCAGACCTTCGACACATCTAAAAGTACCACCCGAGCCTTCCTTGATCAAGCTAATTTGGTCCTCAGAGCCAAAAACAGAATCATGACAATTACATACCTAAAAAAAGACCTGCTATATCTAAGGAAACTGAAAAAACAATAATAATAATAACCAACCGGAGCAGAGAGAGTGAGTGGGTGAACATGGATCTTGAACAAATACTACTCTGAGAAAAACAATTCTGCATGACTAATTTCTTTCTTCTCCAAAAGCAAGAATCTGGGTTTTGGTCTTAGTGCTAAATGCCTACAGTGTCTTAAATTGGCATTGAAAGTCAACGGCCATACAAAACTCTGCTGATGGAAGTAAGTAAATGCTCCTGTAGGAATGTATCGGAAATGACGGAATATGTACGTTCATATTAACAAACGTCAGGCAGTATAGCAAATAGAGAAAAAAATAATATTTATGGACCTGTTACCAGTGCTGAAATGTCCAACATTTGGTTTTTCACACTAGTCTGTGATGTGGAGTACACTGAAACCACTTCTCTTAAATTCACCTACGCAGCAATACCGCCCCTGTGATGGTGTTTAATTCTCTCTTTTACCCCCTTCCCTCTGTAACCTCTAACCTGTTATCTTTTAACTTTTCAACTTTTGTTCCTGCTCACCAGAATTTTATCAGCCATCTGCTGGATCTGTTGGGATTTTGTCTGGATGTCATCCTTCAGTCTGTTTTCTCTACGCTCCATGGTCTCTAGCCTCTTTACCTTGTTCTCCAGAGAATGGCGGCGTTCCTGTAGATCGTGAATCAATCAGAGAGTTTTAATGGAGTAACTGCTATGGGCATAACGCCTGCACCGAGGGAGAGAGCCTTCAAGAAGCATACACTCGAGGCAGGAAGAGAAGTCTCAGGCACCCCGAAGCAACAGCGAAGAAAAGAAGACGCTATAATTCAATTACTCGGTTGTGGAGGTTACAAGAGTGCATTCATTCATTCAAATATTTACCAAGCACCTACTATCTGCAAAGTACCACACTAGGCATCACGGAAAATACAGAGAGGAAGCCAACATGATTCCTGCCCTTGGAAAAGATAAGACAAACACAAAGAAATATTATATAAGTTAAGAAGGGAAAGAGCCAGAAAGCAAGTAAATAAGCACAGAGTGCTGTGGGGGGTTGCAGGCAGGCAAGGGGACTTTTAACAGAACAGGTGAGGAGGGGAGTCACAGAGATGTGAGGCGTGGAGAGGGGTTGGATATGGTGCGCTGGAGTGCAGAGGGCAGGAGAGGAGGGTGGAAGGCCTTTCAGACAGGGGCAGCTGCATTGGCAGAAACACAGAGGTGGTCATGAGCCAGTTTAGGCCCCAGGTGGAGGGGCTGCAGCATAAGATAGGTTACGGGAAGGGGCAGGAGAAAAGGTGAAAGGGGAGCATTAGTGCATCAAATGGTTCAGAGTTTAGGTACCAGGCTCAGGGGTACACCTAACATGCATGGAAGCTCTGATAGGTTTGGGAAGGGGCAGGGGTGCTGACGAGCCTTGTGTTTGAGGTCCAGGGGTCTTATAGTAGATGAGTTAGCTGGGAGAAAGGAGACAGGAAGGAGAAGGTCAAAAAATTACTACATTTGCTCAGTTGAGAGGAAAAGGGCCTGGACCATGGAGGCCTACAAACATGGCAGGCAGGGAATGAATGGGCGAGACAGCGCGGCCGTATGTGTAGGACTGAGTAATTCACTGAGTGGCAGGGTCCAAGGAGAAGCAGATGACGTCAAGGTTTCAAGCCTGGGGTGACCAGGTGAATGACGGCAGCCCTGAGGAGCATGAGGAAGTTGAGAAGGGAAGACACTGAGGTCATTCTAGATTTGACGCACTGTTCAGATGACCAGTTGAGATGCCAGGGGAGCAGTGGGAAATACTGCCTGGAATGCGGGTGAGGATGGCCCCAAAGAGACATGTGCAAGTAGGTTCATGCCAGCACTGTGATACGGAGAGCAGAAGGCCCAGCGACAGGGGATGGTTCAACCAGCTATGGCTTTCTATGGAACAATCACCCGGGTGCTGGGGGAGGCGGAGAGGAGTGAGGGGAAGTGTCCCTTTTTGTTCTATTTCCTCCAGTACTGTTTAAGTTTTTGACAATGAGAAGACACTCATGTATATCCTGTATATTATATAAAAGATTTCAACAACAACAACAACAAAGAATTTGAGGGAGAGAAGAGGCCCAAAAGTATAAATCTGGGAGTCATCAACACACAGGTAATAGCTGAAGCCTTGAAAATTAATATGTTATCAACACTGTGGGGAAAAGGCAAAGAAAAACAAGGGTACAGAGGGAAGAAAAAGAAAAACTCAGGGATGGCATCACAGCTCATCTATATAAACATAAATCCTCCCAGATTAGTGAGCAGGTCAGAGGAAAACAAACAGAAAGGAAAGCTTTTATCAAAACATCTTTCTACTGGAAGCTGCTGTGACAAATCCTTCTCCCCTTTGGGGAAAACATTTCCAAGCTTCTCAAGTTTCAAAGGGATTTGCAGAAGGGAAAGCGGTTTGGTCAAACATAAGCAAGGGCTGGTTTTGCTGGTTCTTTCCCGTGGTACAAAGGTGGGTCACAGTGGCTCACATGCCGCCACGCCAGGACCCCAGGTCAGTCCCACAGGCTGGAGGTCCCCTGCTCACCTCGGCTTCAACCAGCTTCTTTTTTATGCCTTCAGATGAATCCTCGCGGTTCTGCAGCTTCTCCAGCTCACGCTCGGCTCGCTCCTTCGCCTGGCGGATGTTCTGCAGCAGCTCGGTGGCCTCAGTGCTGGCTTTGACAGCCTACCAGGAAAGAAGGAACAGGACAGACGGCCAAATTTATTCATGTAAAAAGACGGTGGCAATATAGCCATTTTTCAAAACATATAAACATTCATTTTATTCTGTATTTTGTCTAAGGTACACTTATATATATATACATATTTTAACATCACTGAATTTGGAATGCATCCTATGATTAAAATCGACAGTATTTTTTCTATCATGGGGTACATAAGATAATGGTGTATCTGACAATCATTAGTATCTTAGACCCAAGGCAACATAGTAAATGCAAACAAAAAGGTCTGGAAGGATTCATCTACCCAGGTATTAATGTATTTACCTTGGAGCATTCATTTCCTCCTTATTTAATGATCTCGTTTGCTAATTTTCCTATGGGGAATTTGAAGTACTTTTATAAGAAAACAAGATAAAAACTATAAACTTTTTTTCAAATAAGTGCCTTTCAAAGGGCTCAACCCCTACAGTGTTCACGGTAGTTTACAAGGTCTATGTTTAAAAACAAAAAGCTAAATCTTTTGAAGTTAATTTTTATTTAGGTCTTAACTATAATGCAGCTCTTATAGCATCATAGTAAACATCTAAGTTTAAAAGACTAACAACTTCACACTTACTTGCTTTAAAATATAATTTTAAAAAGTGGAAACTGCAAGAACACTCCAACTTCAAGACCAGCACTAACATGGAGCCGCTAGCCACACGTGGCCCTTTAGTGCTTGAAACGTGGTTGATGTGACTGGGAAATTCATTTCTAATTTTATTTAAGTTTAATTCATTTAAAACCTGAAGCAATGTAAATGTCATATTGATACACGCTGTAATGATATTTTGGATATCTTGGATTAAATATATCATTCAAATAATTTCACCTGTTTCTTTCTGCTTATCTTAAGGAGACTACTAGAAAATTTAAAATTATATCTGTGGCTGACATGTGTGGCTTGCATCACACTCTATTGGAGAGCACGGTCCTAAATGGAAACATGAATCCTCACACAAAATTCAAGCTGAAAGAGGGCAGTAGAGGCTTTCATTAGTGAGTGGAAGAATTAGGTAAGAAGGGGACAGATGAATGGGTAAAGAAAATGTGGTATATCCATACAATGGAATATTATGCAGCTTTAAAAAAGAAGGAAATCATTTCACATGCTGCGACACAGATGAACCTCAAGGACATTATGCTAAGTGAAATAAACCAGTCACAAAAGGACAAATACTATACGATTCTACTCATATGAAGTAGAGTCACGCATTGCTTAACATCAGGAATACGTCCTGAGAAATGCATCATTAGGTGATTTTGTCGTTGTACAAACATCATAGAGGGTACTTACACAAATCTAGATGGTCTAGCCTACTACACACCTAGGCTATGTGGTACTAATCTTACGGGACCACCATCATATATGCGGTCCGCCATTGACTGAAATGTCATTAAGCATCACATGACTGTATTGAAGTAGTCCAAATCATAGAAACAGAAAATAGAAAGGTGGTTACCAAGGGCTGGGGGGAGGAGGGAAAAGAAATTAGTGCTTAGTAGGTACACAGTACCAGTTTTGCAAGATGAAAAAGTTCTAGAGATCCCTAGCACAACAAAATGAATATACTTAACACAACTGAATTGTACACTTAAAATGGTTAAGATGGTAAATTTAATGTTATGTGTTTTTTATCACAATAACAAAAAAAAACCACAATAAGTAAGAAGGGGCTCTATTAAACTAACCCAGTAAACACATTCAAACATTCCTGACGTGAAAAGCATGTCTCAGAACCACGCTCATTCCGGCCTTCCATTAGCATTTCCAGCATTCAACTAAAGGGAGAGTCATCTGCACAAACTTCGCAAGATGCTGTAAACCAAACCCGCCCCGCTCCCAACCACCAGATGACTCCACGGCTCCTCCAGCCTTCCAACGCGCACGAATGCTGCCCACAGAGTTTCTGATTGAAAGCAGTCTGGGTCATGAACAACACATGCTTCTCTTACAAATGTGCGAAGTGGGGAGCCTGGCCCCGTGAAGGGAGAGAAGCCGGCCTCTTGGGTTCTGTGATAGTATAATTAGAACTTTTACTTGAGAGTCTCACACAGCTTGGCTTTTAAAAATAAACACTGCTGACACCTCTCAAAAGGAAAAAGTATATTCAGAACTCTGATATTTTCAGGTAATGGCTCTCTCCCCCTTCATCTTCCTTGGCGCTGGGGAACTAATTCTATTTCTTTCATCTTTCACACTCTGGGACAAGAAAAAGAAAAGTATTTAAAAATGGGGGGTAAGCTCCCCAGAAAATCACTTTGGGCTTACCTTTTCCAGCTTCTCTTGGAGCTCCTGAATTTTAAGCTGCTGCTCAGCATTGATCTAAAATTAAAATCCCAGGAAATAAAGCAAAAGGCAAATCGGCATTAAGGTCTTGCGACATTTACTGCAGTCCTATTTTCTTGAGGTTTCTGTGGGGTCTTTTTGTTTTGTTTTCCAGTACCTACTAACGGACAGGAAGAACAATGGCCTATCAGAGAAGTCTTTGAATGTCCCAGTGTAAACCTCCACGTTGACTATTTCTCTAGAACCAGCAACATACAAACGGCAAAAAGAGAATCAAAGTCGCCCAGTGTCTTAAAACTATAAGAATTTTTACATATGTTTTACTCAGAGTCTGGGTTTATTTGTTACTGTGAGCAGGCATGACAGAAAGAGGTGTCTTTTATCTTTGTTAGAACCCTGGCTGAAGCTAAACGAGAAACAAAACAAACCTGGAAGAAAGTTCTCTATTCAGTGCAAGAGTATTCTGAACCAATGACTGGCCACTGATAGTAACATTTAAAAGATTATCTACCAAAAGTAGCAATACCAATAATGGAAAATACCTTCTCCAGTTTGGAATATTCTCCCACTTCAGGCTTCCCTTGATCCTTAGCCTGTAATTTAAAAGATACAACATAATGGGAAATCTCAAGAACCTAAAAGTCTTATAGACAACACTACCTGCTGTAGTTTCCTGGTCTCTGTGGCCGAGATGATGATGATGACAAGTTATGTTCTATAAAGACCAGGAGCTTTTCAGCGTACCCTATTATTTCTCAAATGTATACTCATTAGGCTAGTATTCCCTTAAATCTTGCTGAGATATTCCGTGATTCTACCCCCAAAAACACTCTCCTGGCAGGTGGCTGGCTACCTTCATCAGTTTATGCTGACATTCTGTCGCTTTCCGCTTGAACTCTTCGGCGGCAAGCCGAGACTCTCTCAGCTCAGATTCATAGAGATCACTCCGTCTTCTTGCCGAAACAAGATCCTCTTCCAACTGATTCATCATCAACCTCATTTCTTCCACTTGAGCCTGGTACTCCTAAAGAGCAGGCAACGGAAGAAAGGTGAACTTTAGAACTCCTAAAAGAAAGGACAGGCAGTGAAGATGGAAGAACATCAACCAGAGGGAAGAAGCACAGTGAAGAGAGATCAGCGGAGAACAGACCTAGAGAGATGATGAGTAGAAACAGGGGCAAAAGGGACAGGTGTGGGGAGGATGAAGAGAGAGAAAAGAATATTAAATCTTTAAACTGTTTTAATGGAGATCATGTATCATTACAACACCTCTTGGAACACATGTGCCTATGCAGAATAAGATCCTTTGAGCAAATAACACTGCACAAAAAGCTCAGAACCTTAAGGCATTTGTAATACAGGAGAGCTCAAAGGGATATTCCTCAAACAACTAGGATAAACTGCTTATGTGTAGCTTCCTTCCAAGGGTAATCATTTATATGGATTTGTCCTTTAGAAGTCATGTGCTCCTAACACAATTAGATATGGTACTAGTTTTAAAATTAACCTTCCAGACGGCACAAGGGGGTAATTGGATATCTCGGTGGAAAGAATCTTGGAAGGTGAAACTCATCATGTCAGTTTCTCACCATTAACTTTTCTGGGCCCAAAACTGAATGGTGAACTTAACATTGCTCTTGAAATGCAAGTCACGCTGAAATTTTCAAGAGTCAGAAAACACTGGCTCCGGTCAAAATATCTCGTGAGAAAAACTCCCAAGAAAGTATTATCTTGTTGCCACAAGCAAACCCATTAAAGTGATCGAAACTGCCCAACCTTTTCCAAAATGAATTTCTGAAATCAAAACAGAGGATTCGAATCAAAGCGTTTCATGGATTTACAAGAAGAAATGGGCGATGATTTTGAAAACTTTGGGGCAGAGTATGAAAATATTCTCTTAGCAAAATCAAAACTTATACATACAAGGATTATGAATGAGCGTTTATCCAACCCAAAGTGTCTTCGGGGGTGGGAGGAGATATAAAACGAAAAGGACGAGGAATTGAATCAAGACTGTCTTTGACATTCACAACCTACAGTGAACATCTCTAAGATCCGTTCTTCCAAGAAATAATTGATGAGGTATCAGTTGAGAAAGGATATGTTTTTAACCAATGAAATGTCATTGATTTTTGTTTTATTAACAGGGTATAAAGTAAACCTTTCACCTCATTGTAGCAGGCAATCCCCTCAACGCACACTAAAGAGGAGGTGATGTTTTCATGAAAATTGGAAAGTTTTCATGCAAGCACACCTTCTCTATATATCATTGATAGAAGGGAAAAATGAGCCCAGAGTGGAACACGGTCTCATTTCACTCCCTCCCCTCAAAGGCACACTATTACTGAAGGTCAATCCCAGAACTCATGGGCACCAGGTTTGCTGGGTGGTGCATACTAAGTGGGTGACCCTGGGTTATATAGCCAAAGGTCTTTATGACCTGCTCACAATTATCTGAACTCACAGAGTGGAACATGAGCTGATTATGTGAAACAGTACATCCTTTACTTGAGGTTTTGCTAGACCCCTGGGCCAGGGTCACCTTACGACTTTCGTGACTCTGGGCACTATGCCCACCTGGACCCCTTCCTTCATTAAAAAAAAAAAGAAAGAAAGAAATATTAAAAATTATATTTTACAACTGCATTCACATAATATTATCTACGAAAACAATTTCTTTGACCTAAATCTCAATTTTTTCTTCCAATTAAAAAAAAAATTGAAACATTTTATGGGCCCCTCAAAGTACCATCGGCCCTGCCCACAAGCACAAACACCAAAATGAAGAGGAAGCAAAGATCCGGGAGAAAATCTCAGGCATCTTTTATCCTCAAGCTCCCTTTTCTGTCTTACGTCAGCGAGAAGAGAAGGTAATTTTTGTGTTTTGTCAAGAAGGAGGACAGAGCACTGTTCCTTCCCCACCAACATCTCTCTTTCCTGAGCTGTCAGCACCCAGGGGGAGGAAGGCAAGAATCAGGCAACATCTCTGTCAGCTCTCTGAGCTCTGGGGGCACCCAGCCTGCTACAGCATCAAAAGTTGAGCCGCTGTTATTATGCTGAATACTTCAAGGAAATCCTATAAATCCAACAGCTAACCAAATCTCTGCTTCAGGAAAAATCTGAGAGAAGATAATCAGGCCTGTTTCCACGGACAGCTGAGAGAGCTGTCGCATCTCAGCATGGACGGAGCTGAAGGTCGGAGCTGAGCGGGATCAGAACATGGACAACTTTTGAGGCCCGCCTCAAGTAGGTCCTCCGAATGGAGCTTCCGAATTTAGTGGGAAAGAAGTTTCAGACATGGTTCTATTCAATCAGAAATCCCAAAACACAAATGCCTCCTGTGTCACCGGAACTCCTGTTTCCTCTCCTGATGAGGGGGCAAGGGGAATCAACACCTCCAGCAATGGTGTATGAATCCATCATGTGAGTCTCTCAGGTGTTTTTATGTTAAACCAAATCCAAATGCTGAATAGAGGCTAGCAAAGCAGAAACAGAATATTAAAAAATAATAAATAAGTAGCTGTACAGAAATTAGCTTTTGAGAGAAAGAATGGGGAATAAATGCCGAATCGGGGAGGAATCAACATGCTGCAAACCAAGTACTGGGAGTTTGCTGAAAGTATTAAATGCTTCTTCCTGTATTGCAAACATCCTGCTCACACAAACTTACCAAAAGTCATTTTAACAAATCTTTCTTCCAATGAGAAATAAAATCTGAAGTTTTCCTCCCCCCCATGGAACTTTCAGCAAGATTAAATCTAAAACTCCACAGGCATGCCAACTGCGATATGAATCATAAAAGCCATTTCTTTGAACTCAACCACCAGCATATACCTTTTCAAAATGTCCCAATAATTCTGTTTCTATGGAATTCGCGGACACCAGCTGCTCCCTCTGGTGGTCAAGCACAGCTTTCATTTCCCCAGGATGTCACCAAATGTCAATTTCCAAACACATTGAACTAATGGGAGAAAAAGACTCCCAACCTCTTGAAACTTTTGGGATGAAAAACTATGTTGATAAAAGAGAAATGAGTCAACCGTCAAAGCAGATTTTTCAGACTGGGTGTGTGGCCTTCACAATCTCTAAGATTAGTATTGTTGTTCAGAAACCTAATAGCCAGATTGCAACATTTCCTATGCACGTTTATTTATAACATTTGTAGCAAGGAAGAGGATATTAACCAATCATTTTAAATATGATGGTGATAAATAGATTGTGCCAACAAAACCCCCAAAATAATTCTTTCTTTAAAGAATAGTTAACAGATCAAATTATTTGCAGGAGTTTGCTTTCCTTAGCACCACCCAGATGGCTAAGTTTGTGCTACTCAGAGACAAAAATGTCCATTTTCATCACTGTTTCCATTAGATTTTCTGAAGTGAATGAGAGTTGCCTGGCAGCTGATAATTCAGCTCTCCAATTGCTCATTGCCATCTCTTCATTAAAGTTTCTATTTACAGTTTCTTCAAAGGACAGAAAAATCCATGCCAAAAAGGAAACAATGAAGTGAAATAAAAATGAACCATCTAGAAAGAAAACCCTTTTAGAAAGGGGAAAAAAAAAAAGAGTATGCTTTTTAAAGATCTCGATTCTTTTAATTAACACACAGGGATGGCTTTCTGCACTCAGATTTGCTGCGTCAATTCTGACTTGGCCTTAACTGCTCAAACTCTTCTAGAATATTTCTTTATATAAGTAAAACTATGAATTAACCTGGTTTCTCTCAAAAACTTAAAGTACATGTGAAAAGCTATAAAAATATTTGACTTTTTTTCTAATGGTCTAAAGCAGAGGCTGGGAAACTTTTTCTGCAAAAGGCTAGATAGTAACCAATGTCAGCTGTGCAGGCCACATGGTCTTTGTCACAACTACTCACCTCCACCATTACAGCGTGATAAGTAGCCACAGACAATATGTAAATGAAGGAACGTGGCTGTAATAAAACTTTATTTATGGACACTGAAATGTGAATTCCATATAATTTTTACGTGTCATGAAATATTTTTCTTCTTTTATTTTTTTCCCCAACCATTTAAAAATGCAAAACCATTCTTAGCACGTGGCCACGGAAAACAGGTGGTAGGCAAGATTCACGCCAGAGACCGCAGTTTGGCCTCGCTTTAAACCTACAGCTTTAATCGAAAAGAGTAGCCATCTGGGGGCGCAGACTTCAAAAAGGGGCCAAAAGAAGCACTCTACTGTATATAAAAATCATGAGGAATCTAAAGTTTCCAAATGACCTACATACCTCTCTCCCCACCTCCCTTCCTTTCCCTCTCTCTGTGTCTCAAACACGCCTCTCCTGAAATTAGAGGTCCGGCTTGCCTCCGTGCTCCCGGGCAGGCTGTCATACCTGCTCTTTGATTTCTTGGAGCTTCCGGCTCTGCTCTCTGATATCATGGAGAAGCTGCAGTGCTTTGTCATCCTCCTGGGACACCTCCATCCGTGCTTGCTCCAAACTTCGCTTTAAGCTCTGCAGAAAGCAAAAATTTTAATAGGGATGCCCTGTGGATCCTGCTCTGTTTGAAAAGATTCATTAAGGGAACGGCAAGCTGCTTCGTAGACACCAAGACGGTTTCGGGTGATGGACCAAAGTAGCCAACCTCCAGCTGGTTGCGGATTCCAGTTTCCATCCTGTAAAACCCCCGGGTTCAAGAAACATCATCTCAACCTTGTGACCTTACGGATCCAGCCTGAAACTGCATCAGCCTGTCTCCTACCACCATCTACCTGTCCTAGGAGATACTTACTTGCATATTCAGGACTAAACACGAGTTAAGATCCCTTAGCCATCAAACCATCATTGGGATGGCTGCAAAGTCTTTTCTGGAATACCAGTTATTCGAGGACTCTCAAGTATATATCCCTCTTTCAAAGTAGCAATGACTTCATTCTCTGCCCAGGTGTCATTTAAGACTCTGAGCAGTCTACTTCCATCTCCTGGCTTACGTTTCCTGGACACCTTGCATCCATAAGGTTCCCTCAATGCTTCAGTGGCATTGAAATATATATCTGAAATTCATAGCTGAATAGCTTCACCCACCACTGAAAGGCAGCCAAATCTGGAATGGAAACATAGCAGTTATTCTTAATCAGCCACGTTCTATAGATTTCCTCTCCCTTGTGAAAAAAACTTGAAAAATGTGTGATTCAACTTCTCAAGACTGTTTAATTGAGCACATTAAAAACACCTGAATGAAAATTTTAACGAGACAATGGAGAAGACAGTCTACTCTTGTGAAGGAAGGAAAAAAAAAAAGTCACATGGTAAATAATGACAGAGGGTCTGGGTTTTAAAGGCTGAGTTTGCTTGTCCCTACGCTGGTTCTAGGCAATGGAAAACCGATTTCGGGCAGATTCAAAATACATTTTCTTGATTCTCAAGGCTGATCGTGTTGGACACGATGTAGACCAGAGAGGCTGGGATGGAGGATATTAGGACCCTTTGAGACTCACTGCAATGATGACTACGCCCGTCTCCAGGCTCTGCGGCCTACCTGGGCTTTCTAGAGGTCAATCTTATTTCTCTGGGACCTCGCGCCTGGCTCATGCTACTCTGCAAATCACAGATGTTGCTTTTCTACTCTCCCTCTCTCTCCTCTCTGCCATTGGCTGTGATGTGCCTCATGAAGCCGTCATGAAACAGGATGAGACACACACAACAGGAAGTGCCACCTCCACGGGAAGGGGACTTTGGGGAAGGCTCACACTGCATTCTGTGATGTAGGTAGCAAGGTCCTGCTCCAGGAGGGATCTCTGAGTCTCAGAGGCCTTCAGTTCCACCTCCTTCTGACTAAGCACAGCCTCCACCTCTGACACTCTCCGATGTAACCGGGTCATTTCCTGCTCCATCTGAAATAAACACATCGACACGTTAAAAAGGCCCGTGGAGGTCCGTTAGGAGCAATCAAATCTCAAGTAGCCTCCGAAACCACCTAGTGGTCTAGGTGGCGCTAACTCGCCAAAGGTTGGGATGCAAATACCATTGTTTCTTCGCCCAGGAGCACACAGTTCTTCGTAAGGAGAGTCACCAACGCTAAGTCACTCCTCTCATTCAAGTCTCGGTTCACACTTGATCACTTCTCTAACCCAGTGAGCAAGGAAGCCACAATCATCATTTTTCACCTGTTTGCTTTTTTGGTTTGGTTTGGTTTTTGCAGACGTCACTTTAATTTTATCCCAAATCCATCTTGATCCCCCCCATCTCCTGGCAAAGATCTAGAGGACAAATCCAGGACGGGGCAAGGAGATAAGTATTCGTCTGCACTCTTAGGAGTCCCAGGCAAGTAGTGACTTTTACGAGCTTCCAGAGAGCTGCCCCTGGGCAGGAACAGTGAGTGTTAAGAGACGTTGAGCATAATCAACACAGTGGCCGCAGTTACATAAGCAGGAGTTTTAAAAGACTAGGAAGAGAGACTTCGCATCACTCAAAGCAGATGGGCTGCATCTGGGCCACAGGTGAGGACCCACGCCACCTGCCGGAAGAAGCAGACATCTGGCTGGGTCATGCTGAGGAACAGGCCGTTTTAAATCCAGGGCCTCCTCTCGTTAAGATTTAAAGGATTTACGGCAGCGTCAAGGCCCGAATTCATCTCCCTCTGAGCTGCCGGAGGCTTGACTTCAGCGAGGGAGGGAGCGCCTCGCTCACTCTGTATGGATCAGGTGGCTCAGCGCCAGCAGCAGCCCCAGGCGGATCCCTTGGCATATATTGACGGGAGGATCCTGGAGCAAGGAGGGAGGCCGGCTTTGGAAATAAATACCTTGTGACACTTGTCCTGGGAGTCTTGCAGCTCTTTGCTTTTGATGAGAAGTTTCTTTTCCATGGAGCTAGTCTTGGCAGGGGAGTCCAGACTTGACACAACAGACCTGGACAGAAGAAAATTAGCGTCAAGGTGGCCAGGAGGTGGGCCTGAAAAGCTGCATTCAGAAGCTGTGGGAGAGACGAGGGACCTGCCAGAGTTCTGTGGCCGTCCACAGAGCTGGCTCAAACAGCTTCTAATGACATCGAGGCCGTGAGGCAGCACAGTGGACAGAAGCAAGAACCCGGGAAACAAGCCGACCGGGTTGTAAATTCAGTCACCTTTGACCTGAGGCAACGATTCAGCCTCTCTGAGCCTCGCTTTCCATATCTATGAGGTGGAATGATAAAAGGACCTACCAGGCAGGAACCTGTAAGCATTAATGCACAGCACTGTGCCTGCATGGCTTCATTCACTAACTCACTCTACAGATAGGTACCGTGCACCCACTCTGTTCCAGAAACTGTTCCAGGCACTGGAACAGCAGTGAACAAGACAGACAAGGTCCCTGCCCTCCTAGAGCTGACATTCGGAGAGGGCAGACAGAAGGCATCAGGCAGACACACAAATAAAAAGGTTACAGATGATGGTAGCCTCTATCAAAAGAAGGAAACAGGGCGACAGGATATGAAGAAATGGATCAGGGGCCTGCTTTAAGCAAGGGTGATCAGAGAGGGCTTCTCTGAGGGGGTGGTATGTGAACTGAGGCCTGAAGGATAAGAAGGTGCTGCCCATCCAAAGCTGTGGAAGGAAACAAGCTCCAGAGAGGGGGCATAAGAGATGCAAAAGCCCTGAGGCAGGTTAAAGCTAACACAGCAAGTGCCCAATCAATGTTATTAGTTCCTATACCCATGAAATTATTATTTATTCCATCCCTAAGCTAGCCAGGCTGGTTCTGTTACATTTTATAAAAACAGCTAAGGCTAAAGACCCACCCCCAAGATGTCCACAGAGGAGGAGGGGAGATGTGATGACAGAGGTAGGGTCAGGGTCAGAGAGAGACTTGAAGATGCTACACTGCTGGCTTTGAAGGTGAAGGGGCCATGAGCCAAGGAATTCGGGTGGCCTCTAGAAGCTGGACAAGCAAGGAAACCGATGCTGTCCTAGAGGCTCCACAGGGTGCCACCTTGTCTACACAGTGGAACCATCTCAGACTTCTGACCTCCAGGACTCTAAGACACTAAATTTGTGTCGTTTTAAGCCACTAAATTGGTGGTAATTTGTTATAACAGCAATGGGAAACTCATACGTTTATTGAGCACTGACTACATGCTTGGTTCTGTTCTAACACTAGACAAGTTTTAACTCTTTATTCCCCACAGCAACTCTATGAGGCAGATTCGATTTATTATCCTCATTTTTTTTTTTGAGGAAGATCAGCCCTGAGCTAACATCTGCTGCCAATCCTCCTGTTTTTGTTGAGGAAGACTGGCCCTGAGCTAACATGCGTGCCCATCTTCCTCTACTTTCTCTGTGGGATGCCTACCACAGCATGGCTTGACAAGCGGTGCCATGTCCACACCCGCAATCCGAACCAGTGAACCCCAGGCCACCGAAGCAGAACGTGGGCACTTAACCGCTGCACCACTGGGTTGGCCCCAATTATCCTCATTTTATAGTTGAAGAAATTGAAGGAAGTAACCTGCCAGTTAATAAATGGTTTCTGTTGGTCTCAAGAGAGAGCTGGGGTAGAGAGGCTGATGTGATGCACCTGATATAACTCAGGAAAATATCACAAAACTACCATAGTGTGGCCTCCTGAGAGTGGGCTAGAAGGATGCTCTCCCCACAAAAAGGACCTATTACCCACACATGTGTATATAACCCACACCCTCTGCCACACCCCTAGAAGCAGTTAATTATGGGTGGAGACGACAGTCCTCATCCAGGGCAGCTTCCCTCAGTGACTGGCACCCTGAGCACGAACACTGGGATCAGGGAAGGGCAGGGCTGGAGCCACAGCCTGCAAAGGTTCTTACACACAGAGGGGCATGTGGCAGAGCCCACCACTGCCCCACAGCCCCATCTTTGTTGCCTTGGTAACGGAGCTGCAGGAGCTGGTTGCCAATTAGCATTCAAGTCCTACCAGCAGGTGAAAGTTGTGCTTTCGGCTGCCCCAAACGACTTCCCTGCCTAAAAGAGGCCAGTTTCCTGCAGCATCTCTGAACACCTTCTTCCCCACGGCTCTTGGCCCAGGGACGGGGGCTGGTGTGATAGTGCTGGCTTGCCAGACCCAGGTGACAGCTCCCTACATACACATTATCGGGCAGCCAAGTGAGTTGACATCCAGAGTCAGACTGCTCCACTCAAAATCTGACTCTGCCACTCACTAGCTGTGTGACTCCTGAGTCTCAGTTTCCTCATCTGTAAAATGGGGATAATTCTCAACCTACTTCAAAGAGCTTTTGCAAGGATTAAATGAGATAACCCGTGTAAAGCCCTCAGCACAGTGTCTGGCACATCACAAGGATTCAACAAACGTCAACTATTACTATTATCATCGTCGTTTGTATCATCAGTACCCATGCAACGGCGTCAATAGCAATGCCTTGCAGGCCTAAAACAGTTGCTTGAAATAGGAAAACTCAGGGGGCTGAATTTGCTCTGTGCTATTATTCACATTACAACAAATGTTGATTATTCATAGAAATGGGCAACAGGGATTGAAATCCAGAAATAAATCTTTTTTAAAATCTCACTTTGGGCTAAAAATTTTAACCAATTTCTACACTTCTCACTGCCTGTTTTCTACCTAAATCTAGACAAAACACACACATACACACACTTTTTTCTTCTTTTTAATCTGAGATGAAATGGGTGGCTCAGCACAGCCTTGGGCTGCCCCACCTATTTCCTCCATTCTTAACTCCACTCTTGTGGGTGGGCTAGAGAAGATGGCCCAAACCACTCAAGGAGGGAGGGACAATCCACAGATGGGGTCCTTGGTCCTTCAGTAATCAAGAGTCACTCATATGTCATTAAGTCACAGGCACTGACATGAGTCAGGGGTGACAAAAGAGGCCACAGCTCTTTGTGCCCAAGCACAAAGCCAGCACCCTTTTAAAAAACCATTACTGGGGTGCATGATGATGGTGGGAAGTGGCTCCCCAAACCTGATGACACAGGGAGAACAGGCTCCAGCAGTGTTTAATGTTTAAAGTCTGCTGCTATGGATACAAAACTGATCCCTTATTCATTAAAAAAAAAAAAGCTTTTCTAGGTCACTCATTAATGGGCACAGAATCGAGGAGACGTGCAGCCCCCATCCGCTGGCACTTGCGGGAGACAATGCAACAGCCCTCCTTGTCACCCAAGGTCCAACTCCCTCATTCTGCTATTTTGATGCTTGACAAATGTTCACATTTAGAAGTTCTAAGTACAGTAATTAAGAGTTCTTCAGAATAAAGGTGCTAAAGAAATCATTTTTTTTTAGAATAAATAAAAATCACAACTAAAAAAAGCTATGGTAAGAATGCTGTGACTAAACTTGGCTTACAGCAACAATCCCATAGACAATAATGGGATTGGAGCATGAGGCTGGAGGATAGAGGGGGAAAGGTCATCCATCACAGCTTTCTAGAACTTCCCTGGTCTTCAACCCAGCAGCATTAGAATAACCTAGAGAGCTTTTAAAAAACACAGATGTCAGAGGCCAGCCCCGTGGCCTGGTGGTTAAGTTCAGCAGGCTCCACTTCAGAGGCTCTGGTTCAGATCCCAGGCGTGGACCTACACCACTCACTGGCAGCCATGCTGTGGCGGCAACCCACATACAAAAATAGAGGAAGACTGGCAACAGATGTTAGCTCAGGGTAAATCTTCCTCAGGAAAAAAAACCCAAACAAACATGGATGCCAGGCAATGAAAATACCCCATGTGATACTATGATGCAGATACATGTCATTACACAAATGTCCAAACCCAAAGAATGCACAACACCAAGAGTGAACCCTAAGGTAAACTATGGACTTTGGGTGATAATGACATGTGAGTGTAGGTTCATCCATTGTAACAAATGCCCCACTTTGGTGGGGGTGTTGATAGTGAGGGCAAGGGGTATATGGGATATCTCTGTACCTTCCTCTCAATTTTGCTGTGAACCTAAAACTACTCTAAAAAAATAATAATAAAGTCTTAAAAAAAACACAAACTGATGTCCAGGGCCCAGCCAATTAAGTCAGAGACAGACAGACTGGGAGTGCGGCCAGGCAGCACCATTTTTATTAAGCTCCCAGGTGATTCTAACATACAGACAGGATTGAGAACTGTGGTACCAGTTAGAAGAAAATACCGGTGATTTAGGGTCTGGTAAGACTGTCCCCAGCATTTGGTTCTAGGTGGCATTTTGGCCACACCATTTGGCACTGGTGCCTTTTGGTCTTTCTTTGAGTAGAACACAATTTTGAAGTTAATCATGGTGGGCTATGAATTTCAAGACAATGTACAGGTTTCAGACAATGAGGAAAGACTATTCTCATCCCCCAACTTTAATAAGTCAATTAAAATATACCATTTCCATGAATTTCTATAAAAGAAATATACTAAAGAGAGATACGGTTCAACTTAACATTTTTATATTCTACTAACTTTTCATGTAGAGACTTAGGCCAATTCAATCACCAGAGCCAATGATAAACTCTCAGTATGTGTTTCTTTAAAGAATAGATTCTTCCCCAATAGTTATTATGAAATATTATCACAACTTATTTTCTTTTTCTAGGATTTTCATTGGCCATCCTTCTGACTTTCAAAGCAATGGCAAATTATTGCTGCCATCTGCATTAATCTAGAATTGACCATAACATAAACCACAGCTTGAGAGGTTTGATCCAAAGCTGGCCTCCGAGCCACCAGACTACTACCAAATACAGCCCTGTCCTGTTCAAGCAGCAATTCTGCAGGCCTAAATCATCCTGAAAAGTACCATTTCATCAAGAGTGGTATCATTTAAAGAGCTGGTGTTACTGTTGCTTTTAGGAAAGTTTGCAAAAAATCCCGTAAGTGGTTGGAACTCTAAAGTTACGGATGATGGGCACAGAATTACAATAGAGAAACTATGTAATCATAAAG